AATTAATATCATTCCAATCTGAATGAGGGTTATCATTATAATCCTTATTTTTTCTGTAATTTTACATTTTGTGATTTTTAAATTAAAATAAGAATTAATTAACTATTTCTCCTTTAGTTTGATCGATAATTTCTTGAGAATTTAGGGCATATATAAAAAATAATCAAATTATCTTTAAACTTACTAACAATTTCTTCGATCTATGAACTTGAATTATAGAATTTAGATATATATACAATAAAACCTAAATTTAACAGAAATATTAATCATAACTAAAAAACGATAAATATATTTTGGGATTTTCTAAAAATATATATTTTTAATTTTTTATAGATTATTAGTCTCATTCTTCTAATATTTATCGTATTTATAGTTTCATACTTTTTAAGAAATTAATATTAAATAGTTGCAATAAAATTTAAGATACATCCAATCATCGAAATACTTATATTGAATGTGCGAAATCATTTTGATATGAAATTGATTCTCAATAGAAACTTTAATTTGAATTCAGGTTATGATTTCTTTCATGACTTGATGATATTATCTAATGTGATAAACTTTAGCTATATAGTCTATTAACAACCAAAATTATTGTATATTATATAAGAAATAATTCAAGTTTGCTTTAAGGATAGAAACGAACAGTGATAAAAAATTTGAAAATTAAAATTAATATGATAATTTAGTATTCATTTTTTCTTTATTTTAAAGAAGATAATCTTTTGTGAAGCATTTGTTCTGTCGAGACATTTGACAATAATTGATTATAATCTAACTTCTTTACTCATTAGGTAAAGTGTTTTGTCTTTCAGCAAAGAAATTATTTTAAGAAATAATTCTATTCAAACATGAAACTTTTGATTAAGTAGGGCTTGCAACAGAACTTACTTATTGGACATTAGTAATTGAGGATTACTTAGAATTAAATAGAATAATACTAAGATTTAATTCGTTTTCAGAGAGATTAGAATTACTCAGAATGGAGTTTCTATTATTTATTATTATTAATTTATGGAGATGATGGTTTTGATTGATGTTCTTTAGGTTCAACACTTTTTCTATATGATTTAAACTTAGTATTAAGTGCCAGTTATTATTGAGTTACCATTATGAAATGCTATTTCAATAATTTAGCTTATTCCTATTTCATTTATATCTGTTCTTTGGAGTCAAAATAAAAGGCTTTAAATAGTCTAATTTCTTAATGAGACTTGCCTAGAAGTTTTTCCCTTGTTTCAAGTTCTCCTTTCATTAAATCATTTTAATCGTAATTGAATTTCAATTGATTTGGTTTAAAAGGTGGAGGAATTTATTTTTGTAAAATTGCCACAAGATTAACATCCTTAAACCAAGAATGAGTAAGTAATTCTGACAATCCTTTATTATCTCCTAATCTTTCGGAGGGTTGTTTGCAAAATAACCCTTATAATAGATTCTATGTAAAATTTAAAAGTACCTTTATGTCAGTTGATAAATTTAATTTCTCAGGAAACGTCAATTCTTCATTAAGAATAGATTCTTATATCTCATCAGTATCTTTAGAATAACATGGAGGCAATCCAGTGACTAATTCGTATAGCAATGCTCCTAGACAATAATGATCCACCTAAACAGTATGGCCTACTTTCAATAACATTTCTGGAGCCATATATTCAGGTGAACCACAAAAGCTGTATGCATAATCATCTTCTGTCATATTAAGTTTTGACAATCTGATATGGCCATCTAAATCTATCAAAATATTCTCTGGTTTGATATCTCTATAAACCACAGATAATGAATGCAGATAAAGCATAGCTAAACAAATCTCTGTAAAATAAAATCTTGTTTAATCTTCTGTCATTCTTTTTACTTGTTTTAATTACCAAATGCGTATTCTAATTTAATCATAAAAGGATGATCAAGAACAGTCATGATATCTCTTTCATTTTACGCAATACCTAACAAATTTTTAACTACTTTTACCTCATTTCTTATGTTTATAATAAATTCCTTATCAATTAATTTCATAGCGTAAAACTTCCATGGATTTCTTTTTCACCATATAAACTCTTGAAAAGCCTCCAACTCCAATACATTTTACAAAAATAAAATCTTAAAGCGTTATTTTGCTTTATGAAGGAGTTCCATAAAATGGTTATAAATTGAATGTTTATCCACTAAATATTTCTAAACTGTTATTAGTTTACTGCAAATAATAATCAATAGGCAGATTTTTACCTATTGTATGAAATGAAACTATTTCTAAATCTGAGGATTCATTCTTAGTTCGACATGTTACTTTTCTTTCATCTGGTTAAGAACCTGTAGATGAATATTAATGTATTCAATGTTTCTTTATTTCTTATTTCAAGTATTCTTCTATCTATACTGTTGTTTTTAAAGATTCAATATTAAATTTAATTTATTGATTCTCATGATTCACTATTATTGTAATTCCTGCATTAACAAAACTCAATTTGTTTGATGATTATTATTTCTAGTGTTGACTTGCACCAGAATTATTTCGCTTACTTTCCTTTTGTTAACTCATCACATCTGAAATATATTCTTTTTTATTTCCAGACGATAATTGTTTATGACTTGTCATTAATTTTAGTAATTCTTGCTGATATTATATTGCTTTATTCACTTTTTTTTATCCCATGCTTTAATTTGTTTTTTAATTTGGACTCAATGATTGTCCTATTAATTCATCTTTATTGAACGATTAGCTTAATTTTTAAGATGCTTTTGTAGTTGAACTAATTAGTATTCTAAACATATGTTTTCAATATGCCCTATGATAGTATTTGATGTAGTTTCTATTATTTTGAGAGCATAATCAAATTTAAATATTTATATAATATATTATTATACTATTCACAATTTACCCATTACTGATTATAAAATTTCAATTCCATGTAAATCTCTTACTTTTTGTAAATTGTTTTAATCTTTTGTTAATTTTGCCAAAAGAATTGCCGAATTCTTTCTAAAATTACCAGTTTTATCTTTCACGAAACTCAACAATCTTGGAATCAATTGATTGAAGAATGAGCAAGCATTTTACTCACCATTAATTGGCGATAATAAATCAATTATGAACCCAATTACATTACAGCAATTACAATATATTATCTCGTTATCACTATTCAATTACTATTTCAATTATTCCAATAACTCATATAACAGTGTTTATTTTTATTTTAACTGATCAACAACTAAAGGAGATTTTCTTGATAACCATTGAAGTAAGCATCTAATAGATTGATTACTGTATTATTTTATAAACCTTGTTATTAGATAAATATTGTCTTCATAGTTGACCTTAGATAATACTGTAAGGACTCTCTCTATCACTAAACCATCTTATTAAGTCTCTAAATATTCAATTAGAGTAGGAGCCAACAGATTGATTTTACTTACATAGTCCGATTGAGCTTAATTGATTTGAAATGTCAGATTAACTAAGACTGCAATTGCATTTTATTTTAATGAATTATATTCATTATCTTTAAATTATATAGCTTTGATAAACTTGAGATAAGCCTTAAAAAAATTAGGGTTTAATTCTTTTGATAGGAAGTAAAACCTATATTTCTCTTCTGTTAACAAATTTGACAATAAGTTGCATAATTAATACATCATTTTAATGTTTGTTTATTTTATTTCGACTTTTTCAAATATCTCTACAAATTTAGTTATAATTTCATTAATATTCCCAAAAATAACATTTCTTAAGGGTGTATCTTATCCATAACATAAATTACTGCAGAAACTTAAAAATGTAGCAACTACATCTCTTTCGGTCTTATATAATGATATAATTCTGTGAAACAATTCAGGATATAACTTATTTCTAATTATTTCATGCTGTTATATTATAGATCTTGGTTTTTCTTCATCCATTACATTTAAAACATCTAAATAATCTGATATTGTATCATAAATTGCAGATAAGGATTTATTTTCAACCTGTTTCAACAATTACTTAATTTTTTCATAAATAACTTCAATTCCATTATATTAATTTAGGAATTATTCCTAGTACAACAAACTTTTCTCTTAATAAACTTATAAAATCAAAGCAGGTAAACTTGCCATAATCTAAGGTTAATAGAAAATACTTACATTTTATAAATTGTGCAATTTCTCATCATTTTTTTATATTATGTTTAATAGTTATTTCAAACCATTTTTTTCATAGAAATAGGCTGTGGCTTCATTTGAATCAACCTTAAGCACTTTAAATAATTATAAGAGTTCAATCTCCTCCTCTCCTACAAACTTATCAATCAATTGTTTATAAGTTAGATTTTCATCCATAAAGGTTTTTTTTTCTTTTGGATTATCTATATTATTATTATCACTATATACTATTTTCCTATTAATCTTAGTTGTCTTATTTTGGTTCTTCTTCATCCTTCTCCTCCTTTTCATTCTGTTTCAACCTTTAATAATGATCTATTTTAGCTTCTATTTCCTTCTTAAGATTCTACACCTATTTATCGTCTGGTATAAGTTGTTAGGCTTGATTGATATCATTTAATGCTTCTTATAATCGGTCTCTATTATAATATGCCAATGCTCTTCGATAAAAGGCTTTACAGCAATTTTCTCTACTCTAAGTATAACCATTTTCAAAGCATTCAGCATATTCGATTACTTTTGTGCAATCATTGATAGCCTTTTTGTTTTTGTTTGATTTTATGTATGTAATTGCTCGATTTAACCACAAAGTCTTATTATCCTTTACTAATTCAAGGGCTTAAGAATATTTCCAAGCCGCATGATCATAATCACCCTTACTATAATACTCATTGCCTTTGTTTTTCAATTCCTCTGCCTTTTTCATGTCTTCCTCTTTCTTTTTCTTTCTTTATTCCATATCTAATTCTAAGGCTCTGAAATTTGGGTCATCTTTAGGAACTATTGGCTCAGATTCAATTTCTTCTTCTGAACTTGTATAATATTCCCATTTCTTATGCGTAAAAGTGCTCTTTTTCCATAAGATTTTCTCTGTTTTTTCCATCAACTCAAATTTCTACTTCTTCTATTGCTTTCTGTTCTTGTCTTCTTTATATTTTTCAACCTTTTCCAATAATTAATTGTAACGTTCTAGATTATTCTATGAATTTTACATTCCTGTGTCAAAGTATCTCTTTTGCACCAATAGCATTAATCTGTCTTCTTAGCATACTCTAAATAGCAATATTTGCAAAAACTAGCATAATCTTTATTTTATCCTTTTCCCTTCCTTCCTTTTCTTTCCTCTTCCTCCTTCTAAATCTGCAATTATCTCCTAGCATCTTCTTTCTTTTTCTCTTGTTCTAACCTTTTTTATCTTATCTTAATTATCTCCTCATCATCATCTTTTACATTGGCCTTTAAATTTTCCAATATTGTTATACCTATTCGCTTGACAATTTCTTAATTTTCTCATGGACTAATTCTACTTCTGCAAGCCAAGCTTCCATTTCTTCTGGATCTAATTGATTCTCGAACACTGGTGGTTACATTTTATATTTATTATTACTTAATCACTATATTTTTGAAAATCAAAAATGCATACATATAAAAAATCTGATTAAATATATTCAATCAACTATGAGTAGATTATTTTTGTTAAAGTAATTTTGCATTCTATGCTATCAAGCCTTGTTTCTCTTGCTACATATAATAGTATTCTCTATAAAACATTTAATTCTGCAATTATAATTGTTTTTGTTTTATTTGTTGTTGATATTGTTATTCTTCCTTTTGCAATGCCTCCAAGTTTTATTAAAGCATTTGTAATTCATTCTCTTAATTTTTTTCTTAATTTTAATTTTCAAATTGTGATTCCTATCTGTTCAATTGTTCTAATTCAGTTTCAAGCTACTCGATGGCACATTACAAATCATTGAATTTTTTATAATTCATTACCAAAAATTTTTTCATTTGATCAAGGTTTTGATTCTCTGTATATAATTTAACATTAAATATTAATTGTTCCAAATGATCACTTTTGATTTTTGTAATATGTGGCAACTCCTCAATATTTGATTCATCTGTCTTCAGCGTATATTTGTTTTCTTTATTTCCAACTTTATTGAACATCTGACTGTTAGTAATTAAATTAATATTATATAACACCAATATATAAATAAACTATTACAAATAAAAATAATCAATTTAAATTTTCATTTAAATAATCATATTGTAGTTGTACAATTTTACAAACTTTAGATTTATAATCTAGATTTTCTATTATTAATTACATATATTTCTTTGTTAATTTTATGAAGTTCTCAATTATATTGTTAAAAGAACTTAGATTCATAAAAGCAGTTATATTAAAATATAAAACTAATAAAACAAAAAAAGCTGTATGTTTATATTTTATGTTCTATAATAGAGGTTCTTTTTATTGCTTTATCAATTAATACATTTTAAGATCAAATCTAATATATCAAACAAGGGAACATTTAGGTAGTTATATGGAAATTGAAATCGACAAACCCTTATTTGATAAAGGGGCAATCAAAGTAATTATTTTAAAGAATATATTCTTTGCTCTATTAAATTTGATTTAATTTAATATTTCCCTTTCAAAATCTTATTTAAGTTCTCCTATTATTTCAAATATAAATTTTATTGGGTAATTTAAAGTAGATTGAACCATAATTTTAAGCGTTTATTCCATTTAAATCTGAATCTTTTGAAAATTTTTAGTGGAACCAAGTAGTAAATTTTAATTTATTTTAATTGACTTTAATAATTATGATTGCTAATGTTTTGAATTATTAAGATTTTCTTAAAGTCAAAATAAATAATTCATTTTTAACAGTAGATTTGATTTTTAGATTCAGGGTTCTATTTTTGTCAACTTTTATTTCTAAATATTTATATTGGTATTCAAGGTATATTGATAAGATAAACTAATTAAGAATGCATAATTGCAGAAGCCTAATTAAATAACATTTTATTTGGTTGCTTCCTTTCTTTTTTTTATAACGTCAATAGTTTCTTATAGTTGATTTTTCGGATTATAAGAATTAGATCATTCGTATAAAATTAGTATATATCGAAACAATTTAGGATTCCAATGTTTTTTATACTTTCAAAAAATAATTCCGTGTATATCTCAAATAATTAAAGTGAAAAAATGCATCTATAAAGCTCTCAACTTAAGAAAGCCTCCTTTCTAACATATCTTCTATATTTAATTGTTGATAAGGCTTTTTGAAACTTTAGTTAATTTGAAATAGCATTTATTTATTTTCCTTTTATTCAAGTTCGCAGCCACCAATTTCTGTGTTATAGCAAATTTAAAATTGATAAAAAATAGGTAATTTAGAACAAGCCTTAACATTTAGATTAATTCTAAGAATTTACTAGAACTTGTATATTATTAGAAAGGCATGTGCTTACAGAATGATTAGAGAGGAAATCAAAACTCTATTCAAGCCATTAATATAAAAAATATTTTATTGGATTTAGCTAAAATAATACGGGTATTTTTGATATTATTTTTTCAAACGAATAAAGCAAAATAGGCATAAATTTTGTCTAAAAATCTGTCAATAGCCAAGTTCCATAAATTATAAAATCAAGCATATATGTAGCATATTATTAGGTCCAAGTATCTGATATCAATATCTAAGTAAATACATATTCTTTATTTCCTGTTATATAAATAATAATAAAAATACTATAGATATATATAGAAGTAAATATTGAAAAAAGATGATAATGATAGAGATGGGTATAATAGCAATAGTAATAAGGTATAATAATAATAAATAAATAAATGATAGAATGATATTAATTTGTTTTTATTTTTATTGATGAATATTGTAAGGTCATGCTAGTTAAGCGGCATTAACTTTATTGCAAGTATCTTCTAATAAGGCTAGAAGTGTTTCTTCTGTAGATTCTCTAAGATGATAATAAATAAAAATAGAAACCTTTATTTTTTTTCATTGTCTACTTCAGTTTTGATTCTATTGACAACATCTTTTAACATATCAAAGATTGCTTATTCTGATTCTTATCTATTGACTTTCTCTTAAACTAATAATTAGTTTAATTTGCTTAATTCTTCATTCATTTTTCTAGAGATGTTTGAATCCATTTCTTCTCTTTCTGCTACTTCTGTCTTTATAGCTTCATGTAATCTTGGTAAATCTGTTTCTAAACATTAATTTAATCTTTCGATATTTTCATTTCTTGTTCTACTTTCTGTACTCAATTCACTTCTTATTAATCCAGTCTTCTCTTCAATAAATCTTATAATCTTCTATTCTCCATCTTTTCTTGTTGATGTCAATCCTTCAACTGCCTAATTGAATGAATTCTCTAAATCGATATATTCCTTTTATTTTTATTCAAAATGTTATTCTCTTTATAATTTTGTTTAATCCAACACTTTCTATAATTTCAATACACTATCTTTTATCAAAGCTACTCTTTAACTTAATTATTCATTTAATTCATTCAATCCAGATTCCAATTAATCTAATCTTGTCTCTGATTCCTCTATTCTTTTTGTCTATATAAATATTAATAATTATATTACTCTCTCTCCTTCTATTGTTAAATCCATCTAACTTAATTAAGAACTTATTTTTGCTACTCTCTCTCTTGATGGTGAATAATCTACTATATTTCACTATACCTTACTTCTATTATTTGACATATCTAACTGATTATTTAAATTAAAAGATAATATTAATATAAATAAATTTATTGCTAATGCCTTATCAATGCCTCAATCAGTATATTAAAAATTCAGGAAAATTTAATTGATTATTCTACTGCAATTACAAATAACGATATCTTCTTCTCTAGCAATAATAATCTCAGCATGGTTATCAGAAAAACATATAAAACACACTTATTTTCCCTTATTTTAGTTCTCATTAATTTATATTATAAAGCTGATTTGCTATCAAAAAAAATAAAATAAGAGAGTTATTTATTTCAATATATATTATAATCAGTATAGATTCATTACAACGCTAAAAGAAGATTATTATTCTTTCATTTATTATTTAAAGATTTTTCGACAATAAAATTAAGTTTCTTTAATTAATCTTGGATGTGTCTTTTGTATGTTTCCTCAAATGATAAGGGAGTTTTCTTTTTTTCTTTATCTTTCAATATAAAATTCTCCTTTTCTTTTGACTTAGATTTTGATTTAGATTATGCTGCATCTATGGACCTTTTCCTTTTTTCTACAGTAGCCTTGTTTTATTTCAAATATAGTTTTTATTTTGGCTTAAATAATCTAAGTTATTAATTAATAGATACTATTTCTTATGCTTTTCAAAAAGCTAATTAAAATCTTTTTATATATATAGATTAGCATTTTAGTTATTATATTTTTGAAACATAATGTTACTTTCCTCGCTTTCCAAATTTTCATTTAGATTTTGGCAAGTGTTGTTTTGGAATTGAATTTAAGAATTTGATTATTATTACAATTATTATTGTTATTCTAACTATTATTGCATCTCTGTTGAAACAATTTATCTATGTGTTTGTTGCTATTCTCCGCTAAGAACCTATAGGAGATCTAAATTAATTTATTTTTGTTCATTCAATTCTTGTCTGATTAAAGATAGCTATTGATTCATTGATTCTTGAATTTGTTAATTCATCTAATAAAGATTCTGCAGAGGAGAAGCATCAAGATGAACTACTTTCTTTTTTAAATCATTTTAAAGTATTTGATTATGCAATTACATCAATGTATTTAATTAATTAGATATTTCATCTCGATTACTAATTAACATGCCTTATTCTCTTGCGAAGTTCTAAAAAAGAATATCATTTGGGTAAATACTTATAATTAAGCTTGTAATTGATTTTTTTCAAAAGATAGTTATTACAATTCCAATAAAAAGTTCGTCTTTTTTTCTTCCTCTTCTTATATTAGCTTTTCACTTTATTCCTAAATATCAAATAATTTTTCTTCTTATTCCTTAAGAATTGATATCTTTTATTCATTCAATTTTCGTTATTCTTCAATTTCTAAACCTCTTAACAATGATTCCAATTCAAATTTTGCTTATTATTATTCTCTTAACAAATTATTTTATTCTTATTCTAATATTTATTATTCTCTATGAAAATGATCTTATTTCGATGTTAACATAGTATTTTTATCCTCATCAAAACTTTCTAATTTTTGAGTTAATAATTATAAAATAGGATTAGATAGATTCAACTTCTATGGTGATTGCTTTGGGATTGATTTTGCTTATGATGAGTGTAACTAGGAGTTTTCTGATTGATTAAGTTTTCTCATTCTTTATTCAAATTATTATAATTCTCTTTCCAATTCTTATTTACTTTTAAGATGTGAATCTCTTGATATTGGATAGAGATTAGGTGCATTTTTTTAGTCAAGAATTGAAAGTTTGTGTTCAAGTTAATTAATTAATTGATGAGTCTTAGATAACTTGAATTTGGATCTATTTTCATCTTCTGATTCTTCATCACTCATTTGAAATCAAATTAAAAAATAATCATTTTTTTTATTCAATTTTAACATAAATTAATTAAATGATCGATAATCTGATAATATTAAGAATACAAAGTTATAAGAATAATACAAAGGGATATTCATTTTAAGAATTAAAGCAATTGCCTAATTTTAGTATTGTTAGTTCTAAAAACAAAATATATTTTGGGTAGGTATTCAATGGCTAAAAACATGGCAAAGGTGTACTGCTGATGGATTAGGATCATGTATATGAAGGAGAGTTCAATAATAATCGGAAGCACGGTCAAGGCTGGGAAATTTTTCCATCCAAATCTTATTATTAAGGACTTTATGTAAATGGAAAACCAGAAGGCTAAGGAAAATTTACATGGGCAAATGGCGAATATTATGATGGAGAATGGTTTAACGGTAATAAACATGGATAAGGAACTTGGATGGGCTTAAAGGGAGACATGTATACTGGATTTTGGATTGAAGGGAAACCAAATGGTAAAGGTTAACATAAATGGATTAATGGAGATTAATATAAAGGAGAATTTAAGGATAGTTTGAAACATGGTTTTGGTGAAGAACTATTTGCAAATGGGGATAGGTATGTTGGAATATATTAAAATGGAAAACCAGAGGGAGATGGAGAATATTTTTATTCAAGCGGTGCTTATTTTCATGGAAAATTTAAAAATGGGCTAAAAACTGGCTATGGAGAGTACAGATGTTCATCATACTCTTATAAGGGATATTATATGAATGATAAAAAGCATGGAGAAGGTGAATTAATTTATCAAGATGGAACTAGAAAGAAAGGAAAGTTCTTTAACGATTTCTATGAAAAAACAGTTTTAAGATAATCCAGTGTTCCTAATAATACTTAACCAAATGAAACGCCTCCTAAAAATTATTAAGAATTAGTGAAGGCCTGTCTAAAACCTCCTACTTATTTATCTTCCACTAAACCCAACACATAAAAGCAATAGGCATCCCCACTTAACAAAACTGTTATAATCTAAAGAAATAGACTTGATTTCAATTCTTCAGAAAAACCCCAAAAAATTTTGTAAATATAAACTGGTAGACAAAATTCTAAAAGAGAGTTTTAAGAAAAGGATACAAATCTTAAATAATAAGAAAAGGTTGTCTTGTAGAAAAAGGTTTCATTAAACGTACATAGCAATAAATCTTCCCCAAAAAACTAACCACATTAATAAACCATATATAAATAACCCAGTCGATAACCGCAAGAATAGTCATTTAGGTTCGATACAACAAAAACAAGTTTTGTTACCAAAACAGGATTAAAAGGAAAATAAAGTTTTAAATAAAGAAGTTACTCCAAATATGATTGATATATATTACTAATTAAAATTAAATCAATACAATCGACTCTAATGATATTCCTATTTAATAATAAAGCCTTGGATCTCTTTCATATTTAAGTTTTTCTAAATACTATAAATTAACAGAAATTCAGTTAATTCATCATTTTAGACTTTAATTATTTTCATCCAATTTCAGAAAACATTATATTTTTATTATTACAACAATTACATAATAACTAATAGAGTATAAAAATCATTTTTATATGTAAATGTTATTTAAATAATAAAAATTGAATGTTCACAATAAATATTTAATCCTTTATGTTAAAAAAAATCTACTTCTCAATCTAATTTTATTGATATCAATTTAAGATGCTCTAAAACATATGATTTTACTCTAAAATTTCCTTCCAAGTATCTAGCAATGTTATTAATCTAATTAAAATAGAAAACTCGAAAAAACACAGCATCTGTTAAAAAATTAGCTGAGCCACATTGAGAAACAATATTGCATAAAGCCTAATGTTAAGTTTAAAATAGCCTTAAATAAAGGTTTAGATAAAATGGAGATGTGTCTAAACTTTGTTAAATGCTAAATTTTTTGTAAAAATTATAAATATTCTAATAATAACTAATTATAAATGATATTTGAGCAAAATAAATTAGCAATAAATTTATTTATATTAATATTATCTTTTAATTTAAATAATCAGTTAGATATGTCAAATAATAGAAGTAAGGTATAGTGAAATATAGTAGATTATTCACCATCAAGAGAGAGAGTAGCAAAAATAAGTTCTTAATTAAGTTAGATGGATTTAACAATAGAAGGAGAGAGAGTAATATAATTATTAATATTTATATAGACAAAAAGAATAGAGGAATCAGAGACAAGATTAGATTAATTGGAATCTGGATTGAATGAATTAAATGAATAATTAAGTTAAAGAGTAGCTTTGATAAAAGATAGTGTATTGAAATTATAGAAAGTGTTGGATTAAACAAAATTATAAAGAGAATAACATTTTGAATAAAAATAAAAGGAATATATCGATTTAGAGAATTCATTCAATTAGGCAGTTGAAGGATTGACATCAACAAGAAAAGATGGAGAATAGAAGATTATAAGATTTATTGAAGAGAAGACTGGATTAATAAGAAGTGAATTGAGTACAGAAAGTAGAACAAGAAATGAAAATATCGAAAGATTAAATTAATGTTTAGAAACAGATTTACCAAGATTACATGAAGCTATAAAGACAGAAGTAGCAGAAAGAGAAGAAATGGATTCAAACATCTCTAGAAAAATGAATGAAGAATTAAGCAAATTAAACTAATTATTAGTTTAAGAGAAAGTCAATAGATAAGAATCAGAATAAGCAATCTTTGATATGTTAAAAGATGTTGTCAATAGAATCAAAACTGAAGTAGACAATGAAAAAAAATAAAGGTTTCTATTTTTATTTATTATCATCTTAGAGAATCTACAGAAGAAACACTTCTAGCCTTATTAGAAGATACTTGCAATAAAGTTAATGCCGCTTAACTAGCATGACCTTACAATATTCATCAATAAAAATAAAAACAAATTAATATCATTCTATCATTTATTTATTTATTATTATTATACTCATTATTCTCGCTTTATCTAACTTAACTCAATCTCATTTTCTATTCATTGAATAAAATAATTTACCCATAATCTTTTAACATTATCATTCTTACTTACATCTTTTTTGATATATATATATTTTTTAATTAATATTATATAATAAATACTTTAATAAATAAATAAAAACTTTAAAACTAAAACGATATAAACTTCAAACATCATTAAATAACAGTAATGTGTTGAAATATTTCCTCTCTAAAACCAATCACTTTATAATTATTTAAAAGAAAATGAAATATGTCTTCAAGAAACTCAATAGATTATAAACACTTCTTCTAGATACAATTTCATTATTAAATTACTTAGCGAGCATTCTTCAGGCGGAGGAATAAGTAAATGCATTCATAAATAACTCATATGCAGAGACATTTCTCATAATTAAAAGTAGATGATACTGAATTTTTGTTAGTTTAATGTACAAAAAATAATGTAGAACTATATATTGCGAATATCGACTCTGTCAACTCTAAATGTTTCAGAAACTAATTAAATAAATTGCAAAGCTTGATTGTTCAACTTAAAATCAAAAATCCAATTTGCTCCTATAATGATGCTAATAATAGTACAGTTAAGCTCAAAGGAAATTTAATCCAAAAATCTTAAATTACGTACTAAAAATACGTAAAGAACAAGCTTCGATAATCAAAAGCAGACATTTTTCAAATCAATTAAGAGCTTTCGCATTCGATTAACTTCAGGAAAATAAACTTTCTAATCATAAATTAATCATTTGTTCATTAAATTTGAAAAAAAACCTAAGAAGTTAAAAGCAATATAATTTCATAATGAACAAGCAGTAGGTTTAACTATTGAATTCGAATTGCACTCTCAGTGAGAATTTCAGAGAATTTATCCATAAAATTCAGTAGAATCAAAAGAGATTCTAACTCTATAGAAGAAAAGATAAAGTCTCGAATTAATAATGCATAGAATTCCTTAAGATTTTTAAATAAACTCTAATTAATTAATAGCAATATTAGAATTAAGTAAAATAAGATTATTCGCAAACTAATTAACAAGCCAGTTATAGTTAATCCAATTAAAAGGGATGGTGAAATCATGAATTGTTACATTGATAATTTAGATTACTTAATCACAGAAAACAGACATCCAAAAATAATGTATTATATACATAAAAAAATAATTAAGGACTAATAAATTTCTACCTATCCCACTCCAAGAATTAGAACCTACTACTTTTAAACCATTTTTATATATGAAATCAAGAATAAGATAAAACAAGGCGTTAACGAATGTTTTAATTTCAGACACTTGGATATCCAAAAATTGATCCTTCATTATTTTGATGATGTTTGGAGAAGTAGTACATAAAATTTAGTTAAAACTTCGGAGAGTTCGTTATAATCCCATTAAATAAAAACTATCCAAAGCCTAGCGAATTTCGACCAATTACAATGTTAAGACTCTTATATAAGCGGATAGAATTGCGATTGTTAAAATTTTTAAGCAGATTCTGTGAAAGCAAAATAATAAAACAATATTTTGGCTTTATGAAAGGATTTGGAACTTTATTTCAGATTTTTAAATTAATAAAAGATATTTCAAGATAAGGAGCTTATTATAATAAAGTAGTAATATTCATTGATTTTAAATGGGCATACAATACTGCTAATCTAGATCTACTATATCTGTATATAAAAAAGAAAACAAAACTTGCGATTAACGAGCTAAAATTTCTAAAAGCATTAATTAGTAAATAATACTATAATAATAATGAAGCTAAACATTCTTTTTGAAATGGAATATCATAAGGAAGTATTCCATCTTTTTATTTATTTGACATCTATACGGATTATTTATGGCAAATCAAAGAAAATAAAAATTGAGGAAAATTTGATAACTTCTATTTCTATTCTAATATAACTGCAGGCATATTACCTAATCAAAAGAAATCATTCCTAAACTGAAAGAACAATAAAAACAGATTATTTTTATCAATTAACAGTAATTTGAAAACATAACCTACAAATTAATCTTCTTAATAACTTATCTAATCATGCAATCTTAATTGATTAAAAAAATCTCTATTAAGTCAAAAATAAAATCTATCGCTAATAAATAAAAAATAGATATTATAATTGAATAATGCAATATCTCGATAAAGATATGATTTTTCAGAATTTTACTCTAAAATAATAAGCAACTTTCATAAATTTGAAAGAAAATCATTTGAAAAAAAAAGGCTCATTATTAATTCATGAAATAAATTAATTAATGCTTAAACTTATTGGAAAAAACATTAAGATCTAATTATTTAAAGTAAATATATAAAATGATTAAATAATTTATTATCATTCACGAATTAACAAAAGATGGAATAAAATGAATTGTTTTTTATAAGAGGATTAAATAATTTTTTAATTGAGGAACAATTATTATTATTCAATTTTCATAAATATATTGTTAATATTTAAAAAATTATTGATATTTATATAATAAATGATTAGTGTATCTATAATGATGAAGCAAAGACTACTGTTTTATAACTAATTATTAAATATCATGATTTTTCAGTTAGAATCTTAAATAGCTTTTATTTTGCAGATGTAAATGAAGATGCTCTTCTTAATTATTATTCTTTAATAGTAACAGGCTTTATATCAATAACTTAGAGAAACGAGAGTTTTTTTTGTGATGTTCGAATAGTTTTAGATGAAATAGGAGAACAATTTTTTTATAATCTAAGGGTTTGTTTGATGAAATTTTGATTGAAAAATGGATTTTCTAACTAAATTAACAATTTTATTAAAAGTACCTTTAAATTTGAACGGACTCTATCTATCTGATTATTTTGATCTTAGTCTTTCTGCAATTAGATCCCTATTTTTACCTCCCATTTTAACAAAGAATGTTTCATCTGTGTGCATGTATCCTGGAAATTAGATATAAAATTTTATATATTACTTCTATCCTTGAATTATCCATTTGGTAATTTGGATATATCAATGATTTAAGTTGGCGGATTATCCTCATTTTCAATTTCGGTAGTGAATTTTTTATTATTTTATTAGCGTCTAACTTCGCATGAAGTTGATGGTTTCAACTCTTAAGGGGTTAGATATGCGATCTTAAAAAGATCTAAAATGATTGTAATTTACAGTGTACCTGATCTGTCAATATTATATTTACGAAATGTCTTAATTTTGTATTGCATAATAATTATTATATGAAATAATAATTAATAAAGAATATAAATAAAGCTACATCAATAGCAATTCTAGTTCTTGGGAAGTTGATTCTAGAATATGAATAGATGATACTTTGAAAATAAAGAAATTTTTGATGCATAATAATATATAATTATGGAATAGAAAGTTAATTTCTTTAATTGATTTTGTCAATCTGTAAAGACAAGATTTTAATATCAAAAATTTATTTTCAGCTATGATATCATTTGTTTATTAGAAATGACCAAGATTATTAACATTGAACATTGTAAACAATTTTTAAAACGAAGATATTCTGAAAATAACTCTATTATGATGAGAATAAGAATACCAAATTTTCCAATTAAGAAGAGGTTGAGAATTCCCAAATAGAAAATTTCAGAAAAATAAATTAGTGCTTTTAAACCATGTAAACCTCAAGATGGAGTTAATTTTCCAAAACTATTCCAGAACGTCATTAAAAACTATGATTTCCATCAAAATTACATCTTGATTCTAGTATTTTCAAAGAAATAGTTTAAGAGAATGAAAGAAGGATTACTTAAATAGTAAAGCGAGGCAAAACAAATTATTAAAATACGTTACTCATGAATATATTAATACATTTAGCTGTTATAATTAAAATTTACTAATGTCAGAGTATACAGTCAGAGATTGGTAGCACAATTCAAGCACTTAAGAGACACCTCATATTGAATTAAGTTATGATTTCTATCACTCAGAAATATCAAATTTGAAAGCATAAGTTAATCAGTTTCAAAATTACATCTGTAAACTGGAAGAGCAATTCAAAGAGAAGACTCGAAGACTGTAAATGCAATTAGATGAACAGATTATGAATAACAGATAATTGAAGCAATAAATATTGACTTATGAATAATAGTTGTAATAAAGTGCATTCAGATAAAAATTGTTATTCTCAGGTTAGTTGGAAACTTTAATAAATGAATTAGATTAATTGACATTACTCATGAATCAAAAAAGCGAAAGAATCGTATAATTAGAATACGAAAATTAAGCATTATTGAATTAGATTTATGAATTAGAAACATCGATTGAGTAATAACAATTTTAGTATGATCATTTTGATCAATAAAATTTTATTATGTTAAGTTAAGTGGATTAATTAAAACAGGAGAAGAATGAATTAATAATAAAATTGAATGACTCTTAGATAATGATACAAAAGTTAACAGTTGAATTATAATGTAAGTCATCCTAGTTATTGGAAAACAATAAATAAAATTAATTGTAAGAATAGATTCGAGAGGAAATAACAAAAGCATAAATGACACATTAAGAACAATTCATAAAATTGTTACAACAAGAAATAATAGAATTAAAAGAATAATTAAAGAGCAAATGACTATTATCAAATTATACTAGTAGTATTACATGAACAATTCATAATCGACCAAATTGATGGAGGATGAATGTATTTCTTACGATTTTACACATCCTCGAATTAGCATAATAAGGATTCTGGACAATCTAATTTCTATTATAATTTAATGGCAAATCTCTTAGCATATTCTATAAATTGTTGTTCTTATTTTGATTTATCAATGAGCATTTTGAGAGAGTTTTCTTTATTATTAATGGCCTCTAAAATTATTATTTTGAAGCAATCATTATTGGGTTAACAATTGATGGCCATTTATTTCTTAATAAGTGCTTTCTCAAATTGCTTCTCAGCTTTCAAAATTAGTTTGGTCCAATCAATTCGAAAATCGCATAATTATCGGAATTTTTTATTTTGCAAATTTTTTTCAAATAATTATTCATGAATGCATTAAGGATTATGAATACATGCCTATTGAATAAATTACATTAAAAATTCAAGTTCTTTTTAAGTTTTATATTCAAAAATTTGATATTAGGAGTAATCTTTATTGTTTTGTTTTTAACAGTCACATTTTAAGGAATTCTTCAATTGATCATATATTTGAATTTATTGAGAAGTTTATTTATTAATAGAGGGAGAGCACTTAGATTGTTTTGAATCTCTTCGTTATCCTATTAGATTTGAAATATTGTTCATAATATCGTATTAATATAATTAATGATAAAAATAGCCAAATTATTATCAAAATCTCCATAATAATTGAAACAAACATACTTGCTTAATCATAAGCCCTAATTTCAATATGGATAAGTAGATCGATTTTTAGACAGATTATAAATGCCTCTTTACTTTTACTTAATAGGAATAAATGTTGGTGTATATGCATTATGGCATTTTCCTGCAGTTGACAAGGTGAATATATAATACATATTATTAGAATTTTATGTATAGACATTTTACTCTTCATCCTGGATCTATGAATATAAGAGAATTGCATACATTTATAACATATTCATTCTCCCATTAGAATACATTACATTTATGTAAAAATTCTAGAAATTTTAAGTATTTAATATGGTGACTTTTTACTTCTTCGGAAGGACGATTGAAGCTTATTTTGGATCAAAAAGACTGCTAGCTATATATTTGGCAGGAGCATTAGTAGGAGGATTTATGTAATCAAGATAAGCAGGGATATCATTGGGTGCAAGTGCTGCATGCAATGCTTTATTAACATATTATATTTGTAATTTTCCTAGAGAAATAATATTATTGTTCTTTATTCCTGTACCAGCATGGATAGTGGGATTATTGATATTATACTAAGGTTGGGCAGGATAAGGTGATGGAAGTGGTATTGGTCATGATGCTCATTTGGGCGGTTGTTTAGCTGGATTAGCGTTTTACTTTGCTACAAGAGGGAAAATATGATAATTTATATAATTTTAATATTTTAAAACGGATCTATGATAGAGGGAAACTTGGGTGATCTAATTTGGGGAAGTGTAGAACTGACATTGAATGTTCTATTATTAGATAGATTGAGGTTGCCTTAAAAAATGCCAGCTTCGGGGGTATTGAAGTTGTCACTCATTCATGAGTACAATAATTACTCAGACACCAAGGTATGATGGTGTTCCTTAGCTAGGTGAGATATGTAGTTGCCTCACTACTTACCCCAGATATATATAAATACTTTCGTAATTTCCAAGATCCACTTCAATTCATTTATGGGTGCTTCATGTTCTTCGATCTCTTTGTCATCTTAGAGGTTATCACTAACACTGAAACTATTTAAGCTGCCACTCTCCTCTTAAGAATATTGCGTATAATCAATTTAATTCATCAAATCCTCAAAGCTGCCATGACTATCAAATTCAAAAAGACTATAAAATACATACCTCCTCCAGTTTCTAAGCCATGCGAAGTATCTCCTCCTTAATCTTTGATTACAACTAAGGCTAATTCTAATGAAGATGAATACGAATAAGAAGTAACCAAACAGCCCAAAAAAGCATTAAATCCATGCTTGTACTAATTCAACATTAGAACTTCTAAATCTTCTGTGATAACAATAACTACCAATGAAATTACTTAATTAGATTCTATTTTGGATGACCAATTGTGTTTTGACAAAAGAACCTTGCTTATGATTAAGCTGAATCTTTGTCTTAAAGCATATCATCAAAACAATATAAAAAAGTTACCCACATCTGAAATACTACTCTAACAGATAGCAAACTATTAGGCTGAGTTAATGCTCATACATTCTTGATTTAGTTAACCCATTTATATATATATATTCATATTATTATATGACTACTTTAATATAATATCTGACAATATGTTTTAAAAATAAAAAATAAGATAATCAATTTTTTCAATGAAATACATGTTTATATATATGGAGAATATCCTCAAATATTAGCATAACTACTAAAAAATTTAGAAAAATAACATACTTAAAAAAATTTTATAAACTAATTTCTAAATGAAAAAGTAAACTATAATTAGATTAATAAATAATATAAATTCTTGAATTATAATTACAATAATTATTATTTTTTCAATTATTTTAAATATGCACTTTTTTTAATTATTAATAATGAAGTGCGCACTTCTTTTTTAGAAATACGCATTTGTTCATAATTTATAAAATTTATGCGCACTCTAATGTTTACAAATACATTATTGAACTAATTGATTAATAATTAATTCAATCAATGAAAGTCTAATCAACCACAACACAATAAGATGATCACTTCTTAATTTCCAACTATGATTATAAGTCAACCAACATTGAAAAGAATGGAGACAAGTACATAGCAAAACCCTAGATTACAAATTTCAAATTCAAGACTGACACCAGAATACCAAAAGTAGGTGTTATGCTTGTAGGATGGGGAGGAAATAATGGAACAACTCTTACTGGTGGTATATTGGCAAACAAATTCAATATTACATGGAATAGCAGAAGAGGAACTCATCAACCAAATTTTTATGGATCTCTTACATAAAGCAGTGTCATTAAGATTGGTACATGCAACACTGAAGAAGTCTTTGTTCCATTCAAAGATGTGTTACCAATGGTTAATCCATGTGACATAGTATTTGGTGGATGGGATATCAGTTCATTGAATTTGGCTGACGCTATGAGCAGAGCATAAGTTGTTGAATACGATTTACAATAAAAATTGAGACCATATTTAGAGAAGTTGGGTTCCATTACCCTCAATGCTATTATCCAGATTTCATTGCAGCTAATTAAGGAGACAGAGCAGACAATGTCATTCCAGGAAATAATAAATTAGAGCATCTTAACATCATTAGAAAGAACATTGCAGATTTCAAATAATAAAATAATTTGGATAAAGTAATCCTCTTGTGGACAGCAAATACAGAGAGATTCTGTGTTGAAGATCCAAATATTCACGGAACAGCTGAGAAATTATTAAAATCAATTGAATCAAGCCATCCAGAGATTAGTGCCTCAACAATCTTTGCATGTGCTGCATGTTTGGAAGGATGCTCATTCATTAATGGATCACCATAAAATACTATTGTTCCAGGAGTTATTGAATTAGCAGAAAAGGCCGGAGTTTTTGTTGCAGGAGATGATTTCAAGACTGGATAAACTAAATTTAAGACTTGTTTAGTTGAATATTTGGTTGGTGCAGGTATCAAACCAAAAGCCATTATCTCATATAATCATTTGGGAAATAACGATGGAAAGAATTTGTCATAAGAATCCTGTTTCAAAAGCAAGGAAAGAAGCAAGAAGACTTGTGTTGATGATATCTTGGAATCCAATAAAGTTTTATATCCAACAGAAGAGGAATTGAACATTGATCATACCATTGTTATTAAGTACTGTCCTGAAACTGGAGATAGCAAGAAGGCTATGGATGAATATATTGCTGAAATCTTCTTGGGAGGAAGATAAACTTTTGCAGTTTACAATGTTTGTGAAGATTCATTATTGGCTGCTCCATTGATTATGGATCTATTGTTATTGTGCGAATTGTTTGAGAGAATTCAATTCTCCAAGGATTCTTCTGAATACCAAAGATTCGACACAGTCTTATCTTGGTTGAGTTATTTGATGAAAGCTCCTAAATCAGAAAGTGGAATCACTACCATCAATTCTCTATCAAGACAAAGAGCTATGCTTGAAAATTTAGTTAAAGTATGTGCAGGATTAACAATTGATGATAATCTTAGATTGGAAGTTAGATATGGTGCTAGCAGATTTTAATAATGATTTTAACTATATTTGTAATTAATTATATCACATTAAATAGATAAATCAAGATTCATCTTCATCGAAACTAAAATTCTCAAATGTCTTCTCATTTCTGCATGATTCAGGACTGTCTATAGCTGGTTCATCTATAAACATCTAAAATCAGTTTATTTTACTACCCTATTAAAATATTATAAATCTGAAGGTCCCTTCAATTCCAATTTGATAGGAGGCTCCAATTACTTATAAACAACACCTTCCCAATCTATCCCCCTAAAGAAACCGTGTGATTTTATTTAATTAACATCTAACCTCTCACTAGCCTAAAATAATATGATCCTGTATATACATCATTATTCAACAATCCTTACAATAAAGACTTGCATTCTTCACTAAACCAAGGTTTGATATCTATGGGCTTTTCTAATCTATTTCTAAACATTAGAGTTCTATCGACACTATAAAATGGAGCAGCTCCAGTCAACATTTCATACAATAAGGCTCCTAAAGACCACCAATCACATTATTCGTCATGTCCTTATCCATCATCTTAATAGATCTCAGGGGCTAAATATTCAGGCGTACCAACAATTGAATGAGATCTAGTTTTAATATCTGACAATATTTTTGATAATCCGAAATCAATCAGTTTGATGTGTCCATCTGAACATATTAATATGTTTTCTGGTTTTAAATCTCTATACAATATTTTATTTTTATGGAGATGCTCCAATGCAACTATTATTTCACAAATATAAAATTTTGATTATTCCTCACTAAATTTGTAGGCTCTTCTCAAATGGAAAAACAGTTCTCCTCCTTAACAGAAATCCATTATTAAGTATAACTTAGTATCACTTTGAAAAGCAAAGTGGAGTTTTGTAATGAAGGGATGTGTGATATGCTATAAAATGAATCTCTCTGCCGAAATATATTCTTCTTTGACTCTCTACTTTGATACTATTTTCATTGCATATTGTGTATTTTTGTTCTTTTTTTTCACTAATAATACTTTTCCACATGCTCCTTTTCCTAATGTCTTTAGTAATTTAAAATGTGTAATGTCAGTTTTCTACATTTATTCTTTCTCGTTCAATTCACTCATTTGCGTAGTAAAATTATTTCTATAATTATCATACCCTTTTTCCTAGATACTTACTTTATTCTAGGATTCCAATGAAATTCTATCCGACTTGCTTTCCCTACAACTATCAAAACATTAGCCCATAAAAGAAAATGATTAATATTATTAAAATAATCAATTCCACATTTGATTAACAATAATATAAATTTGGATATAAATTCAAAAATGCTAAAACTACATCAAAATATCATCTATATAATATTATAGATATTAATATACTTAAAAAGAATATTTAATTTATTAATAAAAATGATAGTAGGTACAAGAGTAAATCCTTATTTTTAAAGCAATCGTCGAGGTGGAAGTGCTATAAAATGTGGAAGGTTAGAAAATAATAGTAGTTTTTAAACTCCAAAAATGAAAATGCAAAACTCAGCTGAAGATAAATTGTTGGTAATTTTAATTCCTTAAAAAGTCAGATGAAATAATCAGATGTAAATCAATTAAGGTAGAGTCCCTCTTTTAAACTTAAAAATACAAGATTTCATACTCCAGGAAAGCATGATGAGATAAAGAAATAAACTAACATTTAAGAAACTTATGCTCGTAAAACAAGAATCACAGTCTTGGAATCTTTCTATCATTAACTAGGGACTGATGATGACATTTCAGTTGTAAAAAATACTTAGTAAGTCAAAAGAAAATTGATATAAATAACTCCATCTTCCTAAACTGCGTTCATCTCGAAAAAAAATTAAGAACTCGAAGAAGAAAGCATTGAAGAAGCACATTTCTAATTTGTATAAATGCAATAAAAATATAAATAATGGTTGGAGAATTTTGAAAAGAAAAGTGGAAAACAACTTTGATTCATATTATTATAATTTTCTATTTAATGAATGCAATTATGAAGTTTTCTCATAGATCATCTTCTTTCAGTCAGGGAGACATCTATAGTAGACTTCTTGATATGCATGATGAGTTATCGAAATCCAGTAGGAGTCTAAACAACCTCATAAACTAAAGTTTAAGATAATTATAGAAACCAAAAGAAGATAATCGTTTTAGTTTTTCAGCTGAATTTCAATAGCAAACTCAATAATAAGAAAATGAAGTAGAAGAGTGGGATCATTTGGATGAAGAGGATGAGAAGAAATAGATAAGTGAAAGAGAGTAGATTTTAGAGAATAAAATAAAGATTTATGAGTCCGCATTGATAACTTTAGAAGAAGATAAACAGGAAAAAGATGAAGAAATCAAGAGACTTAAGAATCTGTAAAACTAGACTCTATAAATAGGTTGAATAACTAAGATAAATAATAAAACATATAAAATGATGAAGAAAATAAGAATTAAAGTGTGATCAGAAAACAACTGGAAATTTTAGATGATCATTTAAACTTCTTAGAAGAAAGAAAACAAATGTAGTAAAAAATCAAAGAGTACGAAGCTAAGTTTAAAGAGTAGAAAGAAATTATCGATTCTTAAAATTTAGAAATATCTCGCTTAAAGCATATAAATTAGTATTTACATAAGTCAATTGATAAGTTATAAAAGTTGTGAATTATTCTTATTTAAATACCATAAATATACTGTAATCTATTCTGTAAATACCACCTTCTTTCCTTACTAAATTGAATTGCATCAATCTTAAATCTATTTTTAAGATTTAAATTACATCTAAACTAGGTCCTATTTAATTTGATCAAATTAAATAATATTTAAAATTATGGTGAATTATGTATCCAATTTAAGTAAATTATCTATAATACATTCTATGTTTACCCTTTCAAATTTTAAAGCAAAAGTTTGCTAAGAAATAATAATGATAATTCTATTGCAAATGTTCACTTATGTTATTGTTATGAAATCTTTATGAATATTTCTAGGTGAAATTCATTAGATCACTTTATTAATTAATTCTATAGAGAAAAATGATTAGAAATTTCTACAAATTTATGATTTATTATAATAATATCATAGAGCCATTTTCTTTCCAGCAAATCCAGCAATAGTTCCTTTTTTAGCAGCAATATCATTAGCATCCAAATTACCGCCTCTTCCTCGGCCTCCTCTTGAGAATCCTCTGTCACCTCCACGGCCTCTTCCTCCGAAACCTCCTCCGAAGCTTCCTCTATCTCCTCTTCCACCAAAGCTTCCTCTTCCTCCGAAGCCTCCTCTATCGCCTCTGTTACCGCCACCACTTCTTTATGATGAATTTGCAAGATCAACTCTGATAGCTCTACCTTCAACATCAGTTCCGGTCTTTGAGAGTCCCTTTTGAGCTGAAGCATTATCAAAGTATTCAACATATCCAAATCCTCTTGACTAAACATTAATACAATTATTATACCTTTCCTTCTGCATCTTTAGCAATTCTTACTTCCTTGATCTTTCCACAGTCTTCAAAAATTGGATACAAAGAGTCTTCAGTAGCATAGAAACTCAAGTTTCCAACGAAACATGTTGTGCTTTCTCCTTATCCTCCTTATTATCCTCCTTATTATGGTCTTTGATCTCTTGGTTTAGTCTTCTCAACAGTTATTGTTCTTCCCATATGATCTTAGCCACTGTATTCAACAGCTGAATTTTAAGCATCCTCAGTGGAGAATCTAACAAAAGCGATTCCCTTTGAGTATCCATTTGGTCCTTTCAACAAGTTAACGCTGTTGATGTTTCCACATTCACCGAAAAATTCTTTGATATCATCTTCGGTGGCATCAAATGAGAGTCCTCTTACGAAAACTTCATGATCTTATTATCCTTATTAAGCTTATTGAGCTTGCTTTTAAGGTTATTATTATTTTCCTCTAGGAGCTTCATCCTCTTCATCCTCATCTTCTTATTCAATTTATTGAGTTTTTTATGGAGCCTTAGTTTATTAGACTGGTTTCTTGGGGGGAGGAGGAACATCATCTGAGTCATCATCAGAATCTTCTTAGACTTATGGTTTGACTGGAGCCTTTGCAACTGGTTTTGTAGCAGCAACAGTTGGTTTAGCAACGACTGCTCCTTTCTTGGGGGGAGGAGGAACATCATCTGAATCCTCATCTGAATCGTCTTAGACCTATGGTTTAACAGGGGCCTTTGTTTAGACAGCAGGTTTAGCCACTGGTTTTGTGGCTACTACTGGCTTCTTTGGAGGAGGGACATCATCAGATTCCTCATCTGAATCATCTTGGACTTATGGTTTAACAGGGGCCTTTGTTTAGACAACTGGCTTAGAAGCAACTTATTTGGTAGCAACAACTGGCTTCTTTGGAGGAGGGACATCACTAGATTCTTCATCAGAATCATCTTGTTAAACTTATGGTTTAACTGGGACTTTGGTTTAAACAACTGGTTTAGCAGCTTGTTTAACTGGGGCAGTCACCTTTTTGGGGGGAGTAGGGGCATCATCTGATTCCTCATCAGAATCCTATTATTTAACAGGCTTTTTTTAAACCACTGCTCCTTTCTTTGGGGGAGGTGGAACATCATCAGAATCATCATCCTCTTGAACAGGCTTCTTTTATGCCTACTTAGGGACATTTTAATTTGTGGTGTTTGACTTTGTAGCATCAAAACTGCCCTTTTTCACAGTTTATACCAACTTAACTGGTTCATCTTAATCATCAGAATCTACTTGTGGTGCTTTAGCAACTACTTTAGTTGTACCAACAACTGCCTTTTGTTATTATTATTTTTTGGGGGGAGGTGGAACATCGCTCAATTCGTCAGAATCAGAGTCTTGTTTTTTTATTGGTGCACCTTGGTTTGTTTTGACAAGCTTGCTGGGAACTTGATTGGGTTTTGTAAATTTAGACATCTTTTTTTTAATTTATTTTAATGTGTGGAATAATGAAATAAAAATTTCTGAGTTATAAACTGTAATTTTAAATAAAAACTTTATAATCTTAAATTATGAATAAATATCAACCAATGAATTTTTGAATTTTAATGATTCAAAACTTTAGGATAATCTTAGAATATCCAATAAAATTAAGAATATATGTAAATACTAATTTCTAAAGAAAAAAAATAATTATCAGGGCAAAACTAAATAATAAAACTTTTTTGTTAGACTAGTAAAAGTGAATCTAAGTGTTGATATCTTAGGGTAAAAGATAAATAAGTAAATAAAATTTTATATACTTTTTTTATATATCTAAAAATGGATGAATTATAATTGGAAGTAATATTAGAAATTAAGAATAGCAGATAATAGAAGAAATAACTAAGTTAGTCAAATCCAATTTATATTTATTGGATATAACTCAATAGAATATCATCACAAATTAAAACAAAAATTTGAATTATAAATTTCAACGTATATATTACTATTTAATTCATTCATTGAAATAAAAATTTTCATTAATATATAATTCATATATAATATCGATGATTAAAAACTAGATCTATGAAATTCCAAGATCACTTTAAGAGTAACATGATTCGATGGTTAATTTAAAGACTTTTATCAAGGAAGTGATACAAGCTTCAGGAAAGAAGTGTACACCAGAGGAAGTTAATAAGGTGTGTTAGAATGACGCTGCTACAATTGATAACCTCTTGAAAAGAGTTCGATAATAAGGGAGTGATGCTAATAATCCATCAAGTAATTAATAGAATAAAATTATGTAGATCAGAATGTACCATCTCCTATAAATTAAATCAAATTGGACTCTTATTAGCAGTTATACAACTAGATAGGAAAAAATATTGATAGTTTAACAGAATAAATCTAAGCGTAGGATAAACCGGGGATATAATATCACAAAGCTCAGCTGAATTACTAATTAGAATCAGTCAATTAAAATTCTATTAGGATTGATATAGATCTTGAAGTATTTAGAGAGAAAATACAAATTATTAATGGAGAACGAGATTAAATAATAGAAATAATGTAAGACATAATAAGAAAGTTTGAAGAAATTAATTCTCAAAATATTTCTTAAGATATAGAGGATGATGAGTCTTAGGATAGTTAATATTAAAACCTAAAAAATATTATGGAGAGAGCAATTATAGCTATAGTAGAGGTAGAAGAAAATCTATAGAATTGTGTTGAGTTAGTAAAAAGATTTTATAATAATAATTCAAACCAGGGCTCTAATATTGTAGTTATTTAAGATTTATAAAATAGATTGAATGGGAACTTATCATTTTTTACATACTTTAAAAAGGTTTTTAGTTAAACAATAGAAGCAGTTTAACAATTTTAAATATTTAATAGAAATTAGTCTTAAAAAATTAGAGATCTTTAAAGAAAATTTCATGAATTGTAACGGACAAACAATTAATATCTAAACTAATTCAAAGTTTAAATGATGGAATCATAAAAAAACAAAAAAAAAATAGATAATCTTATGACAGGAATTTGTTTAAATGCCAATAGAAAAACCAGCTAAGGTATTACCTTTAAATTATTTAGAATTATTAAATCATTATGAGGAATTCAATGATTAGATAATTATTGGAATAAAGAAGCTGTCTCAAATAATTTACGCAGTGTTTCCAATATAGAATTTACAATAAAAGATTCAATTAGATCGTGATACTATAACCGATATGATAAGTTTTATCAATAACATCAGCCAAGAGAACGAAAATATTAACACTGATAGTTAGGAATAATAATGGGAAAGAAGTTTGAACTTGTTTCAGAAAATTATCTCTAAAATTAGCACAGATTCTCTTGTAAATTAGTATATCAAGAATTCTTTTGAATGGATTTTAGACATTAAAAGAAAAGTTTAAGAAAATAAGGAATAAATTTAAAGAATTAAAGAAAGGGCTAATAATTAAGCACCCATTTGATTAATTTATAAATAAGATATTAGAATCAATATTTTTTTAATTTATATAGAGATAATTGAAAGATTGTCTTTAAAATATATAATAAAATAAATAATTAACAAAAATGATGCTCATAGATCCACAGAATAAGCTACTTCAAACCTAGATTATGGATTTGATCATGTAATTTAAGATAAAGATTGTAGGAAAAAGGATCCAAGAATCGTGGTCGCAAAAGATTACAATTACTCATGCACAAAATTGTAATATAAGGAAGATGGTAAATTGTTTCTATCATTTACTTGTTTTAATTTCAATGAGATATTCAGCATAGCAGGTAACTACATGATAGAGAAATACTACAAGGGTATTTACTTATAATAAGCATAGATTACACTAAGGAAGCTGTAGATGTTGGATTTCATTTGACATTTTCATTTGATGCTGCATCGGCCAAAGAAGAACCTAAGATTCCAAAGAATGCTACAGAAGCAGAGAAAGCAGAAATCTAAGAACTAAAATTACAGATAAGAGCAGAAAATTAGAAATTGTTTGAGAAGGTCACAAAGGATTTCTCATAGATAAGAAGAAACTTCTATGCAGCTGCATTTGAGTAGGCATTTGATCAAATCAATAAAGGAGAAGCAGCATCTACATTCAAATATCAAAGTAGAGAGAATGAAGTTGTTTATGCTATTCCTGACAAAGATGCTTTGAACATTTTCTATGAGATTTCATTTTCTGACAATGTAGATAGAACATTAGCAAATCTAATAATCACCGAGATAATTGATGCAAAGAAAAATGTGAAGATGGCTCCTCCTATTTCAAGATCGAATTATCAATCTTCTATATTGAAATCAGCATTTCCAGAGGTGTCAAATATCAAAGTGGATCCAAATTCCTAATTAATAACAATGACATTATTCAAGGCATAACATTTTAGCAAGAATATAGAATAATTATCTACATTTTTATAAGGATTTAGGTAATATACATAGTGATAATAGACAATATTTGCATTATCATATTCATGCCTCCAAGACTTACTTGCATTCCAGAATCATCAAAAGAATAAGCCAATTCCAGAGAAGTTTACAACTATGTCAATTCGAGCCTGAAGTTGAAAAGAAGACTGAGGATCTATTCGCATCATCTGGTGTAAAAGCATGAAATATAAGAATAAGGATTATTAATAATTATATTTTTTTAGAAAGTCATAATACTTGAGCAAAAGCTGACTCTGTTACATTTCAGCATAATTTACTTTTGGTAAATGAAACATTGATCTTTCTGCCCATCACTTCTTTGCCATGAAGTAAAGCTGCTCCATTCAATGCTTCTTCTAATGATGATAATCTTACTAATGCCATATGTTTTTGTCTATTATAGATGTTTTCTTACTTGTCAATATGTATAAATTTGATTGCTTAAACGTTTCCAATTCCCTTAAAGATCTCTTTAATATAGGATTCGTCTTCACACATCTTCCCTTTGATATTGCTCAAATGCAGTATTTGGCTAGGTGGATTGAATGATATAGATTTGCCATCACTAAATCTGAATTGAGAGGGGAATGGGCATAAATACTTGAGTTTAAGGGGATTGGAATGGTAAAGGAAACTGAATTTCTTAATAATTGGAATAAAAGATCTTCAATTTGTATCCAAAGAACACTTGATTGTTTAGATGATCAAGTGCATTTTAAGCATGTTGCAATTTCTCAAATTACACCAATGCTGATGTTTTACTCTTGATATGAATAATTACTAACACATTTCCGAAATTTGATAGTAAATTAAATATGTTTAATGGTGTAATATTCTGACTCATCAGCCCTCTCAAATAGACAACTTTGGAAGGCTGATTTTCTCTTAAGAATTGAGGTGATACATAGGTGTATGGGTCAATATCTTGATTCTTTATCTTGTCTTCTACTTCTGGTATCGAAAACATATACGAATTTAGGTAAGTGTTCTTTTCAGATGAAAATGCATGCATTATGTCTTCATCTATGGGGTCATGTTCATTGTCATCAAATTATATTGATTTAAAGGACGCATACTTTCTGTTTCTAGGAGAATCTATATCATCTATAAATTCCAGCGATGTTTATATTTTTGAAGGTTCCCATTCATTTTTATAATCCTGAAAATCCTATTTGTCATTTAAGCTGGCCATTGTTCTCTCATTTCCAAAACTCGCCATGCTTAATTTCGTGTCCTGTTGAGTTATCAAAGGTTGACTGTATGTCTTCGGATAATAGTCTTATTCATAAACATTCACAGTCTTGGTTGAGTTTCTTTGTTTCATTGCCTTATAATCCACACCCCCTGAATTGTTGTTCAGAAATGTGACACTCTGCAATGTCGAATAGTAACTATTATTCATTTAGATTATTTACACATTCATTATTGTTTACTCGTACAACTAACAGCCATTCAATTATTACTGTGAAATCTTGGCCTATTATAAAGTAGCCATCTCTATAAAACATTTCCATAACTTCCCTTTCTCGAATATCAATATCTTATTAACTTCCCCATAATTTGAAAAGTATCGATAGAACAAAGAATGAGGCAGTATTATTGATTAAGGATTCTACACAATCACCAACAAAACTCGTGTACTCTCATTCTCAGATATCATTATATATTTTTATTATTTATATCGAATACTATTATTGAAATCACATATCATTTATATATATACTATTTATTTAATATGCTCATAATTGCAATTAAGGATTTTCATTCTCCGATAATTTTCTTATCACCTTTTCATAACATGAAAAGAAGTCATCCTAAATTTAGAAAACATCAATGAGTTAATTTTAATCATCTATGTATTATTTGAGACTGTTAAAGAAGTTCTTAAACCTATCCAAAATTAAAATTAATTATTCACAATTTGAAGGGGAATTTCCTAGAAGTAATTATTTTTAATTATCAATTATGGCAATTACATCGTATTAATTCTAAAATCTCAATTACATCTATGAAATAGTTAAGCCTTAAGAACTAAACAGTAATAAAATCTAATAGAATTCTTCATTCAACAATTTTAAAGTTTCTTTAAACCTATGATAACTATTTATTGTTATATTAGTGTTCTCTTAGTCAATCAATTGGTTTTATACTCTCTTTAAGGACTAAAGGATTTCCTTATTTTCATCTATCAAATTCTAACAGGTTTCGCTTATATTTTTAACATACTCTTTTAATTTAATAACCTCTTATTCTAATATCCAGTTTTTCTTGTCTTATTTATCGAAATCAATCTTCATTTAAATCAAAATTTGCTAAAAATTTTTCATAATCATCTAATTTAATTGTAGGAGACTTTAATGATTTTTCAATACATTATCTACCTAAATATCAGTGACTTTATTCTTAGCCCTAAAATGTACATATTATTGATTCAAATCTTCTATAACTCCTTTTATCCCCTCGATTTTACTCAAAAGTATCTCAACTTCTTCCTATCCTCTTTGTTTACTTTCAATTAATTTTTAACAAAGATCGCTAGTGATGCTGCAATTGGTTGAAATATTTAAAAAATGCTCCGTAAATTTCTTAAATTCCTACTCATATTTAGTATTCTAAGGAAATGGAATTCTCTATTGATCTTAGGCTTTAAGAATGTCTTCTTGATATTTAAATAGCCTTTTATCAGCCTCATCTTTTTATTTCTTTAAGGATTCAATTAATTCTTTATTTTTGACTTCTATCATTAAATGTTCTTTCGAAATTTTTTAATTCGCTTCATAGAGTCTCTCATATTCGATACAAAGCTTATCAAATTTACTGATTGCAATTTTGCCTTATTAGCTCATTTCACTTTCTTAAGAAGTCGCCTTCAAGTTACTTATTTACTTCTGCAAATTTAATTTTTCATTTTACTCTTGTAAGATCGTTTGCTATAAATTTAATGCTAGCTTCACTAATTCTTCTTTATTATAATCATCTTATAAAATTGATATTAACTTTACTTTATAAATAAAATAAAGCAGCTTTTTCATTTTGAGTTAATAACTCAAGCTACCTGGCAAGTGAAGTTTAATATTTTGAATTGTTCATTTTATTAACTAATAAAAATATTCTACAATAGGATTTTACTTTAAAAAATATTCTACTTAGATATTGTAAGAATAATACTATTATAAATTGTAAATCATAATAATAAAATAGGTTTCAAAGTTTGATATTGAAAGTAAATCTTGATAATTTAATCTTGGTTCAATTTTTATTAATTTCTTAAACCAGATTGATTCATTAGATAGATTATATATGTATAAAGTATTGTATAGCATAAATTTTAGTCTAATTTAATTGAATTTTATTGCGGAAACAATTGATTTTTGTTTAACTAATTTAATTATTTGATGAGAATATTTATGATTAATTTATTAACAAATATATATGAATGCTAAATTTGATGCTCTATGCAGATTTTTTGTTTAAGGTAATTGTAGGCAAGGAGACCAATGCAAATATTCCCATGACACATCAAATATTGAGAAAGTTAATTTAGACAGAGATGATAAGGGAAAACTGAATTTGAAGAAGACTAATGATTTTTAATCACAAGATAGAAAAATTTTTAGAGGCAGAGGCAGAGGAAGAGGTTACATAGATAGAAGTTAGGAAGAGTAATAAACCAAAGAAGATAATAAAATAGATAAAAGCGAGAGAAATGAGTATAAATAGAGATAGCAATAATCAAAGATATCTTATGATCAAAATAGCTTCCAGCGATATGGATAATCATAGGAGGGAAATGAGAATAGATAAGTGAAATAGAAATTTGATCGAAATTTTGATGAATAGAAAAATTAGAATCAGTAACCTACGCATAGAGAGAAACATAATTTTAATTAAGAGAAGAATAATGTTAATTCGGAGAGGTGGTAAAGAAATCAGGAGAATGAGAATGGAGAGGATTAGCAATAATTTCGTTAAAATACACGTGGAAGAGGAAGAGGCAGAGGTAGAGAAGGTAGAGAAAATACATTTACAAAAAGAGATTAGATATAAGATGAAGAGAGGGATAAAGAGAGAGGGAATTAGAGTGAATGGTAAATAGAAACTGTTAGTCTCACAAAGAAAGTGAAAAAGAATGAGATTTAAGTAAAAACGAGGTCTTAAGTGTTGAATTTGGAATAAAAGAAAAATATAGATAGTCTAATTCAAATCGCAGGATATCATTTTTAATTTCTAGGTATTTTGAAATCAGATGCAATTGATTTTTATTAAATCCCATTCAAAAGAAGTGGGAGCGACATAATAGATGAAGAAAAGAAAGTAACAATTAGTCATTTAGATAAATAATTTATTTCTGCTTTTATATAAGAACATCCAAATAATGGTTATACACTTATTATACAATTTTAGAAGGAGGAGGAATCATTTAAAAATCTATTGATATTTCATAATGTGTTTCAATAGTAATGTCCTTATATTATATCTGATATATCAATGAAAGAGATTGTCTATACAAACTTTGAGGATGGATAATTATATACATTTTGTAAAGATGGATTGATCAGGATATTCTCATTAGGAATGAGATGGGATAGTTAAAGTGCACTTAACATTACAATGTTGAACAATCCATGGAGAGTGTAATTAAGGTTGGGAACAATTACTTGATTGGAATGAGAAGTGGTCAACTCTATTTATTTAATGGATCGAATCATAACTGAAATTCCATATAAGTTTACTTAGAAGTGCACATAAATGATCATAGATATCAATAGAGTAATCCTGAAGATGGATGACGATACCTCAACATCAATATATGTATTGAGTTAGAATTTGGAGATAATTGGACCTATTTATAGTGGAGCTAAGGTGGTTTGCTTAGAATTAATAAAAAGTTATGAAAGTGATAAATTGTTTATTCTTGGACTCAGTAATTCTGTTGAGATCTATACAGAAATTGAAAATAAATTGTATCCCATAAATAAGATTTTGAATTTGAAATTGATGCAACTGAAGAAGATTGAAATCACTAATGAAAACATGGTTACTTAGAAATTTATTGTAGGAGAAAACTGATGGAGAAATGGAAATATACAGTGTAGTACCTGAATAATGATTTGTTTATTTTAATTATGCTTATTTAATCAAAAAAATGTCATCCATAAAGTCTGCCAATTAGAGCATATAAAGAATAAATCTTATATGGGGTCGATACAAACAGCACATTGATCATCTTAGCTGAAACTGGGTCAGGCAAAACAACTTGTACATAATGTTTAATGAATATTAGAGATACCATAATATTTAATAGAAGCTGGTTATGGGGGAGATGAGAGAGTTCTAGTCTCCTTACCAAGAAAGATGGCTGCCATCAGTATAGCTTAAAGAGTATCTGATGAAAATGGGACTGAATTGGGATAGGATATTGGTTATAGAGTGAGATTTGAATCGAAAGGTGAGTGAAAATACAAAGATCGAATATATGGACTGATGGAACTTTGATCTAAATTATAATGGGCAATCCATTGATTGAAGGATATTCAGTTGTAATGCTTGATGATATTCATGAACGTACATTAAATACAGATCTCTTATTGTGTTTGATCAAGAAGATCCAAAAAAAGAGACCAGAATTGAAGGTGATAGTTTCATCTGCTACGATGGAGGTAGAATTACTCTAAAACTTTTTTCCGAATAGCAAAGTCATTGCAATTAGAGGGAGGAATTACGAAGTCGATGTAATTATAATCTAATTGGCTTTTAGATTATGTATTTGCTTGAACCATGTAAAAATTATGTGATTGCTGCTGTTGAAATGGCATATCATATTCACAAGAAGATGCCTGAAGGTGATATTCTTGTATTTTTAACATCTGTTGAAGAAATTCATGCATTTATCAATTTATGGTCGCATCATAAGGCTAATTGTGCAGTCTTACCACTTCATGCTAGCTTGGCCATTGATAAATAGCTATTAGTATTTAAATAGCATGCAAGCAGAAAAATTATAGTATCAACAAATGTGGCAGAAAGCAGTGTCACAATAGATGGAATAGTCTATGTGATTGATTCATGTTATCAAAAAGTCAAAGTTTATGATTATAAGAGAAGTATTACTAATTTAATCATTAACTTAGATTTGGAATAATTAAATGTACTACCAATATCCTAGCAATCTGGTGCCTAGAGAGCAGGCAGAGCTGGAAGAACAAGAGATGGAATCTGTTATAGATTATGTACTAAGGAGGATTATTAAAATTTGCCTAAGACCTTCCCTCCTGAAATATTGAGATCCAATCTCACAGAACTCATTTTATAGATTAGAGTAAGAATAACTCATATTTATGTAGTCATTCTCATTGACACCCAATCATTTGCAATGCAGCAATACGTTTTTGACTCCTGTTTCGAATGAATAATTAATCAATTGTATCAACATTTTGATGAGCCTGAAATTAATTGATGAAAACTTTTCATTAACAGAATTGGGAAATGCCATAGTTGATTATCCATTAGAAACATAACTAGCAGTTTGTGTTGAAAATAGCTTTCTAGAGGAATATCAATGTTCCGACGAGATGCTCAAAATAGCCAGTATTCTCAGTATACAAGGAGGCATCTTTAGTAGCGATGCCACACCATTATAGATGTTGAAGGCTAAGAAGGCTTTGGGATGTAGAGAAGGAGATGTGTTATCACTTCACAACATTTTTGTTAGATATATTAACATCGGAAATAAAGGGAATTGGTGTGATACATATAGGGTATCAAAACATAAGTTAGAATCAGCTGGAAAAATATACAAATAAATTCAGAAGAGAAGAAAAAATAGATAAATTAAAAGTTCCATCCAAGATGTAGAGGCTGTTTAAAGGTGCTTTGTTTCTGGATTCTTCTCTTAAGTAGCATAACGAGAAAATACAGCAAGGGAAGGGGTTTACAGGAATATCTACACTAAATAATTGGTTCATCTTCATCCTGCTTCTGTTTTAACAGTTTCATACCCTGAATGGGTAATTTATCATGAATTGATTGAGCAAAGTAACAACTTCAGCCTAATTTATAGATAATAAGTTAACTATGCACAATGTAACAGAACTTGATCCACATTGGTTGTTTGAAATTGCACCTCATTTCTATAGGGATGCCAGATAGGAAATTGCAGAGATGAAACATCAATAGGAGAAGGATTAATTAGATAAGATAGAGGCTGAGAAGTAATAAAAGCAATAGGAATTATTGATGAATTAAGAAAGCAAAGTAGTTTTTGGGAGCATCAAATAGAGAAAGCCAGGATTTAAGGGCTTTGGTTAGACCTAATTTCCCATTAAGAGTAAGGAGCAGAGGCTAGGATCTCTGTCATTTAATGAAGAAGATGATTTTTGATTTGATATATGGGTTTTTTTGTTATTTTATTATTTTAATGAATATAGCAGAATAGATTGCATTGAAAAAATATGAGTTTAATAAGTAAATGGAATAAAGAGATATCATTTAAGAAATGGATGATCATCTCAAAAATTTACATGAATCAGATGATGACAGATCATTTTATTAAATGCAGTATGATTAAAAGGATATTCAAAAACTCATAACTATTATGTTAAAATATTATAGCAGATAAGAAGGTTAAACTTATTAAACTAAGAAATGCTTTTACTTTTATATTTGGAAATACTTTCAAAATTAAGACATTTTTGAAAAAAATTGGGAAATTGAAAGAAAGGATTTAGAGAAACAGAAGCGTTATCCATATAGAAATATGAAGAAACAACGTAAATATATCGAAGAATAGATATTTGATTTGGAAAGGAAAAACTTCTTCCAATATAGACAGAAGCAGATCTTAATACAATTATTCAAAAATGCAGCTCGGAAGGAGAGATTAATCAAGACCATAGCATTTCATAGATTTATAAGGAATGCATCTTTAATGAATTATTCAAGCACTTCAAAATACAATACAAATCAGAATACATTTAAATCAACTGTTACACAATAAAATAATGTTTTTTATTAGAAGGAAAACAAATAAAAATCGAGATCTAAATCACCAATTAGTAACAATAACTCAAAGGTTTCATTGTCTACGAAATCACTGAATTCTAGAAACAGAGCTGTTTTTAAAATGTTGATTTACCTTTAAAAGGTAGATGATAAATTGAAAAATAAAGTTTCATTATATTTTTATAAATGGATAAAGATTATAATGTAAGTAAGATAACTTGAATAGATTGAAGAGATCAACTCAATTAATTTGATACTTAATTAATAAGTTTTTAAAGAGAGTGTATTAAGAACACAAATTTAGTTAATTAAATCAGAAATCGATTCAAAAACTTATCTTGCATAAGAATTACTAAATTAATTATTAAAATGACTTAAAATTATTTTCGTGTTTAAAAATACAAATATTTAATAGATTGATGTAAATAGATTCAATTTACATGAAGTTGAGGAACTTTAAAATTTGTTAAGCTTCCCAACTTCATTTCTAAATTTATCGTCCTAGGAGTGATGCTTTAATTATCATTAAACTCATTATTATTAGCCACCAACTCATCAATCTCTTAATTTATATTGAGATTGTTTTGACGAGCACTCACAATATCAAATCTCTTAAGCGAACCATACAAATCTTCGACCTACCGATTAAACCTTAAAGGGTTAATAAGTATTTCTGTTATGTCCAAAAATTTATCAATCATAAGCGATTGATTTTGATATAGCTATCTTGCATTGCCTGATTTGATAAGTTTAAAAAATGTTAGGGACTCAGATGAAGTACTTTTAGGCATATCAGTATTATTGTTATTATAGTTGTGTTGTTGATGAGTTAAACAATTCATCAAATAGAGTCGATAAAGAATGGTTTAGATTGGAAATAGTGCAAAATCGAACATTATTCTAATGATCGTGAAAAAGCCACCTATTTTGGCAGCCACATCCATCAAAGTTTAATAGGTGATAAAATGAATCCGTTTTTTAGCATCTAAATTAATTTCTATTTGAGCAAAACTCGTGTCGTCTTCAAAATTTAAAGCAGAGTCGACTGCAGAATTTTAATATTCAAAGCCATCGTGTTAGACAAAGGAAGGAAAGAAATAGAAGGGATTATACTCTAGTTAACTTTATGAGTATTAAAAATAGATTTTTATGTATTTTCGAACTTTATAATACATGGGCGTAATGTCTATGCTTTATGCTTTCTCGTAAGGAGAATTATCCAATTCCTTATTGAACTAATGAAAAGAGTAAGAGTAGTAAAGATTGGCATTTTTGATATATGAATCGATGTCATCATTTGAGGCACAATCTAACTTAATGAATAAATATGTACGATTATATTCTGTACCATTCTAACAACGTTAAACTAATGCCCCCAATAGTGTGAAGTTGTCTTATCTAGTAGAACCTTGGATTCTGATTTCTGGGTTTTGCTTGATGTATTCTTCATCCATACAATACGTAATTTCCTCATATTCTTTTGGGATGTTTAAATGCTAACGTATAAAAGTATAGCTACTAATGAGATATCCTGAATTCTGCTACCACATATTCTTCCAGGGATGGACGCACATGTAGTTTCATTTAGTGACTTATTACAGTAATAAAAACTGATCGTGAACACTCGATTATTCTCATTTGGAATGGGTTATCCCAAGTTGTCCAATAGACCAACAGCGAAAATATATTCAGAAGAATTAAACGTATAGCCCTAAATAAATTTAACTCTTCTTTTACTTCGTCGCTTGAAATTACAGCTTCTTTTGAATTAAGAATTGCATTTTTCCCTTTATTCATTTCCAAAATAAAGGAATTACAAGAATAGGCCAGGATTGCAAAGAGTGCCATGGTCATAAAAGCCCCAATATTGGTTCGATAAGCTGATTGTCCAGTGGCCAAGAGTCTTATTTCTTATCCAAAAATATCAAATCTTCTAAAGGTTTCTGAGAATTAATTCATTAAATTTTAATGATTCTTATCAATAAATTAGGATATTCTTAAATAGTTGAGATTTATTTTTTAATAATTTGAAATAAGCAAAGTAAAGGTAAGGTTTGTGAGAAAATGGTGAAGAAGCAGAAGAAGAATAATTTAATGTTGAATACGTAAATAATGGTAAATCTTGAGTAAATTGACTTAATAATATACATCTTACTTATAAAATATTAAATCATTAATAAATTCTAAAAGTAGCATCCGAACCGCAACTAATAATCATTTTGCTATTGTAATCAAATGCGACATCTTAGACAGCATCTTCATGGCCCTTCAAAGTGTGTTCTTACTATTGGATAAGTAAATGAAGACCTTACTTTCTAGGTGGTTTCATTGTAGAGTCTGATTTATTGGTCATCGGATCCCACAAGAAGAATGGTGCCACTTTTATCCAAGGCAACTGCATTGGCAGAATAAGGACCTGCATCGAATTGGGATCTTCCCTTGACCATTCTGACATCCCACATTTTAATGATTCCATCAGCATCACAACTGGCAATGCTATCTCCCTTCAATGAAAAGGTTGCATGATTGACACTATTCAAGTGGCCATAGAAGGTTTGAACGCATAACCCACTTCTGATATCCCACAAGGAAATAGTCTTGTCAGCTGAAGCAGAAGTGAAGATATTTGAAAATGGCTAGAAACTCACATGATTGACAGAATCAACCTTTCATTAATAAATGGATAATTACATGTCCTCGGAATGTATGTCTAGTTTTACCAGATGCTAAATCGAATACTTTGCATGTATGATCCATACTAGCACTCACAATGAATTCCCCAGTGTCATTGAATTTAACACCCCAAACAGGTTAGATGTGATCTTTGAATGTATGAGTGCATGAAGCATTAATGAAATCCCAGACCTTAATGGTGCAATCACCAGATGAAGTGACTAAATGACTTCCTTTTGGATGAAAATGAATTCCACTGACCCAATCTTTGTGGCCTTCTCCAGACATGATTAACTCGCCTTGTGGCAATGTCCAAATCTTCCAAGTGAAATCATCTGAGGCAGTGGCCACAATTGATTTCTTTGGGTGCATATCCATGGATGATATGGCCATCATATGTCCCTTAAATGTTTTATTTAAGATGGCATTTCTGTAATTTTGTGGTTCTATTTGAGTACCTGCATAAGGATTTGGTCTGTCATCAGGAGGAAATGCAGTATTGGTCTTAGTCGATGCCTTTTTGGTGTTAGCCTTGGTATCAACCAAGGGAAGCTTATCTGTAGGACTTCCTGGTTCTTTTTCTTTGTTAATCTTCTCTTCAACCTTTAATTTATAATTCAAGTAGATATACATTTTATAAGCTTCTTTGGAGTGCTTCGTTTTTGGCCACCAAACGATCTCTTTCCAATTTCAAAAGCATTTTCTCCTTCATTGCATGTGAATACTTCTAGGAGAGTTCTTCGTATTTGGTCTCATATTGCAAATGCAATCCTTTCAATTTATCTATGTCGTGATTTAATTTCCTCTTTTCCTATTGCACTCTATGATGATGCATCTTATGAAAATCTCTTTCCTTTCTGAGTTTATCGTATGTAGATTTGGCATTTTCAGCCACAATTTTGGCTTTATCCAACTCGCCTCTTACGTATTTGAGTTCTTCTTTGAGTTTTTCATTTTGAATATAAACATCTGTTACTTAACCCATGCCGTCTGTAGCCAATTTACCTTTCTGTGAGAGTTCGTACCACTCTTACTAGAAGGGTTAATGATCACAAATACCTGAAATACTTCCAGACTTCGATTCATTTGATTCTTGATAAGGAAGTTACGAATAAAGTCATCAACCACTTCCAATCTATCTTTCCATCCTGGTCCTTTTGTAACTCTCTCATTAGGTTGTGCTTTGGGTATGTAATCTTCCTCTAAGTAAATATAGAATGGAATCATTACTTTTGACATCATTTATAATCTTATCCAAATCATTGAGATTGTCCTCTTCGTGTTTGATGTCATTCAAATCATCCAAATCTTCCAAATCTTCAGGTTCACTCTCACTACTCATCTCAATTTCTACATTATCTACATGATAGTCTTACGTTCAATCACAAAAAACTAATTAGCACTTTCATCAGGTTTATTCATTTTTATATTTTTATATATAAATATTATATGATATAATAATAACTATAACCTAATAATGATCAATAACAAAATCCCAATTCTTTTCTGATTAGAAATTCACATCAGCTACCTCAAACAAACACAAAGGCCCTCTAATCTTATAACACTTATCTCCAAATGCATCCTGCTAAATGCTTCCATGTGAATAGAAATTCATGCATCGCCCTCAAGCACTCTAATTACAATAGATCATACCATAAGGAACTATAAAATGATGTAAACAAATGGAATCATAAGAAAGAATACCCCTTAAATCTCCATAATATCAAAATAGAAGGGGTTGATCAGATTAGTCATCTAATGAAGATATCTAATGTTCAGACTTGAATACTTATAGAGATTTCTATTCTAGGCTATGAGAAATCTGTTTAAAAATTATTTACCTGAGATGAAAAGGGATATCATTAATCTAAGAATAATTATATATAATCCATAAATTCCATTTTATATATTTAGATGTGAATTTTTTTGATTAATAACAATATTATTATGAAAAGCAATGATTACAACAAATTAATTTGATACTGAATATTGTAATTCTAATAATTTAATATTATTTATTAATATTTTGAATAGTTAACAGCCCATAAATATTATGATGTGAATTGATGTTTTATGATTTTGATGTATATTGAAATATTTTAATCACTATTTATTATTTGATGAAAAGATTGTTTTTCCTCATAAATATATATATCACTATTGGATTATTGATTTGTTAGGACGAATAAGGTTTAACCTTGCAACTTGACAAGTCCATCACAATCCCCAATTATAATTGCACCCTGAACGTAAGTAATGAAAAACTAATCAATTTAACATCCTTGGGAGGGTAACTTTAAATTACAGGAACTGAATTGCTTTTGAATTAGAACATTCTATTACAAGGATTCCGACAAGTTGAATTTCAGAATATCACTATTGATACCCAAACTAAAGTGCTTTCAATATCAACACAAGTCCTTCTGAAGAATGTTACACTCCTAAGAAATTGTTAGATCAATGCCACCAAAGTATTGATTCAACAGACTACAATGACCAAGATGACCTTTCAATATTATCCAGTTTTTGATTCCCCTATCGATGTAGATGGACTGATTATATCTGACTCAACTTTTTTTAGAAGTTCTCTTGTCCAAAAGCAAAGTAGATTACGCAATCTTCAGTTTAACTAAGTGAGTTTCATCAACTCCACCCTAGCCACACATGCTTAATTAAATAGAATCACTTTTAATAACTCATTTGTGATTTAAAGTATTTTGATTGCTACGGATATTTCACAAGAAATTACAATTCAAAATTCCTACTTCACTCTTTCCACTGTCTTCCAAGCCAATGGCACACTTTACACTACAATTATTAATGTAACTCTTTCCCAAAGCACTTTGATGAACATGCAAAGCCCGAATCAAATTTAAATTGCTGGCAATCGATTTCAATCTATTATATCAGAATCTCCACTAATTGTGGCAGAGAGTAAATATATATCAATCTTAAATACGACGATGGTGAACATCAAATCAGAGGTAATCTTGTATTTAAACTCATAAAATATCCTGATCAAACAATTTAATTTGAATGATCTTTAAGGAAGTTTAATGATGAATACACATAATTCCAGTAATGTCATAATTAACTAAGTCACCCTCCAATCTAGTTAATCAGTTAATCCATTGTTTTCTGTCAATGGCACTCTCTCAATTTATAAAGGGAGTTTTGATTCTATTTTAGGGACAATATCAAATAAAAATTTAATTCAAGAACTCCTAATTGATTAGGTCAACTTCACTCACATATCTGACTCGCTTTTATTTGACCTAGAATGGACCTCCTTGATTCAAATCACCAATCTGATTATGAGTAATTGTGCATCGACCCAATTTGCAAAATTATCAAACATTGTGAATGTTGTAATAAGAATGTTTAAAATGGAGGATTGTGAGGAATGCAGTTTCCTCCACATTGATGACTCATAAATTGAACTAAGCTTAATTAAGATATTTTAAATTAGGAACTACTTGATTCCATTCATTGTAATCCAAAAATCCACCTTTACAATTAAATAGAGTCAGATTTTTAATGTTAATTAGAATAACAAATAACTTCTAAAATTGGAAGATAGCAATAAGGTAGTATTCAATGAATTGCAGCTTTACGATATCAATTGCTAATTTTGTGATGGAGTTATTGTAATATAGAATAGCATGCACACTGATATACAAAAATGCATATTCAGGAATTCTATCTCATAATTCGGTTACATGAATATCGACAACAACACCAATTTGGTTGCATCTGAAAATTAATTTACCAATATTACCAGTTCCTATGGGTCTGCCTTTGCAGTGACGAATTCGTCAATCAAAATCTACTAAAATAAATTTATTGATTTAACTGCAACTGAAGGCGGAGTCATTTATTTAAATCAAACTGGAGATTCTAATCATTATATTGAATTCAATCAATATGAAAATTGCACTATGAAAACCAATAAGCATATTTATCTAATCACAACCTAAATTGTTGAACCAGATGTTTTGATTTACAATACTGGGCCTGTCTACGTTATTGTGGATAAAGAGACATATTTGTTAGATGATTTGATCAAAAAGAATGTAATAATCGAGTATGATAAAATAAAGAGTGGACAGATGTTTGAATTCATCATTGCACTTTTAGATAGTGGGATGAATAGATTGTGCAAATTGACTAATTATCTGAGAATCGACGAGATGATATTTAAATTGGACTTGCAGAAGTGTCATTATGCAATATCATATACTCAATACTAAAATCTACCAAAGAATGAAACTGTAGAGGTACAGATAGAGTTTCCCTAACTTGAATTCTACAATGATACCTTCAAGTTATCACTACATTTAGGCATGATAGAATGTGGGATTGGAGAAGAGTGGACCAATTAAACATGTTAATAATGTCCTGTTGGTTCATATAGTCTAACAAATTATAGATAGTGTTTGCAATGTATAACTTCGATCGAATCATGTCCTGGAGGCTCGTAGTTAATTGTTAAGTAGGGTTATTGGAGACCAAACAATTTAACTGATGAAATTGAATATTGTGGCACTTCTCAGTCCTAATGCTTAGGAGGAGCAGAGGATTTCACTTGTTCTTAAGGTTACGTTGGAGCATTATGTAGTGACTGTGATTATTACGCTGTAAAATGGAATGCCTCATACACACAGAATTATAGTGGAAATTGTTCATTGTGTTAAAACGACGCATTTAATTTATTAAAGATAATTCTATCATTCTTGTGGATTTTAGTTGTATTGTTTATATCAGTCAGAGGAAGCTTGAAATTGGTGAGATCCCAATTATCAGCCTATTACCTAAGGATGATGGGAATATTCTTTGCTAGCAAATCTACTATGGTAATAGATCAGACTGAAATTCTGATTAAATTGGTTTCTAGTTACTTTCAATTAATTTCGATAATTTTAATTGTTGAATTTGATTTCCCTACTCCTATAGTATATTTTGCTTAAGTGATAGGGAATCCCCTGTCCACATTAGGATTTTCCATTGAGTGTTTTCTATTGCATTCTCACATAGATATTGAAATAGTGTATTTGAGATAATTTTGGAATCTGTTTGTTTCATTACTGTTCGTGTTTTCGTTTGTATTGATCTACTCAATATTGCAATTATGTAAGAAACAACAACTAGAGAATTCAACCAAGACTATTTTCATCACTTGTGTCATCCAAGTTAACTTTTACTTTCAAGGAGACATCATAGAAGGACTGTTGAAATTGATGTTCTGCATCAAAGCCTCAGGGTAATATTACATTTAGGCAGCCACTTCGTACATTTGTTATACTGAGGAGTATTACTTCTACTTAGAAATATTTATAATCCCTACCTTGATGATAGTGGGTGTAATATCTCCCATCTTTTACATAGTGAAGTTGTGTATGAACAGGAACAAGTTGTGGACTTGCAAATTGCGAATGCCCTATGGTTATTTATATGTGGAATATAAGGATCGATATTATTACTGGGAGTTTATTTGTTTCTTTGTGAAATCGATCTTCTACCTTTTGGAGACTCTATTGATTTAGGACATAAAACTGATGTTTCTGTTTGCAATATTAGTCTTGCTAATATACTTAGAGTTACTGAACCAACATTAACCTTACATCGAGAAACAGTACAACTTCATCGACAAGATATCCACTCAATTGGCCATTATCACCTTGATTTGTACCTATAGTCAGCACAAGAACCCCTACAGTTGGTTGGTGTATATGTTGTCGATATCATGTTCGAGTCTTAATCTCCTCTACTGTTCCTACATAGCCACGAAGATCATCAAGGAGTACTTGTCTGGGTTGTAACAGTAACACGTAGAGAAGATAGTCAATTTGATTATACGATATCCTTGCATCAAGTATTGCGTCAAGAAACCCAAGAATTATAATGCCAAGCGAAAGGCGTTGTTACTCTGGAAGAAGGCCCGGATTTACGTTATGGAATTCATTGGAAAATTGAAGTTACAAAAATCGAATCTGAATCTGAGTTCCTAATAATTAGTCAACTCCAATAGACCCAATACGTCATCCACGAATACTACGATCAGTTTATTGAATTCGATTGCACCTCAGTTACTGAAATATATGTATATCCATAGATTATATAATAGCACATTAGATCGAAACAAGATGAATTAGAGAGTAATAGAGTAGAATGATTTCACAAGTGTGATATCGGCTTACATAGATCCTGAAAATCCTTAGAGTCCGGATGTTATGCAATTGCCAAAGAAGAGCACTATATCTACAATTTTTAGTTATGTAAACAACAATAATGCAGAATGATGTTTAAATTACTATATATTAGTTAAATTCATTTGGATTTCTTATTCGTTTATGTTTACAATTATTATTTTTATTAGAATAAGAGATCTGCTTGTTTGAGTTTCTGGACATACTTTTCAACGCGTTCAATTTGGTCATTCAATACTGTCCATTAAAAGGTTTGCTTGTCTAATTTGATAGATGGATTGTACCCTTTAAGTCTTTTTTCATCTCCTCGATTGATTTGTTAATTTGTTCTTGCAATGGTTGTATTTTACGTTCTAGTTCTTTGAAATTGGATTTATTGGCACTTTGAGTATCCAGAATGATGTGATTCATGTATTCCAACTACTACACACGTAAACCAAGACTATCCAATTCTGCATTAATGGATTTCTTAAATTAATCTTCCTCAGCAGTATCAACAGTTTCACTCAAAGACTCTGTTCTGGAATGTGCAATTTGATGAGAAAAGTGTTTGACCAGAACATCCTACATGTTCTCGATATCCTAATGCATGCGAGTGAGTTTGTCATTAACCTAAGATAAGTGATGGAATACTTCTTGCATGATGGAATTGATTTTGCATTCAAACAATTCTTCAATCAAATTGATAATCACATTAATCAATTCTTCTTTAATTTGCATTATTAAAATTATTAATGAGTTTTTCCACAACATGCGAATTCGATCACTCCAAAAATATCCATCGTAAATTCAATACTCTTCATGTGTCATCCAGAAAACATGTAGATCCTTTGATAACCACAAAACCATTCGAAACACGCAATCATGGATAACAATTCGAACAACATTTTGCCCATTACTTGAAAGGGGACTTGAATCTCTAAAGATTAATACAAACTCTCAACTACCCAAGACTGAATGCAGAACAACAAATCTAACCCAAACATAGAATGACTCTCAAAATACGTCAATAGACAGAACAAAGAAAAAACTATCTAAAGAGTAAAATTGTCAAAGTTCGCAACCTTATCAATGAGAAAGTAGCAATCAAAAAACCTCACAATGAAGAAATCAGACAAGGCAATGCTCAAACTCTCACTATAGTATAAACTATTTTAGACATAGCCAATCACAAAGATAATTCTATGGGTTACCAAGAGAAATTGATACCCAAAACCAAAAGTCTGAAATAATATCGTCTCAATTATGACAATGTGGAACCTCTCTGCAAATTGCAATAATAAGTTATTCAAACCATCCCTCCCAGATCCTATCTAAAATCAGTCCTTGAAAACAATGCCTAACTCTATCTCCAAGAATTAGAAGCCCAAGCTGAATAACATGAAAACAATATCAACAAAATTGTTCGTCTCAGCATACAAAACAAACGCAATGACTTCACTCTATTTCACAAGGCAGCCAAAACCGATCGTAGAAATTAAGATGGAATCTTGACTCATGCTGATGTCCAATTGTATGATTATCTATACAACAAACCCAAAGGAGTCATGATCCAAAAACACCCCAAATACATTCAAAATGTTATCGATTAAGAAGTGGATTTCAGAAAGAACTTCGGCAGGAAAATAGTCAATCGGAAAGTCAAAAGAACTCATTACAATCAGGATCCACCTGATAATCCTGATGACTCTTGTGCTTCCTCTCTGTAATCTGCTTGCGAAATCAAATTGGATAACTATTATTCGGAAACCAGAGAGTGGAAACGCAAACAGTTTCTACAATTACCCAGACGCATCAAATAATTGATAGCCTTTGGAAGAATTGAATTAGTAATTCTCACTTATTCATCTAGGAAAGCCATCCATACGACGGTTAATAAATTAGAAACTTAATGACAATATACATGATGACAATTTAATTTTTAACGTTTAATAAATTATGTTCTTAAAACGTGAAGCTCCACAAAGTTCCAACAAATTCAATTCAAATAGGTATATCACCATCCTCTATCCATTCAGAAAGGACACTCGTGCACAAGTACCCTCCTTTGAGAATCTTCAAGCAAGAATCAGAGACTTCTCCTACTCCCGTCTCTCCAATGTTGTTACCACTTAACCCTAAAGAAGCGAACCCACTTACTCCCCTTACAAAGCTCAAGGCCTTCAATAAAAGTACCCAATACATTTACACTCAGAATTACCGATACTTTGGGACCACGCACTAAGTCCTTCAATAGTGGACACAAGTGGAGAGAATCCTTCCAATCTCCTTCCATTTCTTCCCAATCCCCCTTCAAATTCGTTCAATCCCCACCTTAAATCAAATACAGTATAGAAACAGAATCATACACCAATAAACCCTCTGATTCTTTCAAATATGATTCCTTTCGAACATCCTCTGAACAATACAAAAAAAGACAGGGACGCAGTCTTGCAGATGTGGTTTAATTGAATGAAATTGTGGCACTCAGAAATAAAATTGAATCATCCTATGTCAGCAGAAGCACGTTGACCTCAACTTATGTGAGTGAACTAGTTAAGTTAGCATAAGCAATAACTACCTCATTGAAAAATGAATGATTATTTTTTATATGCTTCTATAAAATCCACACCCCACTTTTTTTCTTAGAGATATAACGCATAAATCTCTTGTTTTTGAAAAAAAAGCAGATTATTATAAGAATATAAAATAAGGTAATAATTTTAAATTTTTAATGTCTTAACTGTCTTCTGTGGAGAGAACGACAATGATTGAATTGTTTTCAACTTTTTTTGATCGCTTGAGTTCTCATAATCCATAGCGGGAACAAATGCTAAAATCATTGTATCAATTTAAAGCATTATTATATGCTAATGATGCTGGAATTGAAAAATATTTGCATGATCTCTAAGGATAAAAATCACCTCTAAAAAGAGACAATTCATAAACCAAAAAATCAAGCAGCATCAGAAAAGAATAAGAGGCAATTTCACGTCATCTCAAACGAAAAACATTAGGTTGTGGACATGAGATTGAGGCCATGGATCAGAGTGGAGAATGCATCATTTGTTGTGGATAATCAGTAAATTTAATGATGATTAGTAGCCATTTGATGAATTTAAACAGAAATGCTCAAATGTCTTCAGAGCATTATAGCAATTGGATAATGATGACTTTTTCAAATGCTTACAATCATTGGATGTATACTTAAATAATTACCTCAGGATCCCTTGATGACATCATTGTCAAAACAGAGATGCCAATCATCCACTGGGGAATTATTCAAAGACCCCATGAACTATTCAAGACTAGCAGATTAATAAATCCAGTAGATCATAAGAAAATGCCTTCGATGCAACAAAGACGTACAAAACCACGATTCCAAAAACATAAGCTACTTCTGCAACTCTTGTAAAAACTTCTGAATAACTTTTATTTGTTAGTTACAAAATAAATATTACAAATTAATTCAATCAGCACAATCATCGATCCCTCCTGGTGATATGGTGTATTGCTCCTCCGATTCCGGCAAGCATGGAGAGTCGTAGATCTTAACAATCCTATTCTCCCCTCTCCCTTTTCTCAGATACAATCTTGTTGTGGAAGCGTGGGCCATAATATTACCTCCAATAGGTTTCTTTTGATCACCCATTGCCATCATTGTACCTTCAACTTGACTCATCACTTGATTCGTTATTACAACTGCTACATTGAACTAAAAAATAACTCTAATAATTATACTTCATCCGCCAACCTCTATAGATTCCTCAAGAATTTCCCTAAATGATTCTGTCTTGCTGATAACTCTCCTCTCCCCAAATAATCAGTTCTATACAATGCTGTTGCACTGTCGACTATCAACAAAGCGTATTTATCTGTAGACATTAAATTACATGCTTGAATTAGTAGCTTCATTTATTCATCTACATTATAAGCCCTTGCAAAAGAGACATTCTCTAAGACTTCCTCTATTCCCAATTCAAATCTCTTTGCAATTTCACTCAGCCTCTCTGGTCTAAAAGTTCCTTCTGTATCAATATATAGACACTTCCCCCCTGGTCTTCCCTTGCCATCATTCATTTGACAAGTGACTGCTAAGGTGTGACAAATTTGAGACTTCCCAGTTCTAAATTCACCGAATATCTCAGTTATTCCACCAGTTTCTATTCCTCCTCGAAGTAATTTATCAAATTTGGTGCTCCCTGTCGAAATATGTACTATTCTTTCTCTTTACTTTAGTACATCTGTAGCTGGCTTAAATTGGTTTACTACCAGTTTAGCCACAGCCTCAACTAACTTTTCAATCTTGGCATCAGTCATGCCTTTGATATTCATTAAATTCTTTTTAGCTGTATATGCAATTGATTCACATGTTGTAAATCCTGCATCCTTTAATCTCTGTATATCTACTGCTCCAAACCCTGGAATTGCTAACTTTTCCAAAGATGTATAAGAAATCACTTCTTCATATTCATCTTCCTCAATCTACTCATTTTGTTACTTTTGCATTTTTATTTTAGTTCAAATTTAAATTATATTTTCTGCGAAAAATAATTCTGTATAATATATCATCTTATTTTAGAAATAAACATACATATAATAATTATTCCCCTCAATCTAACTTCCATAATGCAATTTAAAGTTAAATTAAATTCTTAATCATTAAACAAAGAACATGAACTTAATTAATTGCTAAATACTTAAATAAAGACAGTTAGAACAAGAAACGGCAAAGTTATTTATGTAAAGGTATGTGGAAAGATTTATTTTTCTAATAGAGTTTTTTTTAATAAATTAAATAAATTTTATGAACTATAGTGATTGGTTTCAAAAATTAAATAAAGATGATAAAGATTAAGATGGAATAACCAATGAATTAAGTAAAAAGAGTCCTCTATTCATTTAGGTTAGATGAATATTTATGATCTAATTAAAGGAATATAAATACTTTATCTTGAGATTAAGAGACTTAATAGATTATAAGAAATTCAGGGATCGGCATTTTACTATAAAGAAAGATATGAAACTACACTCAAATCTAATCAAGACCTATCCAATTCAAATAAGGAATTATCCAATTCTAACTAAGAACTATAAAAAGGGAAGCAAGATCTAGAGAAATAGAATATAGAGCTTTACAAATTTAATCAAGAACTATTTGGAAAAAATCAGAAATTGCTATCTAATTATGAGGAAGTTGTAAATCATTTTCAGAATATCATAACATAATACAAAAAATCTACTATTGATGAATTCGCAAGAACTATTAAGAGTGAGGAAGAGATCTTGGGTAAATTTCAAACTATATAAAATTAATTGGAGCATTAAGTTGAAATAAAAGAAATAAATAAAACTTAAGAAGAAATCTAATAGAAATCATAAGAAATAGTATATTAAATGAAAAACTTTCAAAAAGACTATAATCAAAACTTAATTAGAGACTAAATAAGTTCAGCTTAATCTGTATCTAATTAAACGATAATTGACAAAATTAAATAAATAGTTGATTAAATAAAATTAGTACTGAGTATATCAGATACTTTGCTCAACAAGTTAAGTTTAATAGTAAAATCTGCAAAAAATTAAACACTAATTTAATAAATAAGCCTAGTATAAAATTTTTTACAACATAATAATGTTATATACACAAAATGTATAGCAATTTTAAACACCTTTGCTTGTGCAATAGAAAAACATGAAAAAAAAATACAATACTATAAAGAGTAATTACAGAATGAATAAAAGTATAGAGTAGAGTGCTAAGGTTAGATGGAATAATAGAAAAAGAATTATGAAATGATTATGTAAAGTAGAAGATAAAACTAATAATTAAATTAACCAGGTAATTTTACAATAAATTTTAGAAAACTAAAACAGGTTTATAAAATAATATTTCTAGATTTATCAAGAATACTTTACATTAATTCTAAATCTGATTGAAATTCAAAATTTTTAGTTTCCTAAAATAGAATTAGAAATAACAAATTGGAAATAAGAATTGAGAAAGGAATTTACTGATCTTAAATTACTAATTGAATTTGCGCAGAAATAGTATCAAAGTCTGATGAAGCTTGCTAATTATATAACATAGGAAAATAAGCTCAAAGAGATTTTATATTCTTAAAATAATTTTTTTATAGCCTATTCAAAAATCTTGAAGGAACTTTCTCAAAGTTGAAGTAATTTATATGAAAGAATTATAGATCAAATCATTCATTAAATTGTTATTGTATTCAATTTTTTAACAAAACAATAGCTTTCAAAGTATAATTTATTTCAATCTGCCTTCTGTAATTGTATATGCTATGGAACAATAAAAAGTTTAAGAAAAAAACTAATTTATTACTGTTCTAACATAGTGTTATTTATTCAAAAATTTAAGGAGAATGAGTTCATCTGGCAATTCTTTTTTATGCTTAATCAATTAAAATCATTTATTTAGTTAATTTCCTTCTCTTGACCTTAAAAATCTTAGAAATGGAAGAATTTAGTATCAGAATTGGGTCCCAGTTAAATTAAACAATTGACAATTGTTTTTTTTCCTTTATATGTTTTAAAATTGTCAGTCAAATTTATCTATTGCCAAAATTGATTTGACAAATTTATAATAAGAACTTGATTTAAGTAATTTATTCATTGAGATCTATAAAAATTAAGGTTGAGATGACGGTTTAATAAAATTTATTATATCAGTCTCAGGTTCAATTAATCTATTAAAAGAGTATGAAGATTTATCTTTTAATCTTTTCTATCTGAAAATATATTGTTTTAACACACTATAAATCTATATAAATATGATTTTGTTTGAAATCATTCAGAATGAGATTATGATATTAAGAATAAATAATATATATTTTAAAATCAATTCAATTTTAACTTTTTTCTTTGTTTATCATATATTTCTTGCTCTAATTCTCCACAAACAACTTCCAATTAAGCATTGTTTGTCAAGACTTCTTAAACCTTAGCTTTTAGGCTATCTAATTTATATTTGACTTCATTCTTAATATGAGGTAAATGATACTTGTTCGTATTTTCTTTATGCATTAATATGATTCAATTCTTGCTATTACTTGACAACCTCATTTGATAATCTATTCTTCTCATTTTCTTAGGATTTGAGCAATAATGCCCATGATTCTTTGCCATATTTATTGAGCAATTCGGAATTGATTATGCTTAAAGTATGATGATTTTTAAGTACTTAATTTAAGCGTATTGATTAAGCACATTTAATTATTAATTGGCCTCTTGAATTTCATGGGTTGATTAAAACTCTTCATTGAAATTTGGTTTCTATTCGAAATCAATTTTATTCATGGGTTACTGTTGTTAGACTCTTTCCATCTCTGATTTCAACAGATCTGTTAACTTCGTTTAGGGCATTGGCAATTCATGCAAATAATCCTGAGGGTCCATGTTTGACATTTCTTATTGAATCAGACGATCGACCTGTGTAGTGTAACATTCAATACTATGTTTTAAGTTTTGGCATCTAATTCCCCATCAATATAGGGTAAAACATTGACGAATCCTTGGTAGGGGTGTCGGTATACAAGTGGTAATTTTGAAGAAGGTAGAGCAAAACTCATTTTATTATAAATATTGAAATGGATCTATACACAATTCCATGTAAAAAGCTCAATAAACCTCCAGGAATTTGACTCAAACACAATATGACCTCCAAATCTTGGGGAAAGCATCTCCCATAAACTAGAAGTCGAGGGATTAGGGATTTTACTCTACCAGATATAAAACATCGAATGAAAGAAAAAGCAAAGAACAAGGAGTACTTTGTGACATCTTTGAAAATGTGCACATTAACCGAACTTTTAATTGCTAAAGCCAGATTAACAGCTTCGACAATCCTCAAACAAGATTGTTTACTCCAGAAACCAGAGTTTTAAAAAGGCGAAAGAACGGTAAGGTAGTATTTCAACCCATTCCTCGATATAGTTCTCCTTAAAGAACATATGAATCGCCAGCTCTATTAAATATCACATCATACACACACAGAAAACCCCCTAAAGTGAGAAGAGTGATAAATTTAAATATGTTAAAGGATGGATGTGATAAAAGGCCATTTTTTTCAGATAAAGGATAAAATTTATATGAGTTTGTATATAATTATTACTAGTGATTATAAACTTTTATGGGGAATATTTAAAATACTCCAACACTCTGCAGCAAGAAACCTTTACTTTTGAAGAATTTCTTCTTGCAATTGGAGATCTGCCAAATTCATCCCAGTCAATATATCAAAAATTATATAAATTAGGAAGTGGTCAACAGAATTGAAAGAAGGCAGAAAATTCCTCAACCTTTATGTCCACTTTAATTTTGATTTTACTTATGAAGGGTTGATTATAGAAAAGCATTGATTTTAGAAATATTTAATTGTAATATTTGACAAACAATTTTACTTTATGAAGTGCTTAATCCCTCAATAGTGGAATAAAAAAATCTAGTTGAATATGACGTAATGCTTTTAATTGATATAAAAATAACTAATTAAATTAATTTGCGTTTGATAAATAATAAATATTGTCATCTGAAGAATTTACTTCTAATTTATAAATAATTACTTATGTAATGAGTTTTATTTATTTTTAAATCTATTTAAAGTGATGTCGGAGCAACCTGTTCATAATGCTATGACATAATTACTCTTGCCTAAGAATGAAATGTATACCAATAAAATTGCCTTATAAGGAACATTTTAGTTGAATATATGGAAATTTTAAAATTTTTAAAAATCTAGTAATACATATCATTAAATCAAAGTTGTTAATTCGTATCTAACAGCTGTTCTACATTTCTCCACGATTTCGTCTTCTTGTAATAAAAGATTAGTTTAAACAGATTGTATTTATTCTTTAATCAATGATATGGTCTCGTTAATCTAATCCAACATTGTAAAGGTAGTGGAATCTAATGATAACATAATTGACTTACTAACATTGAGATTGTCAAGATCCAAAATCTTATGACTTTTACTGACGCCTGAAAATACAACCATTTTATCATTTTTCTATTTAACTAAAATTAAATCTAGTAATTACTTAAAGTCTTTTGCATTCCATTTTAAATTTGATTTTTAAATTTGTCTTGGATGAGTCCCTTATTTTCATTTTCAATATCAAGTTATTTTCCTTCCATTTGCATTGCCTTTAAATCAAGATTGCTTCCTCCAGTTAAATCAGCTGGTAATTGATGGGCTAGGACGAAGACCTTATCCCTGTGAGTCAATTTAGTTTCTGATGGAGGATTAGTGTAAACATAAGGATGTTTATTATCAACAGCTCCAGCCATTCTATACAACCCAAGAGGAATAAGATGCCTTTCTGTAGATAAGTAATTAAATAGTTCTCCAAAGGTTTTATTCTAGATAAAATAATCCAATAAAAATTTACAAGATAATCTTCTGGAACAGGCACTTAATATAGATTGGAGTCTTTTAGATCAGCATGCTCACAAATAGCTCTTATAACTTGAGTTGACTATCTCTAACCGGTTAGGATTTATTATAGAATAGTCACAATGTGCGGATTGAAGTAAGCCTAGCATGTAAGAGTATCTATAATGGCTGAAATATAGACTTCTCCAGAAGCCTAAAGGGGGGTCTATAAAATATAAATGTGGAGGTAATACAAATTCATATTTGAACTCATTTTAATATTGGTAATCTTTTTCAAGTAGAAATTCTATATTAGAACTATAAACAAGCTCAATCATAATTTAAATAGATGGGTTGAGTTTTTTAATGGCCTTGTAAATAAATATGGATTCTGCATCATGCATTTCATCTATTGCATCTCCGACTTCATCGATTGATTAATCTGAACCTTAAGCGAAAATGACAGCCTTATCAGCAAAGTTAATGTTAGCTCTTAATAGCCCATCTGATGTTAAAGGGGATCCCTTGATGAATCTAACCTTGGGAAATCTGTTAATGTATTCCCATTATTTGGTTGGTTATTCAGGAGCTAAAATCACAACAAATTGAAGTTCTTTAAGATACTTAGCTCTGAGTGCTAGTAAGAAGTAATAGATAGATGGATGGATTCCACAAACGACAATATGATTGGTGATTTCTGTTGAGTCTTATAAGGATGTTGGAGTAACAGTCATTAAGGAAATAGGTTCTGGGTCAAGAACATAATCTTATTCTAACATTTCAGCTTCTTCGATAGAATCTTTTCCATAAAGAAGAGGATCATCAAATTTCTCTTCTTCTTCATCATCTGGTAGTTTTTCTTTTTACTTGGATTTTTACAATAACTGATAATGGTAATTAGCAATTTCCTCAGTAGTCATCTCATAAGTTGCCACTTAATCAGCAACCTTTTTATCCTCACAAATGATATATGCATGAACATTAGCCTCTGTTGTGTTAGGAATGATGTAACTACCTGGATTCAATCGAATTATAGTGTATTTGCCGATGTCAAATTCTATGCCAAACAATATACCCTTAAATTCATTGTAAACTATGGTGGCTACTTCACTAAAACTTTTGCCTTAAAATTTAAAGCTTAGATCAGTCCTATATATTTCATGTCCCATTCCCTTAGTATATTCATTTAACCATTCATATTCCATATCTCCTTCTTATTCTCCTGCAGATGTAATCAGATTGCCAATCAAAGCAATTATACCAGGACAGAAACAAGATTTAGCCAAAAGATTCATCTTAAATTCTTCAACAGAGATGATCTAATCTGTTATGACTTTCAAGCCTAGAGCTTGTCTATAATTCAACTTGCTTTCTGGTTTGATCAATTGCATACATAGACGTATATTTCCACCTGTGATATGATTAACATACTTTTTGATTTACAATCCAATCAATATATTCTTATGATCTGAGGATTGACTATTAACTATTTGTTTATTGGTCAATATCACACAAGCCTTAGCTTAAGTAGCTGCAGCTCTTTTGAGATCTCTATCAACCATAGGACTGCCTTATAGATAAGTCAAGAATAACTCATATTTTGGATTGTGCAAGAAGATCTCCATCTCAGTATTAGGTTTAGTCAACCTCATAATGATAGCATTCTTATCTTGACTGCCATGATCTTGATGGAAAAGCTCACTACAAAAGTTTCTCAGGGCTGCAACACTTACATGTCCACAAATAATGATGTGTGGAACTTCTGGATTCCATTTATAGAATGCTCTTGCATAGACACTTTGTAATCCCATCAATCTAATCAATTCATTCATCTGTTTGGGTATTACAACCAACACAATGATGATCAATACAATCACACAAACTCTCCCTTCTTCTGTCTAAGGAGTTACATCTCCATAACCTACTGTGGCTAGTGTCACCACTGTAAAGTACACCATTTCGTGAAAGGTACACTCATCCACTGATGCTCCGCACTGATTTTCTTCATCTAGTGCTATTAGTTCCTTTCTCTTTGGAGATTCAAATGCTTATAAAACTCCTGCAGTCACAATAATCAAAGTCAGAATTGTCAAGGATATTGTGTAAATTTATTTATTAACACCTCCGAATTCATTGTCACCAATTTGGTAGTACTTAGAAATCGTCTTAACCACTCTTAGGAATCTTATCACTCTGGAGATGTTTATCAATCTTGTTAAATAGTCCCAATTCTCTTATTCCTATAATATAAACAAGGGCATCAATGTAAATAATTCTACTGCTGAATTCACTTCTAGTATGTATTGCAGTCTGTGTTAAGCAGCAAATGTTTTCAAAAGGTATTCAAATAAATAAAGGGAACACACTATGATGTCTATAGTACTCAGCCAATCCACATTGCTAAAGTAAGTTGTGCCCAAATAGATCATGCAGGATGTCAAACTAATGAATCCAGAAAATATGTCTAAATATCGACCCCACTTCTGACTCAGCAGTTTCTCCAAATACAATCTCAGGGTTACTCTATTCTCGAAGTCCTCAACTTCTTGCTACTATTAGATGTATATCTACTTTTATTGGCATCGGTGCAACTTGGCTTAGCTTCATACCTTTATTATTATTTATAATTAATATGAAGGGCAAGGTGGCACTAATAATCGATTACGATTGCCAAGACTTCATCAAAAAAGGCAATACTACTATTGTGGTCCAAGAATAAGAGGACTTTCTATTGGAATTGATGGGAATGAAGAAGGGGGGATTTCATCAAATTCAATAAAACTAACAAAATGATGAGGAAATTCTTGAAGTTAATTTGATCAGTGATGCTCAATTCTACTCTTAAATAAGTTATGGTGCTAAAACAGCTGTTATTGGAAAACAATACGATGAATTTAAATTGACAAGCTATGATTAATATTAAGATAATTTATTTGAGAATTTTGACATTGTTATTGCATTTAAAGATTAAGTAAAAGTATTGGAAGAAATACAAAAACAGAAATTGCATCATATATATTTCATCATATCTAACATCAAATAATATAATAATGATATAGAATTTCCACTTTAATCAAGAAATCAATTTAAATATTAGCAATTAGAAAGTTAAGGAAAACAAATTGCACTTATACATTATTCAAATTATTAGATGAGAGTTGACGATATTGAAACGTTAGAATAAATTAATGAGTTTTCATATATCAGACGAAATGTGATGAGATTACAATGTCTTTGGAGAGAACTCCTTACTTAAGTGGGCAGATTTCCTAAATATGGTGCATGAGTTCGTCAATCATATAAAAATATTTATTATATTAAAATATTTATTTAATCAATGACTGAAACAATTGAAAACTTAAGGGATTTTAACTATTTCAAACTAAACACAAACAAACATGTTTTGGTTGAGTATATTTGGATAGATGGTACTGGAGAGAGACTGAGATCCAAAACTAAAGTGTACGATACACCAATTAAAAGCCTGGATGATGTTGAATGGTGGACATTTGATGGCTCATCCACTGATCAAGCAATTACAAAATTTAGTGAGATTTACTTGAAGCCTGTTTGCATGGTAAGGGATCCTTTTCGTGGAGACCCACATAAACTTGTATTATGTGAGACATACAAGCCAGACCGTAAAACACCAGCACGTTTTAATTTTAGATGGATTGCGGAAAAAATAATGTAAGAAGCTAGTGACATTGATCCTTGGTTTGGCATTGAATAAGAGTATTTTATGTTGAAGAGAACAGGGACAACCCACCTATGGCCTTTGGGATGGCCTGTCGGAGGTTTTCCATATCCGTAGGGAAGATATTATTGTTCAATAGGAGAACGCAACAACTTCGGGAGAGCCTTATCTGAAGCTCATTAACGAGCCTGTCTCTACGCTGGACTGAAGTTGTCAGGAATTAATTCAGAAGTGGCTCCATCATAATGGGAATTTCAAATTGGAATTGCTCATGGAATTGAGGCAGGAGATCATTTATGGTTGGCAAGATACATATTGGAGAGATTGGGCGAAGAGTTTGGCATTGATATCAATTATGATCCAAAGCCAATTCAAGGAGATTGGAATGGCACAGGTGCTCATTGCAATTTCTCAACAACGAAGACAAGGGAAAATGGAGGTTATGAATACATCAAAGAATTTATGTTGCCTCTTTTGGAAAAGAATCACCAAAAAATGATGTTGTTGTATGGATTAAACAATGAAGCGAGATTGACAGGTAAACATGAAACTGGAGAATATAATCAATTTTCTTGGGGTGATGGATCAAGGGGATGTTCCATTAGAGTACCAATCATTACAAAAGAATTAGGCAAGGGGTATATTATATTTGAGTAATTTTAGGTATTTGGAGGATAGAAGACCTGCAGCCAATATGGATCCCTATCTTGTATGTAGTGCTTTGGTTGACGCAACATGTATGAATGGCAAGAATCTTATGACTCTTATTGAATAATTTGCTGAATCATTAAAGCAATTATGAAAATGTTAGTTAATTCATATAATCATGAAAAAATTTTAGTTTCTTGACAAGAATATTAGATAACAAAGGCCTGAATTGAATTTCTGCACATTCAATTATATCTTTGCTGAGTACTTTCATTCAATATCTAGATACATTTGCTACTTGAAGAGAAAACACGGGAACGATTACGATGAGATGAACTCCAAAATGGAACAATTAGGAGTCTCAGTGGGAATCCGACTTTATGAAGTAGTGAGTCTTAGAGAACGAAATAAAAGGGAAACCAAATTAGTTGAACAATTGAGGTTCATCTAAGGGATTGTAAATCAAATATGCATGGCTAGTTTTGGAAACACCTCTTTGGTAGACAAGCAGAATCAATTGAAAGGTTGAAGGATAGACCCAATGATTATCTTATTAGAGATGAGAATCCATTGCTTCTCAAATATATTTCAGAAGAAGGACATATATCCCCTGCATAATTTATGTGTGGGATTCTGAAAGTAAGGAATAATTTCTATCCCTCAGGGAGTCTTGAATGCTTCTGGATTCACGTGCCAAGTTTCTTATTAATTTAAAACAGATGAACGAGGTGTCAGCTATTATCCTCACACTGTCTTTATCTTAAGTTTTGAAGATGCCAGAGATTTATGAAATTTAATATATATTAAATGATGTAAATTAAATTCATCATCGAAGCAACAATACTTCACAATTGTTGTTTATTCCTTATTGAGCTAAAGTTTACTATGGGTTCAAAATCATCATGTTGAATTAAAATCTACAATTAGTGTTTATTATTATCTTTTCCTTAACCTTTTTCTCAAAATCTTAAACAGTTGCTGTGGGAGGTATTTCAATCTGTATCAAATTCATTCCATCTCTAACTTTGACAATCATTAAATTTAAACTTTATGTAATCTTCAATTTACCATTTAGTTGTTTCTATCTCAAAATCAAATAACTGTTATTTGGAATATTCTATTACCTAAAAGTCTTATCTGGAAGTAACTGTATTTGATTATACACGAGTTCTGTGGCATAATTGATACTGTATGCTACTTTCAACTCATCCATAAACTCAAAAATCTATTAATCTAAATCTGTTTCCACTTGAATATTGTTGTTTTGCACTGAAATATTCAAAATAAATGGATTTGATTGCTTTAAAACAACTTCTAAAATTTCGAATTCTTAGAATCTACATGATTCTAAAACCTATGAAGAATTCAAATCCTGACCATTACGTTGAATTGTTGGTTCTTATGGTATATTAAATATTTCCTAGCAACGTTTAATCATATCTGATACTGAATTGTTTTTATTGAATTCCTACCTTGAAAATTAATTCATGTATTTCAGCTAAATTACAATTGGTTTGTTTTATTAGGATAAAGTAAGGTTATATTATTACTAAGGAATTCCACCCATTGGCTATTGTTGTGGTTTTTAAAATTGTGTTGGAAATCTTTAAAATTACTAAGAGAGACCTGCTTAAGACTATAAGGGAAATTATTGTTAGTATCCAGAACTATTTAAGAATTATGAACTTTAATTAGAACCATCAAATTGGTTTTGCTAATTAGGGGGACCAAATTTTTAAAATGGATTTAATTATTAATTTATTGGAGGTCCTTGTTTATTATTTTATGGTTGTATTTAAAAATTATTAGGCTGATTCTAAAAGAACGGGTTTTAATTCATAGTGGGGAATTATTATTTTTATTATTAAGAGGATTAAAACGGTTATTGTTATTGTTATTGTTATTGCCATTGTAATTGTGATCCATACATTTATCCTTAAACTTGAACTTAGAGATGACTATGGTTCTTCAAATTCTAAGCCTTCAGAGTCTTATCTAAGATCAAAGGAGTTTTTCCATCAATCAGTATATTTATTATTGGTATGTTTAAAGTGATTTTTTTAACCATTTCCACCAACTCATTTCCTAATGAATTAGATGATATTACAATCTAATGCTGATTATTCTAATAATCTATATATAAACTGAAATTCTCTTAATCTTGTTATTATTGAGGTTTCTGGTCGAAAATTGGATATAAAGTGCTCTTATCCTATATTTTTAAAGCAGCCAAAGACTATTCCTCATTCAATATATTTTTGCCATCCAAACTTAATTAAAATTTTTCCTATAAATTCAAATTGCTTTGAATACCTTCAATCAATTACTTCACTAATATATTAGGATCAATTTTTAAATCAGTGGTTTAATTTTAATAATAAAAGTTCAAAAATATTTCTTATTGAAGTAATTAAGGTGATTATTAGGAAGGTTGCTTCTAGGCATTATCCACAATCGGAATTAAATATAAAACCAAGTTGTTATCAACATTTTAATCCTTTATTGATGAATTTGGTTGCAGAACTTTTTTATTTTCAAAGCACAAATTGCAATCTTCTTTGATTTATAAATTACCTTTCATCGTAAAAATTAATTCAGAGACAAGAGTATCATCAGTAACTTCTAATGTAGTACGGTTACCTTTATAATCGATCGTCAGGAATAGTGATCTTATATTTATGGGAGAGGAACCTTATTTCATTTGATTAACAATTAATCGACTTCCTTTTTAAACTTTCTAATTGACTAAAGTTTCGAAAGGATTTAGAACTTATTATCCCTCAAGATTAAGTTAAACTTCTCCTTAAAGTTATAAATTTGGTCTGATTTATTCAATGAACTATGATACGACTGTGTTATCAGAAACTTCAACCTATATTTTTTTCCCATTATAATCTACTATCACATTTATTTTTCTTCCTATCGGCATCACTTATTCAGGTTATTTATTTTATTTTGGAATTACAATTAAGGTCTATGTATCAAAAAGCCCATATTGCTTTATAGTGAAATCTGGATTTAAAATTTCTCCATTCTCTTTTTAGATCATCAATTGATCTACTGAATTAAATCTTCTCCTTATATCTTCAATCATATTACTAATTTTTGTCTCTTTACTAAAATTAAAATCTACAGTTTGATGGAAGGCCTGAATAACAAGGTTAACTTAGTTTGCTTTTTATTTGAAGTTGAGAACCGAATTATCTTTAATTTAATAGTCTAACAGGGTTTTTGTTGAATCTAAAATCTATTCTTTGTATGAGATTATCAAACCTTTTTCTAGCTTATATTATTCAATGATTAAATCTTCAAATTCTTTAATAGAAGTGTCATCCTCGACTTCGACTTGAAGAGGATTTAAACTCTCATAAACCAAGCTTAATTGAATTTATTTTTTTTAAGCTAATGCTTATTTAACCACTAACTTTGATCCTTTAACTATTTGCTACTTTAGAAAGGTTTCATTCGAATTCAGCATTTTATCATTGTGAAATAGATTTATTTCATAATTGAGATTCCAATTTTTCTTTAGCATATCTTCAAGCTCTTTTACCAGGGAATTATTAGGGATAGTTATATTAATGGTTTGACTCTCAAATAAAATTATCAAAACTATTTCTTGCATTCCAGATGGTATTTAGGTTGGAGTATCGTAGATTTATTAGATGTATAATTTAGTACCTGTAAGAATATTTTATTCTCTAAAAGTTAACAATTGATCTAACACCTATCTATTTTCTAAAGTAAACAAAATTTATGAAATTTGGTAATAGCCCTATAATTCAATTGCTAATTCTGACACTTTAGTATCTTAGTCTACCTCAACAGGTAATGGTTAAGAATTAGAGTGATAAATAATTAATTATATTGATTATTATTATTATTGAACTTCCGCTGTTAGAGTAGTGCCTTTCAAAATGTTTAATTATCCTAAAGTTTAGTTGTTTGGTAATATTTATTAATTCAAAGTGAAGACTACATTTTCTTTAATTTGGTGCAATTATTTTACAGTATCTATTAGTTCTTATATATAAGTATCTAGCGCTACTTCTATTGGTGTTTTTTACCCAAGGTACTCTAATGAAATTATGATATTTTATTATAGCGCTTATTATTAGGGCATTTACTTTTATGGCTGTTACTGTTATTGAACTTCAACTAAAAGTGTATGACCATTTTAGATTTGTAATTATTCTAGAGTTTAATTGTTTGGTAAAAATTATTGATTCAACTTTAAGACTATATTTTCATTAATTTCGTACAATGGTAATGCAATATCTACAATTTCTTATACGCAAGTATCTAACGCTACTTCGATTTGTGTCTTTTAGCCAAGATACTCTAAAAAAATTATGATATTTTATTAAAGCGTTTATTATTAGGGCATTTACTTTTATGGCTGTTACTGTTATTGAACTTCAACTAAAAGTGTATGACCATTTTAGATTAGTAATTATTCTAGAGTTTAATTGTTTGGTAAAAATTATTGATTCAACTTTAAGACTATATTTTCATTAATTTCGTATAATGGTATTGCAATATCTACAATTTCTTATACGCAAGTATCTAACGCTACTTCGATTTGTGTCTTTTAGCCAAGATACTCTAAAAAAATTATGATATTTTATTATAGTGTTTATTATTAGGGCATTTACTATTATGGCTGTTACTAATATTGAACTTCAGCTGAAAGTGTATGACCTTTTTTGATTAGTAATTATTCTAGAGTTAAGTTGTTTGGTAAAATTTATTGATTCAATTTTAAGACTATGTTTTCATTTATTTTGTGTAATTATTTTACAGTATCTACTAGTTCTTATATTTAGGTATCTATAGTTACTTCGATTTGTGTTTTTTAGCCAAGATACTCTAAAAAAATTATGATATTTTATTATCGTGTTTATTATTAGGGCATTTACTATTATGGCTGTTACTATTATTGAACTTCAGCTGAAAGTGTATGACCTTTTTTGATTAGTAATTATTCTAGAGTTAAGTTATTTGGTAAAATTTATTGATTCAACTTTAAGACTATATTTTCATTTATTTGGTGTAATTATTTTACAGTATCTACTAGTTCTTATATTTAGGTATCTACAGTTACTTCGATTTGTGTTTTTTAGCTAAGATACTCTAAAAAAATTATGATATTTTATTATCGTGTTTATTATTAGGGTAATTACTATTATGGCTGTTACTATTATTGAACTTCAGCTGAAAGTGTATGACCTTTTTTGATTTATAATTATTCTAGAGTTAAGTTGTTTGGTAAAATTTATTGATTCAATTTTAAGACTATACTTTCATTTATTTTGTGTAACTATTTTACAGTATCGACTAGTTCTTAAATGTAAGTATCTTTCGCTACTTCGAGTTATGTTTTTGAATTAATATATTCTAAAATAATATTAATATTTTATTGAGGTATTTATTATTATTAAGATATTTATTATTATTATGGTATTTACTATTATTAAATTTCAATTGTTAGAGTATATCCTTTCTTGATTTATAATTATTGTAAGTTTTAGTCGTTTGGTAAAATTTTTTAATTCAGCTTCAAAATAATGTTTTCCTAAATTTTATACATATATTTAGCAATTTCTATGATTTCATTTATGTAAGTATCTAAAGTTGCCTCAATTACTTATTTTTATTCGCGATATTCTAAAATAACTATGAAATGTTATTATTGCTATTAAATTTCTGGCTAGCTATAATTCTATTATTCTTATGTAATATTCTTTGCATTCAAAATGTTTTATTGTTAGTTGATTACCTAATCATCTTGTTTAGCGAACTCTTTGTTTTCACAATTAATAATAGAATTTCCAATTATATTATATTAAGCTAACTAAACATTTCTCTCAAGGGGAATTCCTTAAAAGAAAAGTGTAAATGTATCATCAGCAATTTTAAACTCTTAAGCAGTCACTTAATATAATTCTTATGCCATCGCAGCCAAACTCATATGAGGCCAAAAGGATTTCCCATTTCTATTAACTTTGAGAAAGGCATACTCAAAGGTTTTAGTGATTCTCAATTCTAAAAGTGCTCCCCTAATAACTTTGTTATCTAAAAATGTTTTATCCCTTTGAAGCTCATTATTATTCATGAATAATCCATATTGCTTATTTTAAATTGATAATTTCAGGGTAGAAATTAACTTATCAACGTAATCTTGGACCTTTCTATAACTCTGGCATTCCGAATTAAATTATTTCCCATCATACTATACAGTAAATGTTAGCATCTATAAAATATTTAAGATATAATTTTTATTAAAAATTCTAAGTTGTGGATCACCATATAAAAAACAAAATTATCACGATGATGATTTTAATAAGAGTCAATCCCCCTTTTAATTCACATATTCTATTAAAAGCTATCAGATAAAACTTATTAATCTTATATTTAATTAAGTAATTATTAAGATGAATTAGGATAAACAATTCTACCTCTATACAATAGTGGATCAAAAACCAGATGATAATTTTTCTGTCGTTGGTGTGATTGATGGATCTGGAAGCATGAGTGAATGCTGGGAAGATTTATGCAAGGCTTGGAATCATTTCTTATTAGATATCTAAAGTTCATATTGTATTTAATTTGATGATACTGCGATATTATAATAGAATCCTAAATTAAATTAACAAAAAGGAGAAGGAACAAATATATCCTTGGGTTTTCATGAATTAATAAAACTAGTAAAGAGTGAAAAATTGAAAAAAAATGTTATTGTGATATTTATCACAGATGGAGTTGGTGAAGATAAATTGGAGGATTACATAGATGATTTAGCAGAAAACTTTTCTTTATTTCATGAGCAAGAATATTAATTTAAGTTCTTTACTTTGGCAATAGGAGAAACATTTTCTCATACAATTGTGGCTGAGTTGAAAAATAGGATTCATAATTCAACATTAATCAGTTCTTAGATGGAATACATTTAAGATTCAAAAGTTGATTTTGCGAATAAATTGCAATAAATCAAAGAAGAAATCTTCTACAAACTAGTTAGAGTTGAACCTCCTGTATCTCTGGTTCCATATGGGAAAAAATTGAGAAGACTTGCACCCAATCAAACTATTTTCTCAGAAACTCCGATAATTAAAGTAAATGGAGAGGAAATCAATCTTAAATAATATTAAATCTCATATCACGACTTATATTAGTTTGTAAATTAGGTTTTCTTAAAACTTATGGAAGATAGTACCAGAGGGTTGAAAACAATCAAGGAGGAAGCAACAAAACAACTCTAAATTATTAACTCTTTAATTAAGAGGGTCGCATAAGAAGAAGGCAATGATTATAAATAAGATATAGATGAAACAATTTAAAAGATTAAAGCTTTTTCTTTAGGATAACAATAATTAAAATTACTATCAGCTAAAGATGCAGCACAATCAATTACAAAATTGCAATCAGCCATTTTGGCTAAAAATTTTAGAAGACAAGATGTATTATATTTTCTAATCATATTAGAATTATGAATAAAAACCAGTGCCCAATGAAAAATTAGAGAAAGCAAAACAAAGATTAAGCGTTATGAAGAAATCAGTTAAAATCAAAACTATTTATACATAAATTGAATAATTTTTTAAAGAGAATTCTAATGCAAGTCCTTAATTATTAGTTAAGCTACTACAAGAAAAAAGGGCAGGCTAAAATTTACAGCGATATGCATTAGAATATTAAAGCGAATGCACAATATTGTTTGAATTGATGTATATTTGTAATTAATGAATCATTTTTAATTTTTAAAACATACTGACTTATATGAAGAATTACAATTATATTCATTCGATTATTTAGATGTATTTAAGAGTTCTATTTTAAGCTTATCATATGTATTAGCTCAAGTGAATGAATAAAGTTATCCTAGTGTAGTATTTGTTATCATAATCATCCTATAAATAAAGCATTTTTCCCTTAATTAGTTATCCTTATGGATTTATTAATTAATTATCCTCAATAGCATATATTCTATTTTTTTAATCTAATATATTTATTGAATATAGAATAATTTAGGCAAAAAATTCTTCTTTTCCCTTATATTCTCAATTTGATTTTTCAATTTTATTCTATAATTAGTTGACTAATCTTTCATCATTTTTTAGATGTTAGTTTACAATCGTACTTTAATGGATTTTTTTTTTTTTCTATATAAATATTTCTAAAAAAAAACTCTGTTTAAATTAAACAATGTCTTTATCAATATTTTAACATTTTTATTAAAATATTTATATTTATAATCATAAAAGCTCCTTTTTCTTTTTAAAATTTATACCTTGATTAAAGTTTATAGAATTATTTTTTTATAGCACTTTAGAAAAGAATGCTGAGATTAATTTTAAGAAGAAGGAGAACTAAAATACATTGGAATGTGATATAAAATGTTAAGTAAATATTGAGTAAGTAAGATATTTTATGAATCGGATATTTAAATTTATAATTATATATATAAAATATATGAAATTGGAAATCTTCATAAAAGCTTCATTTCTTGAATTACTTTAGCCTTTTCATTTCCACTCTCCAAATATTACAATGACTCCTCATAATACTGTTTGGCTTCCTCTTTTCTTCCTAATTCTGCATGAACTGACCCTAGATTCTTTAAAAGTTAACCCATATTAGGAATTTTGACTTTTGAGTTATAGACTCTCATCAATATTTATCGACAGCTTTCAAAATCTTAACATTTGTTCATCTCCTCAGCCAATTCGATCAATAAATCTAGATCATTTACTTCTGTTTACTCCATCCTTTGCAAGCACTGTTTAGCCTACTAACCTCTTTTTTGTTACAAGCAATTAAGTGCCTAATAACCCCAAACTTCCCCATTAAATGGTTCATGAATGCTTGCTTGACAAAGACATTCTTCTGCAATTGGATCCTTCAATCTCAAATTGGATATTCCTAATCCTAACCAGGTTAAAGAACTTATTTGAAAGGAACTTTATTAGGTCTAATGCTCGTTCCAAAAGATAGCCTTAGCCATCCTGCCCAAGACCTTACGTTTCAAATAAATAAATATCCCAACCTCCAATAGAATATCAAAGGATTTTTTTTTTGTTGAATAGATAAAGCTTTTTCAAAAATGTTTCTTTCTGCCTTCATAAAAACTGATCTTGGTTTAATAGCCATAAAGCACCCTTTAATTAGAATAGACCCTCATAATTTTTTGGGTTTTTGATTTAAAGATTTTTTGGAATTAGATTTTTGGAGCTTTCTGAATAGTTTTCATTGAAAATATGAATCTAAGGCTTTGATAATGTTAATTTTTTGAGTTGTTTTATCTTTTATATTTACAAGGGCCTTCTCGGCTAAGTCAAATAAGCTACGAGATGCAAAATATTCTATTAATTCTAATTGTATTTAATCAGTTTATTCTTAAGTCAAAACCGGAGCTTTCTTAGCTTTTTCTTATTGTTCTATCATTTATTATTTGAAATTTGGTAAGACATGAGGATCAGGTTATTGCTTTGGAAATCTTGAATAAAAATTAGTTATCATACCCTTTTGTTAATAAGCCCATGGTTCTCATAAAAATTCTTTATGTGCATCTTAGATATTTGTCAGCCATATTTTGATTTCCTTATTGCTTGTAGATGAAGGCCATAAGGAGATTAAAAAGTGTATTTATTGGTTCCTTTGATAGTAAGTCTTAAACAATGTTTGTGGCCTCCTTAAATCTTTCTCTTCTTATATAAAGACAAGCCATCAATAATTCATTTTCTTTATTCCATTCTAGTTCTCTGACCATTTAGATTAATTGTTCAGCTGCTTTAAATCTCTGAATTTTAAAACAATATTTAGCAAAAATAGTAGCTGATTTAGGATCTACCAAGACCATATTAGTATAGTATTTCAGTGCTTAGTCGACTTGATTGATAGTTTCATATTGTTCAGCAAATCGCTTGAATTTCTTAAATGCTTATTCCTTCAAAGATTGAAACACTACGTCTCGATCCCTTTGATTTTAATCATAGGTTTAGTATAAGTCTTCATGAATGTCTTCTTTATTATTCAGTACATATTCGCCAAGCGTTGTTTGCATTTCTTCCATCATGAAAACATAAAGTTCTGCAAACAGTCTGTCTTATTCATCTTTATTAACTCCCACAAATAACCCTTCCTTAGCAAATTTGTCAATGCAAACTCTAATAATAGAGGATCTCAATCTATCTTAAAGAATTTTATATTTTCCTGATTAATTAATTTCATTAAGAAAAGATTCTTTTTTTTTCTATAACTCCTGCCTTTTTTAAACTGTTAAATTAGCACTAACTTTGACTTTTTGATCGCTAGGATAAAGTTTAGAATATTCTTCATCTAAAGCTTTCATAGCCTCTTTAATGTCCCCTAGAGATGATCATGAATAATGAATACTTTGAAATTACCCAACACACTCAAATTTGCTGGGTATTCTTTAAACAATGATTGGTTCAATATCCAACTTTGGAATATCTTCTACCAAAGGAGTGAGAGCAGGTTCTGTCTCTATTTCTACTTTGACATACAACTTATCACTATTGTATTTAGGACAATCTGCATTTTCTTCTTATTTTAAAAATGCTCTCACAGTTGTACGAGTACATCCTGGCTCTAATAAATCCGATAAATCGAAAGCTCCCTTAAATATTATTTAAGTTAATTCAGCATTATTCAGATTTTTAGTCTTACCTTTCCTCAATTTAATTAATTCTTCCTCTGTGATTGCAGGTTATCTAATAAAATAAATGAAGTTTCTGTTCTCAAGAATCTCTTCCTCTAATTAACGTACATTTGTAATTTCAATAGTATGAGTTTCTTCATATTAGATGCTTATGGTTTTGAATTTGTCCTCAGAAATAAAAAACAATTTATCCTGCTCTTATAAAGTCCCCAAATGCTATTATTTCTTCAATTCTTCCTCTTCCTCCAATGCCAATGCCTTTTTCATTTATTCTTCTTCCTCTGGACTCTTAGTGTCCTTTTTATTCTTTTTACTATTTTTCTAATACTCTTCAAATTTCTCTTTCTCTGTCAATTCTCGACCCTTGATCTTGCCAAACATATCTTCCCCTTAGTACCGAACTACATTTGCAAATATTCCTGGATTCGTTTCATCTGTTAATTTCCAATCTTCACTAAATCCATAAACTCCCTTTATAATTATTGTATTGCCACTTTACTTTCACAGTTATCTGTATTTTGAACAACTCAATTGGATTATTAACCTTCTCTAAGAGAGACAATAATTTTGGATCTGGTTCCATTAAATTTAATAATTATTTATGTAAACCAATTATTCACCTCCTTCAACTCCTTCAAACATCTTGGAAAAACTCAAACATTATAGAAAAAGCTAAATGTCTTCTGTTTTACGAAATCTATTGAACAGTCCTCCAAGCAGACCTACTACTATGTAAAAACCCTAATCTAAGTTACAATCCTTCTCATAGCGAACATCGCCAGTTCCAAAAGATTTGTCAGTATTTGAAAGAACTCAAGATCAGACAGTAAAACATCTAGACTTCAGTAATCTCCATGAATTTGAGATCAGAACCCCAAACATGACTCCCCATTCACCTTTGAACTCAAAAAATCAGATGAGCAGAGTATTAAATTTATGTGATTCATTTTTTAGGAACAAAAAGTGAATTCCTTCATCAATACATAAAGATTTAACAAGAATGACAAGAGATACAATATAGCTCTATTTTTTGAAGAGAATTCACTCATCTTTTAGGACATAATTAGAAGGAAAGATGTTGAACGAATTGTTAATCTGTTTTTAACTCCTATGCTTCTGGCATAATAAGAAAATGTATTAAAATACAAATAAGTCAATATAGTTAACTGAAACCTTTTCAGAAATGATATTGTTCTTAGCCACTTTCTTCCTAGATTGCCAAGAATATTCAAAAGCTACCTATTTTCTTAAGGATTGCTATACGCTATCAAATCTAACTCGTAATCCATTATTGAAGGTCAAAACTCTATTAGCTTTAGCATAATGTGCTAAACAGTAAAATATAATATATTTATAGGTATAAGTTATTTGACTAGCAAATACTTATTGTCCAAAAAGCCTTGATGTATTCATGGGCATTTGATTATCATGATCTTGAAATTCAATGTTATGATGCCATGGGAATTGCATACTTTTATCAAGGCAATATTTAGAGGGCTGAATTTTATCATTAGAAATGGACAAGCGGATTTTTAGAATCACCAAAGTCTTATTATAGGGTTACAGCCTTAGAATTCATTTCTATGTTCGAAAAAACACTCCCAACTAAAGCCATAGACTTTATGTCTTCTATTCAAGGATCTATTAATATTCCATTTATCAATATTGCCAATGGCAAGTATTATGATGACAGAAGAATTATTAAGTACAACAATTGTAATCCTATTGAAATACTTACAACACTTGTTGCAACTAAAGAATTCAAAGAATTCAATTTAGTTCACCATGAATAAACTTAAACAATAAATACAATTTACAAGAGACAACCAAAATTACCAAAAAAGATACTAGAAATAACAGAAAAATATCATTAGAACAAAGAATTGTATGAGTTTGACCATAAAATTTATGATAATCCAAAATATAAATTATCCTTATAATAGTAAGTAAATCATAGAATAACATAATCGTTTTCATTGCAACACGTGAACTAAAATATTCGTAAATTCATTGCAACCTAAAGAGAACCATTTATCAAGGCATAGCAAATCTATATCAGAGCAAATAATATTTAAAAAGAATTCATCCCAGCATTTGTAGCTAGATATAAAAAGATGCTTTTACAGATACTAAAATGAATTCAAATATATTCATTTTTTTTTGTAAATAATTATTACAATCAAATATTTAATATTCTTTTCTCAAAGTTCAAAAATTACTAAATATTATAAAAATTATGCAGGTTATATATATAGATTTCTTATATTCTTAGATATTTATCGAATTTTTAAATCATTTTGATTCAAAAGATTAAATTATTTAAGATTTAATTATATTAATCTAAATTGGAATCTTCCTTTAATAGTTTTTTAAGCTATAAGCTTTATTTTCTTTAATTAATTATCATTTTATGGAACAATTATTTATATTATCCATTAATAAAGCATATATTCGTAAAAATCTTATAATTTAAGATGCAAATTAGAAAATATACCAATATAATTAAATAGAATAGCCATTGATAATTACTGAAGTTGTCTGATCAATTGGGTAATTCTTGAATCATAATCGATGGGGTCAATGATAGGCTCTAGCAAAGAATCTACAATATTAAATTATTCAAATTAACCTTCAGAAATTTTATTGGATTGGTTGGAATTGAGTACAAAAAATAAATACATAAATTTAAAATAATATATAAAAATTCAATAATTTAAAATTTAATTTGATGGGAAGTAGTAATAAATAAGAACTCTAAGATAAGATAAAAAAAACTATGAAATCCATTATAAAAAAAATAGAAAAGTGTAAATATATAAATTTCTAAACCTACCTTAAAAAGTATAAGAAATTATTGAGCGAAGTTAGAGAACTTGAGAAGAATTCATTAAAAAATAAATTCAAATTATGAAACATGTAGTTTTATATATAAATGCCTGTTAATCTAATTATTATTTTATTATTGAACCTCTTCAACAGCCAATACCAATTTTTTGAAATAATTTATTTTAGATCTTTCGTTAGGCTGATTCGCTGTGGTGTAATTTTCAAAAAATCAGGGTTCTGACGACATCTGTGATAGCAAACGATTCCAGAATATGAAAGATTTGATTTTGTTAATTGGGATGGCTTCAATAGTTTATAATATTTATTTTCTCAAATCAAATTAACAATTCACTGAAAATGGAAAAGTTTAAAACTTGAGAATTAACTTATATGGAGACCCACTCAATGCAGAAGGCTAAGTAGGTTGTGATGAAATTAACACAATATTTAAATAATTTATAACATTTTAAAAATTAATGAAATTTTTAATTCTCGAAATGCAGAGTGTATTATATTGAGATTACAAAACATGAAAATTTTTCATTCTTCATTTGTTCAAAATCCTTTTAACTAAATAGCTAAGGCCAGCAAATCCAAGTGTAATGGCTAAGCCAATACCAAAAATTGTAAAATAATCATCATTTTTGTCTTGATGTCTCCTTGACCTTCTTTATGTTTATTGGGAAGTTTCTGAAAAATAGAAATCGAAATTGAGGATGGGAAGCAAATTCATCATTATAAATCCAAGAAAGAATATTAACATAAAACCCCTTGCATTAGCCTATTGTCCTTATCCAAAATTGAAATTGGACATCATCATGAATGGCATTCCAAAACCAAAGCCAAATGAAAAGTTTCCAAATTGTTGTTATTAGTTGGTCTATTCTTGTCTTGGATTTGTGGGTCGTTTTGGAATTTCTGATTTCTTTGATTGTTGTGAATCCCCTGTGAAGATAGTTGTGACCTTGTCTAATTCGAAGACATTGGAACAATATGGACATTGTAATGGATTCTTCTTTTAGGCCCACTAGAATAAAATTATTGAAAGTTTTACGGTATATATACACTGCCAACAATAAAGATGACCGCATGGAGTGATGACTGGCTCTGTGGCTAAATCTAAGCAAATTTTGCATTAAAATTTTTTGTATTTTTCATCATCTGATTTTTGATTATTCATAGTATATTTTAATAATAATTAAAAAGTTATAACATTTCTTCTTTTTTTTAGTATTTAAAAATGATATGATGTGTAAGCAAAATTTATTTTTAATTTTATGGATCAAGTAATTGGTGCAGTGATAAATGAATATCGATTCTTGAAGGTATTAGGAACTGGATCAATGGCAGAGTAATAATCTAAGTTATTTAAAAGTGTGTATCACGTGTAGGATGTAAATTCATAAGTTAATTATGCCATCAAAGTTTATACTTGTCCTGCCAGCGATATAAGATGTCACAATGAAGCAAAAATTTTGGAAAAATTGAGTCATTCCAATATTATCACTTTGTATAAGAATTTGCAGATGAAATTCAAGGTAAATTTCAAGTTTCTATTTATAGGGAGATTCAGGAGAAATTATAACTATGGATTGCTTAGTTTTGGAATACTTGGAAAAAGGAGATTTGTTTGAATTTATAGCTAAGACTGGTAATTTTGGAGAGAGTCTGTGTCGCTATTACTTTAAGCAATTGACTCAAGTGGTAGATTTCATGCATGGATAGGGATTCGTTCATAGAAATCTAAAATTAGAGTCAATATTATTAGATAGAAAATTTAATCTAAAACTATGTAATTTTGCATGCGCCTCATATCTGAATAAATACAAAGATGGCAAATTGAAGACTAAGGTTGGAACTAAGAGTATTATATCACAATACTTATTAAGATTATTAAGCACCAGAAGTATTGTATGGAGCAATATATGATGGAGTTAAAGCCGATGTTTTTTCATTGGGAGTCATTCTATTCATTATGTATAAGGGTTAGCCACCATTTTCGAAAGCTAACTAATAGGATGCATTATACAATTTGATAATCTAGGAGAATCACAAATAGTTTTGGGAAATTCATTCGTAAAAAATGGAGTTTTCGTTCGATTTCAAGTACTTATACAATTTAATTATAGGGAACTCTTTTTGGGAATGGTAAATCCAAATCCAGAAAAGAGATTTAATATAGAGGGAGTAAAAAATTCGAAATGGTTTGGAGGGGTTTCTAAGACCATTTAAGATGCTTATGAAGAAATGATTAATAGAGAGAAGTATATTCTTAAGGTGTGATATTATATATGATTTAAATTAAAAATTAAAATCGAAGCTCTTAAACATAAGGTTAATGAATAAAGAATTTTTAATTTGTATCGAAAAATTTGGGTTTCAGTAATTGGCTAGTAAAGATCCTAAATGTATAAAGAAAGCAAATATTAAGAATCAGATACCAAATGAATTAAGAAATAAACCTATATAATTAGTAAAAGAAAGTTTAGCTTATATATTAAACAACAATTAAATGTAGTATAAAACAAAGCAAGATCTAAAAATATTCCATGAATAGGAATAATTGGATTTAGTTTGAAAGTAATTAAACAAAATTGTTCATTTTTAATAAAATTGTAAACAAGATTATTATATGTCAAAAGTCTCATTAATAGAAATTTATTTCAACTGAGATATCTTAGAAAATACAGATTTTTGGATATCACATTTATCTTAGAGAATATTCATTATGATGTGAGATTAGAATAATTTTGAGATAAAAAATAGAAATAATAATATCTATATGTAATACACAAATAAAATAAGTTATATTTTTGCAAAGAAGTAACTATTACAAAAATTTATTCAAAATATGTTTAATTAATCTCACTTATATTCACTAAAAGAATAAAAATTTTTGAAAAAAAAATGCTCTTTAAAGCTCCCTGCTTTCGAACTTTGAATTATTGAGATTTGATAATCTGTTTTAAAATTGGCATCCATATTTACCAATCCTTTATTTAAATAAATTGATTTCTGCGTCCCCTATTATTATGATTAATAATTTGAGTAGATTGAAATACAAGGATCAGTTTGATTATATTGTAGAATAATAATTGAATAAACTTAAGATCAGAAGTAGACTTCGATAACTAAATTAAAAAATCATTCTAAACTAAGAATTTAGTGGAGGGATCAGTTCTGCATTGGATTAGCTGTGACTAATTTGAAATGAATCATAGAAAACTCAAAAAATATTTAAGTCAAAATGTTGATTAAAGTTCAGCAATTAAAATAACTTTATATTTAGCAAATATAATGCTTAAGAGAAAACTGAATAATTGGAGGTATCAATTATATAGATTCAGTAAGAGAATAAAGATGGACGGTTTGTTTAGGAATATTTTGAGAAATCCAAAATTACATAAAGTTTGAAAAAAATGAATTGACATTAAAATTTATGAAATGCTAATCTAAATATCAAGTGTATTGGTTGAGGGATCATAAAAGAGGTAATCAATTTGAATCTGAAAATAGACTATGATGCATATGATACAATTGCAATGAGAAGAATAATCAAATAGGTGATTAACGATGCGAATTTAAACATATAAAGCCTTTTTCATTATTATTTTTAATATTTAAATCTATATGTTTTTCCCTGAACAGGAGTATAAAACTAGTACTAAAGTAGATATTCTACATAAATATTAGAGTGAAGATGAGTTGAAGAAGTTGACTTTGGAAGAAGATTTAAGTGAATGTTAAAGATCCATTTATATTTTAACAAAGGGATAACAATTGCAGAAGAAAGCTGTAGATTATTGTGATTTATCTCTAGATTTATTCTAATTTACACAAGATTTTAAAGGAACCTAATGCTTTTGAATTTCTTTTTTAAGTTATAATGTAAATATATTAATTCTACAATTTCAAGCGAAGAAATCTAATAACAAGAAGAAGACAATTAAATTATTGCAGCTAAATCTCTTTAGAAGTTAATAAAAGAGAATTCCCTCTCAAATTAGGAGTTATTACAAATCTACGATTTGACAACTCAAATATTGAAGATTTGGTCGCTTCCAGTCTTAAATGAATGGGTCTTAACAATGGATACTCTCCTAAGAGCAATAGGCATAAACAATATCCTCATTCCAATCTAATAATTGATATTACTTTTAACAGATAGCTCCCAACCTTCAATGTCCCGTTAAAGCTCTGCCAAACTCATGGGCACTTTGGCTTAAGTAATGTAAATTTAATAGATAAGCTTCTTGGAAATGAAATTAAAGGTCCGATACTTGATAGAGCTAGGAGTTTATGTTCAGATCATGATAAGGAAATCCGGTTGATTATGGCTGATGATGTGTTGATTAAAGTGTGCTAATCGATTTCCAGTGATTTAATAGAGTGTTACTTAATGGAAAAAATAATGGAGCTATTTTATGATACTGATTAAATTGTGAGGAGTTCAGGTATGAAACTATTTTTTACAATTGCAAATAACCTATCAGCAGAGGAGATTAAAAATAGATGCACTAAATAGTTTATTGATTCAATCCAAAGTCAAAATGAGGAGAATAGATTGGTAATGTCCAAAATGTGCGGACGTATATTTCATCTTGTAATTATCTACATTAATAATAAATAGATAAAAGATCATTTGAATTAGCAGTAATTCACACTCTTTCTTAACATATATATGTCATATGCTAAGAGTAAGAACATTGATGTAAGAGTCAACTTTATAAGTAATTTCCCTGCTCTTTTATCTTTGGCAGCTAAGAAATTTGAATACTTCTAAGAATCTTATTTACAATGTTGCAATGACACCAATGAGTTTATTGTAAGAACCGTAATCAATTGTTTCCATGAAGTTGTACTCCTTTCTGAGAATACTGAGATACTGTTTTAGGTGTTTATGAACTTCATGAAATCAAAGAGTGTTACAATATTGGAAATTCTGATATTGAGATTCGCCTCCATTATTAATTCCTTCCAAAAAACAAGTATTATGTTCATAATATGCTTAGTCAGTAACAACCGCAATTTGGTCAACCAGCACTTGAATTACTTAATAGTCTAATTACTCGAAATCTTTGGGATTTCTAAATAGAATTTCTTGACCAATTCAAAAAAAATGCCAGTAGATTTTTAGTGACGTCAATATGTTAATGAATGCGATGATTACTGTTATTGCTAAGGGTATTCCAAAAACTAAAAAATTGTGTTGTGATAATATCGCTTTATACTTGAGTCAGTATGGAGATTTGAGAAAGAGGAAGGATTGGATTAATCAATTGTTCGAAATTTATTTTAAGTCTGATAGCTACTGTAATCGAATCACCTTTATCAACATTGTTGAATCATTTTCGGAATACATTTCTAAGAAATTATTCAAACAATATGAATTCTTTGATATTTTGATATTTTCAAAAGATCCAGTTGTAAATGTCAGAATGAGATTAATAAAGGTATCACTTAATAATCATTGTAGATTTTACCATTATTATATAAAAAAATAGATAGTGATGATTTAACTATTTTAAATATGTTCAATGAAGCTGTATAGGATTGTATTTTAAGTGGATCTCGTTCTTTTTAATTTATGATTCAGTAAACCAAAGAGGAATTACTGAAGCCAAATGATGAAAATTTAATGAATAAGAGAGACCAAGAGATGATGGAAAAAGAGGAAATCATCCTCAAGAATGATTAAAAGTAAAGACAATTGTTGTTGGATTAAGAGAGGGATGATTTGGAAATAAATAAAATTGACTTAAATGATTACTTAAATAAATACAAAAAAAAGTATCCACTGAGCAAAATCAAGAATAGCAATTAAAGTTAAACTAATTTGCTCAAAAGATAATAAATTTAAAATGGAGCTTCAACCTTAATAATAAAGAAATCAGTAGATTTTGATTCCAAGAGTCCTTTATTAGAATGTACTTAAATTACAAAAAAGCCAGTCTTGAAATCCAAGACTCCAACCACAAAGAGTATTTGTGATATTAAAAAGCAATTCAAGCTTCCAAGTATCAAAAAATGATATATATTATATATATATATTAATATATGAAATTATAAACAAGCAGTAGTTAAGAATATTTGAGTTCTAGACCATTTGAGACTAAACAATCAAAGAATATATTCACTATAAATGATTCTAGATATAAGCATATCAAAAACTTAGAAAAAAAGAACAAATAGTTAACAAATAAATTAGTCGATCTGCAAACTGATTTGGCATAAATAGACGAATTCAAAATAGCTATATCTCTTGACAGGCCTCCAATGAAAAATTCAAGAGCTTTGTTTTTTAGCACCAACGATGTTAAGAAGGGGAAGTTACAAATAGAGCCTTAAGAAATTAATGATGATTTTCATCAGAGGAGAATCGAGATTATGAAGGCGCAACTATTAAAATAACAAAGGTATATAAAACGACTTACTACGATTTTACAAACTACAAGGAAATTCTATGAAGATCTTAGAGAATACATGGTATGTTATAGTGTATTATATTTTTAGTAATATTTTTCTTCGGTGTTGAGGTAATCTGCTTAAGGTAATGATTACTATATAGTTGAGCAAAAGGAGACTATAACATCCTAGTAAGTCATTCAGTCACCGACTAATAAGGAAGTGGCAAACCAAAACGAAGAATTAAAGCAACAAAAAAATTAGATCTAAAAGAAGGTTTAGTTTACTCTGGATGACTCTTTTGATAGATAATAGGCTCAAAGCAAAATACAGAGAATCACAAAGGATAAGGAGTTTATAGAGGTGGCAGAAAAGTAGCAATAATACATTTCACTAAAAAATTTGTTATAATAATTCAAAAGTAATGAAGACAGGGAAAACTTCATATCAACATTCACATTAGCTTATCAAAAGATCATAGATTTTGAGAGGGGCAATCAAGATTACAGAAATCTATTGGAAGTGCAATAACAAGGTAAGAATAGAAAGGTATTTTACAAACATCCGATGAGATCTCTTATTCAAAGGTACGGTTAATTTTTTCCTGTTAAGAGTATTTACACTGCATTTCCGATGAAGGATCGAGAGAGACTGGATCATTTTTTAATATCTCTCGAAGGCATGAGTTCTCAGATTTAGAGAGATTTATAAAAAGTGGATGCATTCTGGTTGTTTAAATCGAACCCATTCTTTTTTAAATCAAATGATTATCGATAATCTATAGAACTACCTGTATAAATATTGGAAGAGCCATAATTGTTTGATGAATTCTTGGCAGAGCCTGAGAAGCATCGAGTTATCAATTTAGATTAGACTATGTTGTCAAATTTAGAAAAGGATCTCTTGCAATTAATGGATAGTTTGATGGAGATGTAGAAGAAATTTTAGAGTGAATGCAATGATTTATAATTTTTACAAAAACCTTAGATTACAAGGATCTCTGATTAGTTAAGGAAATCTTTGGAAAGTTTGGTTTGTTTGTCCAGTATGATTGGCAATAATAATTTACAGACGATAAACAAAATGTATGTGATTGGTTAGAAGGATGCTTACTTATATTAACATTAAATTTTTAGTTAGAATGATTTCGATTCAAAATACCAGATGCTGGAATTGTTATTAAGTGATCTTTGTTCTCTGGTGTAGGTGAATGAAATGATAATTGTGAAGAAGGCCTTAATGATGTTAAAGAGTATTAAGAACATCTACGAAATCTAAAAGATGATAACAACAATTCGAGAATCTGAGATAACACTATTGAAACAGAAACTAGATTTGCTGTTGTAGGATTATTCTGGTGTGAATGCCTTTATAACAAGTGCAGAGCAGTAAGTAAAGGGATTCTTCAACGCAATAGGTAATAAATTCGCTTAGGTGAACAATGTATGCAATGTGTTTTTGGAGAGTGAGAAGATTGTGGATTCATAATTTAGAAAGCAGTTTGGATAGAATCTAAAGAAATAACTTAAAGATATTACGGATTATATTGCAGGTCTTACTTCAATAGAAAGGAATGACAATTGCATCAACATAAAATAGTTACAACAGGAATTCGATAAGAAAGTGAGTACGTTTTATGTGAAGAGTGAACAATTGCAAAGAATGAATGAACAAATATCCAAGAGATTGCAATTAGCTTGATGATTCGATATTTGAATTCTGTATTTAATCAGTCAAACAAAATGGATTCGAAATCAAATATTAATAAAAATTAATTATGTAATTTTTCACGCCTAAATTCTCCTTTGTGGTGCACAAAACATTTAAGCAAAAATTATTGGCTAGGAAGGAAAAGAGACGTTTCAGGGGATTAAATATTTATGTCCCTGAGTTTACAGGAGAAGGGTCTATCCATCCTTGGCTAGATGCTAAGAGAATCAAATTATTTACCAAATTCTACGAAGATCATCGTAACAAACATCGTTTCACATTCAAACTCTCTCCGGAAGATAAAAAGAAGCTGAATGAAGTTATGTAGAACTATGCAGAATTACATGTAAAAGATCAGATTATTTATTAAGTATTTGAGAATGCTCTAAGAAAAATATTGGCTCGATAAACACGCTGAAGTTATGGCAGTTGTGCAAAAGGAAGTGAACAATTTACCATACATCTTGAAAAGTGAATTGGATAGAAAACTAAGTGAGAAGGAGATGGAATACTATGATCGTCCACATCTTGATGCTGACTCTATTTATTTCGAGTAGCGTCTACGTACCCTGCCAGAAGAAGAGGCAATAAACTTTGAGTTGGCCCAAAGACTGTTTAGGATAGCACAAGATAGACTTGCTTAAAATGAGTGATTAATATATATAGACAGTTAATTATTTTTTGAAAATCAAATGGGAGCCGCCGATTCAAAGCCAATTAACAAGCTCTTTGAGCATTATTCCTTGCTGAATGTTCACAATAATGGTAAAGATTGATACCATTATCTTCAGATTTCCCTGAATGCAAGATCTTATAACATAAACATGATCCGCATTAATAATTAATCTTACGTGCCATCAATATTACTGATGAAGATCATTTTAAGAAGACTATTCATCAATTTTAGAGCAGACAAAAGATTAATCATCCTAATATTCTAAATCTCAGCAATTACTTTTATGAATTTGAACAATAACTATGTGGATAATTTTACAAGGTTAATTTACTATTTGAATATCCGTAAAGCAATTTAGACAGAGTACAGACTATCAATGAAATTCAATTAATTGATTATCTGAAACAAGCAATATCTGGTTTAGCGTGCTTATAAAGAAATTAAATTTCGCATAATACTTTATAACTTAGGTATTTATTCTTAATGAATGGGGTTGTGAAAGTAAGTGATCCTCAGTATTTCCAACAGAATACTAATTATGTTCAAATATTACAGAATCCTAATTGCATGGAGTCAATTTATTTGTCCCCTACTTTAGTTAATACAATTAGGTCAAATAATTGGTGGCCTAAGCATAATCAATATAAAAGTGATCTATTTACTTTGGGGATGCTTTTCTTACACCTAAGCTTGAATCAAGTAAATAGTGACTGTTACAATTACACCCAAGGCAAATTTTTGGAAGACCAATTGACTATAAAACTCCAAAAATTAAGAACTCGATTTGGATAACAATTTTGTAATTTTATTTCAATGATGCTCATTATATAAGAAGACTAAAGACCTGATCTAATATAAATGGAACAAATTATTAATTAATAAGGAAATTCATATTACTCATAATAACAAGTACCTAATGTAGTTCCAAGATAGATAATACAACCTTAGCCAATTGGGTAGATGGAGACAATTCATTAACCTAATTCAAACTCATTATAATTGGAATTTGCATATAATACATAAAATAATCAATCAAGGAGAATAAATCAAGTTCAAGCTATATCACCTATTGAATATGCTCATCAATACACTATCAAAACAAATTCTTCATAACGAAGTTCAACACCAGTCAATAAATATACTATTCCAATCTAATAAGCCTAATTATAAACAAGAGATAGGTCACTTCCAAAATAAAAAACTCAAAGCTAAAATGCTAGTTCGAGATAGCTGAATTATGAATACTAAAATAAAAACAATCAGCTATATACACATAATAAAAATAATGCAATAGTAACCACAACAACAACAACTGATTAGTCTATCCTTAGTAATAAAAATTCAATTCAACAAATTTCTCTTCCTCCTAAGTAATCGATGCATTAAAAGAATTCGAAATCTGCATAGGTCAATTAATAAACAGAGTCAAATATACTCCCAATTTAAGTATTTCCAGCATCATAAGATTAATGTGATTCTTTATCCAAGATTTTCCATTCAGAAATGTGTAGTAGACCTTCCAAATTTGATGTGAACATAGACGCTTAACAAGATGAAGATATAAATACTCAGAGATAAGGAAAATTTGAATCCTCCAAAATTTTAAGTGACTCTACCAACTTACCATAGTAGATTAAGAATACGATAACAAAAGAGTTCAGTTTGCCATGTGAGACGTCTCAAATCAAAGTTGAGAAAGCTGATGGGGCAGAGTTCGTAGTGGAACATTATGGAAATGGATCACGTTATGAGGGTATGAAAATGAATGGGATGAGACATGGATAAGGAAGATTTTATTATTAGGATGGTGGTTTGTATGATGGAGAATGGAAAGAGAATAAAATGCATGGGGAAGGTAATTGTTTATTCTTATTCGTAGGAAAATTATATTACGGAACAGGATAGCCTGCGTATGAGGGGAAGTGGAACGAGGATCAATTTGACGGTTTTGGAACTTTGTATAATGAGCATCCTTAGATGTTGGAGGAATCCTTTGATTATAGGGACTTTGATTATGTGGAGGAGTAAGAGTTGTAGTGATAATTCTAGTTATTGGATAAAATATAGTGGTAATTTTTGGATGGATAACAAGGAGGGTTAGGGAAGTTTGCATTTAACGAATGGGGAGAGATTTGTAGGGTAGTTCGAGAGGGACTTAATAAACGGGAGAGGGGTGTTTTACAGAAGGGATGGAAAGATGATGGAGGGGAGATGGGTGGACAATAAATTAGTGTATTGAATTATAATTGATAATCTCATTGATTGTAAATATATTTTCATATTTGTTTGTTTAAATATTTAATTATTTTTAAATCATTTTAATTATGCCTAAGGGTCATCCATCGTAGAGAAATAAGGCATTCAAGGGGGAATCGAAGCGTCGAGCAAAGTAGAGGAGTGAGGGCAAATTGAAGAAGAAAATAAAGAAGCAAGAGATCAAACAAACGAAAAGTAAGGATGCTCAATAGGAAATTCAGATTGAGAAATAAGCAAAGAATTAAGAGTAGAAGGTGAAAGTTGTTAAGGCAGTGAACACAAAAATCATAGCCATGTTTCCAATGAATTAATAAGCCAACATAGCTGCATTAAAGTATGAGATGTGATTATAAAAAGATTTCAATTACTGTAGCATCTCAATGTATAATCAGTGGGGATAAGTTCCTATTGCACTTAAGATTGTTTTTTGAATGTAGAGGCAAATGGGAAATTAATAAAATAGCCATTAAGATTTATATTCCTAGATAGGAATCCTGAGTAAATACTCGATGCATGTAAAGTGGCAGACATAGTATGTCCAGTTTTGTCTTGCAGAGATTGCAATACAAACACAATAAGTTTGGATCCTCATAGCAATGCAAATGCATTTGATGAGTAGGGATATAAGTTGCTTAGCAATTTGAGAGCCCAAGGTTTAGTTTAATAGGTGTGTTACATATAGGATTTGGATGAAATAAGTCAGAGCAAGAAGAGTGTAGTTAGGAAGTTGTTCTCAAGATACTTCGAGAGTGAATTTCCTGGATCTCATATAGTCGACGATTGTTCAACTTTGATGAGGAGTGTAGTTGTGTTACATGAGTAACCAGTAGAATGGAGAGACATTCGTGGATACATGTTGCCTGATGATTTGGCTTATGTGAATGGAGAGTTGAGTATCACAGGTACATGGAGAGGATAGAATGGCTTAAGTGCAGATTAGTTAGTGCATATCACAGGAGTAGATGATTTCTAAATTGCACGCATTGAGTTACTGGGGATGATTGAGTAAGTATTCGAAACAGCCTAACCAGAATCCCTGGATCCAATCTGCAGGGATAAAAAGCATGATATTGGAGATTGCGATGATTTGTTGAAGGACATAGCAGGAATGCAATTGCAGGAGGAGGAAGAATAAATGATTGAATAGGAGAGTGATGTTAGTTATGAAGATCTAGACAAAGAGTTTGAGGAGGAAGCTCAGAAGAAGAGAGAGCAATTTGAGATTGTGCATAGAGACACTGAAGATTTGGATTATGAGGATGAAGTTGAATATGGAGTGGAGGTTAAATTGAGAGAACGATATGATCAATATTAGGGTTTGAAGAACATTAGGACTAGTGAATTTGATCCACTTACCTTTTTACCAGATGAGGCTGAGAAAATCTACAATTTCAGATTCCTGAAAAAGATTAAGTCAGATGTGTTGGAGGAAATGAAATAGAGTGAATAAATAAAGCCAGGATAGAGAATCAAAATTACATTGAAAAATGTACCTGAGTTGATAGTGCAAAGACTGACTCAACCAAATAAGATTTATATTATTTCTGGGTTGTTGAAACACGAAAGGAAGATGACACAAATGCATGTGAGATTCCATAGACATTAGATGCATAACTGTGTTCTCAAATCAAAACATCAAGTGTTTGCTTAAATTGGATTCAGAAGAGCTCACATCAATCCAATCTATTCTCGTATTCTTAATGTAAGTATACTCATCCCATATTTAGAATTGCAGTAAAACCAAATATGTGAAGGAAATCAAGGATGATACCTTTTATCTGGCATCCTTCTATTTTTATAATTCATTCCCACAACAACCTGTCATCTTTTGGTAAAATGACTTTGACTTCAGAGGCGGTGAAATCATGGGAGTCGGAGACATTCAGAGATGTGACACTTTCCAAGTAATCCTGAAGAGAATTGTACTTACTGGATACCCAGTCAAAATAAACAAGAGGAAAGCTGTCATTAGAATGATGTTCTTCAATCCAGATGATATCAAATTCTTCAAACCTATTGAACTCTCTACGAAATTGGGATTGAGAGTACTTCATTCATATCTATTCTTAGGGAAATATCCTGGAACCCTTAGGCACACATGGTCTAATGAAATGCATGTTCAATAACTTCGTCAAACCCAACGATGTCGTCAGTCTCCAATTGTATAAGAGAGTACATCCTAAATTTGTGAATATTTAAATATGAAATATTTATTATGTGTGAAGAATTTCTGTACGATCGCAGTATCCATTTCGACATTACTGTCTCCAAGTTGAACATGCTGAAAGGTGAAAAAACCCTGTTCATGTGGTAAGATGTTGAAGACATCAAAGGAAACCCCGATCAACTCGGTCGATTAATAATCAGCAACGTAAGGATCTTGTGGTGGAGTGAACGTAATAGCAGTGTCAATCTCAGCATTGGCTTAGGCACTATATTCCACATCGAGCAGAAAGTCACTAACAATAATCGCACTTTTGGAACTCTCTTTCGAACCAAACTAGCTACTGGATAAAAATATGAATTCAATTTCCATAGTTCAGACAAAAAACTCTATGAGTCCTTAGTCAATATCTACAGACTATACACTCAAACTTTATTACATCGAGAAATCAAAGTGCAATTCGCTATGATTTCTCAGAAGAAACTCAATCTCTCAGAAAAAGAATAGATAATCAACCAATATATTAATACAATCAGTGTGGCAAATGATCAATAGGACGTATCTGGTACTCTCATATTTACCAACGTTCGATTTGTTTGGTATTCAGCCACAAATGATCTGTTTAACATTAGCATTCCTTGGATTGCAGTCAAGAAAATTAGTAAGAAAACTACGAAAGGTTTCTATACCATGATAGTTGAGACCTATTAAGAATTTGGAGGATACTTTGTGGGTTATAGAAACAATGAAATTGATAGCATGATTAAGGAATGTATTAAATTGCATTCATTCTATATTGAAAATCCCATTTATGGAATTGAAATTTAAGAGAAACTTCAACCTACTGTTCAGAAATTCGAGGAAAAAGTATAAGTCGTGCAGAGTCTGTACAATCAAGCTGCTAGATATCGAGCTAATGAAAGCAATGACACTCAAAATGATATCGTGTATTCTCCAGAATTAGGCTTGGCCATTTAGAAACTGCCTGAAGATGCTAAACTAAGTGACTTATGGAATATTATTAAATATTGATATTTATATAGCTATAATAATTTAAATCACATCATTTAACTGAGATATTTGTACACTCTAATAGAAATAACTATAATATTACTTTGTTGATAAGGATGGTACAAATGTTATTATAACAAAAATCATGATTCTCATTTGTTTTTTGAAATTTGCATCGAAAATACCAATGAATTTATCATGACATTTCCTCACATCCCTTTCTACATTACTCTAGATCTTCTCCAAACAACTTTTAATCTCAGCTACCTTATCTCTCATTATGATCATTTCCTCAGTCTCAATTACATCTACCTTATTTTTGATATTCCTTTGCAATGGCATTTGCATCTTCTTCTTTTAATATGTGTAAATCAATTCAATCACTTGTCTGTATATTCTATTGTCAACTATATCCTTGTTCTTAAAATAGTAATCAAATAATGTGTATAAGTCTTCATATATTGCAGTGAGTTTGTGAATGTTCTAATGTAATTATCATTGTTTACTGCATCTATTTCACTAAAAGTCTGATTGAAATTAGAGCCTTAGTAGATCCTGCCCATACAGATGATGAAAGATAATACGATGTCTGCATGGATGTTATACAGAAGAACATCGTCATCGCAATAATTTATGGCTTGCATGAATGGTAATTCAAAATTGCACAATGTAAATCCACCGAAACACATAGCCCCATAAAGAGCAAGAAAACCATAGACATAATTGTACTCTATTTTCTTCTTCTTCTCAATGTATATCACAACTGTTCTCATCAGATTCCAACTCTGAAGACTGAGTGAACAAGTAATGTCTATTAATTCATGCAGTGCGTCTTCTTGGTCCATGTCTATAGTGATAATCTTATTCAAAGCCTATAGAATGTAGTTTCTAGTTTTCAGATCATCATTCAATACTAATTGGAAGATAATGGATAGAAAATGCATGTAGAATCCCATGAATATCACTGAGTAGATGAGAGTGTAAGGATGAATTGGCCAAAACAAAAAGAATATCGGTATTAAGACCTTCAGAGTGATTAAGGTTATGACCACGATGATCTGTAAATTAGAATCGGGGATTAGGAATTTTCTGGTGTAGATGTAATGTGGCAAGAGAAAGTGTTGGAATACACTCCGATTGCCATTAAATCCTAAATCCTGCAGATAATCCAAAACAGACTTAGCCTTCTCTACTTCCTTTACCAATTTAGATTTCCTCTTCTTTGCCATAGGGGATGCCTATATTTCACTATTTATGAAATCAGAACACATGCTGAAGTAAATCATGGTTGGGTCTAGATTCTCTTTGTCGATGATGTGATCGACTTATTTAGAGAATTATTGAATAGTGTTAAGATTGTCCTTGTCCTGGGAATCCTGAGCTTTGATGAAATCCATGTGGGCTCTGCCAAGACCGATGTTGTAGAAATTTTGCTGACTGAATAGGAAGGAGAAGTTGAAGGAAAACACATATCTCTGCTCCTTATCTTTTTGAGTCCTAATTTATTGCTAAACGATAATTTGAAATAGTGATTACTGCTTTCTCGATTTCCACTTCTTCAATTTTAACCAATTCCTTTTGCGTTATGAATATGGCATACAACATGATGAACAAGACACAATTGACTGCCCAATGAAAGTACTCTCGATTGACTTCGGACAATTCTTTCATATTTAGAAGTTGGAGTTACCTGAATGATTGAACAGTCCATATAGAAAGATTGTGTAAATGCAGACTATGCAAATGCAGAGCATGTAGTCGTAGACGTATTATCTTGATTGCAATAAATAAATACATTACTTCATGTATTATTATCGAAACGCCTTGTCTGTATCAACCTTGCGTAATAATTTAAAAATGTAGAGACTCACAATCAAGTAGGTAAAATAAACGGGACCAGAGTTGTAGAGCATGAGGACTATTCTTCTCAAAAGACATTTGAATTGATATTTCCTCTTGTTTGTCCAGAACTTGTGTTCGGATTCGTCGTCTACCAAGATGTCAAAAGTATTGTGGTGTTGATTCTATGTCAATAGAATTTATTACTACTATGGCCAGTGAGGTGTTTAAGATTGAATCTTAATGCCCATGATGCATATTCATTTATATTTTTTATGTCCGAATATGAAAATTATATAGAGAGTAAAACTGCATGTAATTTTAAACTAATGAAAAATTGTTCTCAGTCTTTTTTATTTACTACAAAGCTATCATAAATTATTAGAAACGGATGTACTGTTACTTTAACTGTCTATCCTGACAAACTATCATTGAGTGGACTTAAGAAATCGAGTCTGAGTGAGAAAATTGAAAAGGAAATCGACTTTTAAACTACTCAATATGTTCTTAATTGGGATTACTCTAAGTAAGATATAAACATATTCCTCTAGCCATTCCAAAGCCATCGAGGGCTTCAGTCTTTGTAAGCATGATACCAGGAAGTACTCCTTCGGTGGAAGCAGTGACCAGCTCAGCTAGTTAAAAAACATTTTAGGTGGTTTAATGGCTTTTTGTGACTGGGAAAAAGAGTTCAAGTATGTGAAGCACATTAAAAACAACTAGAAATGCTAGGTATCATTATTTACAAATCATTTTTAAGATAATCCTTGCCAAATAACAAAACTAGTTTCAGGTTCTCAAACTCATTCGTCATCAAGAAGTAAATAACCAAAGTTATACAAAATAGAATCCAGAAGAATTACAAGCACTTAAACTCATTCAAAAGCACCCTCATCCCAATGTACTTGGCTTCAACTCATATTACATCGACGATTTGAATTGCTACCTCGCCATGGATTACCTATCTCAAGGCACACTCTACGACCTTCAGAAAATGTACAACAACAAATTGCCTATGCACATCATCCAAGAGATTATGTAACAGATTTTGGAGGGTATTATTATATATCTAAAACATAGGTTTAAATCACTTGCATTAATTAAAAATCATACACAGAGATATTAAATATGACAATATCATGATTGCCTCTATCAACCCTCTCAAAATTAGAATTATTGATTTCGGTCTCTGCATGATCAATTAATCCCCCTTTTCAAGAGCTGGCACTGGAGGATACATTGCACCAGAGGTTTTCCTATCCACCAGAATCAATGAAAAAATTGATGTCTTTAGTGCCGGAGCAGTATTTCACAAATTACTTGTCGGTAAACCCATCTATGAAGACCTTGGGTAAAACCAAGCAGGCAATATTCGAATCAGTTCTCACATCCAAAACGAAAATGCTCTCGATCTATTGCATTAGATGCTCAACTTCGATCCCAAATTAAGATATAGTGCTTACGATTGCATAGCTCATCCATTCTTCACTGATGAATCTGATTAGCTCTCCTCGAAGTATTTATATCCTCATATCCAAGAACTGAATTGTTTTCATATTTATCCCCCAAACAAGCAAAGCTCTAGGTCTTGACTCCCGCAACAGATTTCATTTCTAACTAAAACGTGTACCCTTTCAAACTAAATTGATGTAACTGTATATAATTTTTCATTGAAATATCTATATTTAATCCTCTTATGATGCAATAATTGAAATTATCAAAAAAACAGCACAATTAAAATTTTTAATATTACTTATAAGAGCAACACTGGTGTTTAAATTTTCATAATTAAATTATAATTAAATAAGTTTATTTACAATAATTTTGAGAATTGAGAATTCTTAATTCATTTACTTCATAAGGATATTCTTAGATATGATTTGGTGCCTTCATAATATATATAATTTATATACAGAATAATTATCAAATTCGTTGTTTTTTTATCACTTTAACTTTAAGTTTTGGTTAAATTAAAACAGATGTGGTTTTCTTTATGTTTTTATTAGAGGCCTACCTTTGCAATTAGGAACTTTCTTCATCTTTGTTATTTTACTCTTGCTTATGCTAAATAAGCGACTAATCAGTAATTTATGAGGGTTTCTCCAAAATCTAACTCTAATTTACAGAGACATTTTAGCTAGACTATTGTGAAATTTCTAATTATTAACCTTAATTTGGCAAATGAGAATGGGGACATTACCTTAAAAATTTAACAAAAATGTTACAAGTATTTCATGAGTTGCGGTTTAAGAGTGAAAAGCAATTTCGGTTAACTAACATCAAGGCTACGATAAACAGTTGACGATTGACTTTTCGTATCGGAAGTACTTCCAATTTGAGAAATAAAATTATAAACATGCATTCTGGCCTTCTTCCATAAATAATTGATACGCGCTGGCATCGTCGAAGGAACTGGTTTCTTGATACATTTACCCAACCAAGGATACCTTTCAATCAGAGCAATCAATTTCTCTTAGATCTTCTTCTTATATTCTAAACTCAACTCTATTAGGATTTTATAAATGAAATAGAGAATGAAAATCAGGTTAATTATGGATATTAAAATGTTGGTAATGTCTACTATGTATTAATTATTGTTATCATCCTAAATGTAAGCTAATATTAAACTGACAATTTCTAATTAAGTTGAAACTTTATCTAAAACATTGAACTTATACTCTAAATATGGTTGGGTCCTGTTGAGTAACTCTAAATAACAGAGTAAAACCAAAATGACGAACAGGAATAATAATTTGAAATCTTGAATCAGCAATGTAGAAAGGATGTAAAACAATGATTTAACTATAAATCGAACGAATTCCCAATAGTAGTATTGATTCTTGTACTCTATAAACAGGTAGCCGTATGGCAATCGAATTTAACAAGTCCACAGTTTGCTCTTATTTCTATTAAGCTTAATGAAGTAAAACAAAGGCTTGAATAACCCAATAGTCAATAAAACAGGTATTATGTAGGCTCTTATGTAAATTTGATGTTCAGGGGTATAACATATATATTGGGTGGATGCCTATATATAATATTATCCGGATGCCTTGATACAAAAGAGGATTTCAAACAAGCCTTCAATCAAATCCCCTTAGAAATAAAACAGAACCTGAATCAAACTATTTATGAACATCGTTTGGATTGAGTTTTCCAAATGTTTGCAAAGAGATTAGATGAAATAAGTGAAAATAAAAAGAGATACAAAGATGATTGAAGTAATTAGGTTCCATATTTACTTGAGGTACACGATTTCAATTTAGAATTGCATTTTAATGAGTAAGCATTCAATCTGAAATCCAAAGGTTTGAAGAGGGTTTCCAATGATTTGAGATAGAAATTGAAATGGCTGGGGTATCTTGATATTAAGAACTAATAGAATGGAGAGCAACTGAAAGTAAGTAGAAATCATTTTGAGCAACACTTCAGTTTGATCTATAGTCATAGACGATCTGGTGCCAAAGTGCAATCCAATAAGTCTAAGATAACGTCCAACCAATTAAGCCCTAGCCATCTTCAAGGCTCCACAAACAGAGAAATAGAGGACACTCTAAAGATTAATTAGTATAGAATTACTGAAATCCACAAGAATGCTAGAATTGGTTTAATTTGATCGATCAAATTGAATTGGCACTCGGCACAATAATTGGAGAGACTTCTAGCATACGATTTCTCCCATCTAATCGAGTAATAATCACAATCTTAACAAATTGCTCCTAAATACCCTTCACCACAAGTAAAATTATTTTTGCCACCCAAACACACTGATAATTAGGGCTTACATCGCTCAATGCTGGCTGTTAGATTATGTGGTCTCCAATATCCTGGTTTTATGTCTATCTCGGCTCCTCCTAAACAAGATTAAGCTTATGGTAAACATTGTATGCAGGGAGCCTAGGTGTCGAAACTATATGTTCCATAGATGCATTTTTGACATGAATTACGTATCCATTATTCTCCAATTTCACATTAAGTGAAGTTCAGTAAAACTTAAAGAGAAAATGGGTTGTTATTATATAATTTCAATTATTCCAACAGAATTATTATTACAAGTTATTCATCTTGAGGTTCTTGTTGATAATACAAGTATGTAATTTCATAATTGCATCTATACTAATCAAAATGGTATGAATAATTGTTTAAATAGATGTTCTCTTGGAATTTACACAATTTATTTTTGTCACTGTCCAAAATACTTATATTAAATTTAATTTCCTTTCCGCTTTTAAAATTCTGAAAAGATAAGAACACCTATTTTCTTATAAGACTATTAAGACTGTAGGTCTAATTAAAAATCTCAAAGAACACAGGTCCATCTATATAGAAATCAGTAACTTATGCTGTTATTGATTCTGTAACTAAGTATGTGAGTTGTCCTTTTGTGGATGTAACATTTGAAACACTATTGTTTTCAATATAGTAAGTTGTATTATATGCTTGAATATGATAAACGGCTCCTCCTTTTGATTTGGCAGCTAAATTGATGAATTCATTTTGCAATATTTTGATGGAGGAATTGAAAATGTAAAAACTAGATCCATCAATAGCAGTTATATTAATAAATTGGTTGTTTATTGCTGTGAAGTTAGTTGTGTTTTCAATATTCAATGTTCCCTAAGATGTGGATAAATTTGAGAAACTAGATTTTAAAATTTGAGCTGAATGGAAATTAGAAATTTTAATAATTCCTTAACAATATTGACAATCTACATTGTTCACTATTAAATTCGATAGTTCAATCACTTCGCTTTCAAACAAGGTGACGATTTATTGAGCATTAGAATATATATTTCTAAGGTTTAGTCTTTTCAATACAATATTGGTATTCCAAGAGAATATTAAAGTACTAAAGAAATTCTAGACATCCAATATAGTGATGTCTTTAATAAATGTGTTTGTTTGATTTAAAACTAAAAAATTACATTCCTTACAATTACTCAATTTAATATTCTGTAGACTTACACTAATGACAGTGTTAAATTTGGCAAACATAATTTGTTCACAAGATGTGATTGTTAAATTTGTCAAATGAAGAGTATTAGAATCAGAAACCGATAATATTAGCTAATTGTTGAGATCTTGAAATATCATTGAATCGATCCAGACCTCATGAATTATTAAGCTATTTATTAATGAACAGTTATTTTATTTGAATATCCCAGTTCGAATTTGAAAAGACCCACTCATGTCAAATAATCTTTTAGAAGTACTCTCTATCAAATTAAATTGATTAATTAAGAGTGTTAGATCTTAACTTTAATTTGACAGTAATATACTTCCATCTAGTTTCTGACAAGTTATGTTCTTAACAAACATGTCAGTGCTACTTATTTAAAATATCGATTAGACTTTCAATTGATAATTCATCATATTGGTTATGTTAAGGTAGGGACTGTTGACAGTAATTAATGAGGTATCGGAGGTTATTTCTGAAAAATTGATGTTTTTCATTTGGACTTAATTTTCATTATCCAATATAAACAAAGTGGCCTTGCTAAGTGAGACATTTCTAATAGAAATATGGACACTTCCTGATGCTCTTATCAAGGTGGACAATATGATAAAGGTGTTATACAATTAGAATTCTTAAATTATGTTGCAGTTTAAAAATTCACTAGATGCTATAAATGAATTTTAAATGGCAATTTAATTAATGCAATCTACACTTCCTAACGTTGAGTTAATAATGTGGACTGATTCCAGAAAAAGGTTTTATAGTTCTAAGTAATGATTAGTGATTGAACTTTGGAAGAGGGAGGAGTCCTTGATGAATAACCCGTTAATCACAACGGGCGAAGAAAACATTTGTCTATTTCTGAACACGTTCTAAGTAATCGTGCTATTTTCAATTTTGATGTGTGTAGCAAGGAAACGACAGTGCTTCAGAAGTGTGACCTTCTTCAATAAGATTGGAGAATCGGAGATTAATGAATGTGTATTTGTGTTTACTTCTAACTCCAAAAATTGGACAGCAGAGAATCCTTCAAAGTGGACATTCTCATTAAGTTGCAGCTTTTCTCCTGTGATAACTAAACTTGCATTCTACGATGTCATATTAACCAAGGCTTCTTCAGTAGTATTGAGAATACAGTCGTAGTTAGGGATCAAGATTGTGAGTTCCATTTAGACAGTTAAATTGTGTGAGTCCTTGCATTTAAGTTGGCCATTGCATATATTGAGAAAGGCCACCAAAATCAAAATAATCATTGAATATAATCAATGCATTTTTATACGCAATATAATAATTCATAATCATTTTGATCTTACAATTAGATTTAGTTGGTTAACAATGTCTCCAAATATTAGGATAAATATAATTTTTATAATTATGAGTAATGTAACCTCATCCTTGGGATGCCCTTTCAAATACCCAACTGAACATTTGAAAAATGATTCCAAAAGCATGACCTTTAGAGATTTCATACAATAGCAACAAATCAAAGAAGATCAAAAGTTCCAATTAACAGGACGATTGTCTACTCTCCAAGTCTCACCCAAAAATTCTAAGAAATCCAGATGCGAAAAACAACTAAGCAGTCTCCTACGCTAAGAACCAACCAATCAGTTCATCATTAAACACGACATACAAACTCAAGTGACAACTTAAGACTTTGGAAATAAGTAAAAGAGTTTTAAAATTCCAGAGCTATCTCCTACTCAGACACTTTTTCATTTACCTATGATTAGTGATTCCCAGATTTGTGAAATCGTACTGCCTAACACTCCTGTTCATTTCAAATTCACTCCCTAATAACATAAAATCAGGAACCCCAATAGTAACAGTTTGAGAAATGTTCATGAGTAACTTGTATCTCTTCGAAGACCTAAAGTGTTGCAGAATCATCGAGAGTTAAAACAACCCCTAAAGACACAAACGGAAATCATTAGCAAATTTTTTGAGACTAAATTCCAAAAGATAATAAAGACCTAAATCAAATAGTATGGTAGTAATGAATTACTTGATTAACATTCTGAATCCCTCTATCTTAGAGTCACCCAAGACCGTTAGCTGAAGACTAAGTACTAAGGGAAACACCTAAAATATCTCAAGGATATTTATAAGAGTATTTTAGGAATTGGATACACCTAAGAAATACTACTTGACCCATTTAGAATGAGGAGTATTCATGCTCCACTTTTCATAAAGAAAGAATAGTTCATTAGATTCAAATATCTTTTCATCAATCAATATATGGAGATGGAGACACCGGTTGAATTACTTTTTAAGGGTTGTTACAAATTGGAAAATTTTAAGCCTTTGATTCTAAATTAGAGAAGCGATTTTGAAATATTTGGTGGAGAATATGGAATCAATGAAATAGCTAAGAACATGTATGAAAAGATATTCAAAGATTACACATTAAGTCCCTATTTCAAGGCCATAGAGTTGGAAGAGTAGGCTGTTAAATTTGCTAAACTGTTTGCCTAATTGATCGATCATACTGAATCTCCGAACTACACTCTTGAAGTACTCAGAGAAAGGCATGTCAAATATAAATTGACCCATGTTCAATTGGCTAATTTCAAATTCTATCTATCCACAACTTTACAAAAGGTTGGCATCGGATTCAAACACCTCAGAGTATTACTTAGAAAGATGGATACTTATAAGTTTGCCATATTGAATAAGCCCTCACTGTAAGAATGCATTAATAACAGTCCAGGAGGATATAGAGAATTTATTGATAGTTTTGTGCGTCTCTGTTCGAGTGAGCCTATTCTCTTTGATTTAGTATAGAAGAGAGGCAAGTAACGATTTACTGCTCATTGTGAAAATGTGTTTCACTATTTCTTCAGAGATAATGTCAAATCAATCACGGATGATGATATAGAGTCTATTCATAGAAACAAGACCATCATTTCTGAAAAGGTCTATAAGAAGTTCAAGGAAAAGGCAATGCAAGCTGTAAGCAAAGTAACTAATGATCCAATTTTATTAAGCGATTTCGAAGAGGATTGGGAAGAAATTACACCCATCCTAATGAATAGACCTAAAAAGACTATTATTAAATCATTTGGAGGGTAAGGTGTAGTTAATCGCATCGCATACAAACTAGAGAATGAGATTATGTAAAGACCACTTCTTTACAAAGTGTTTGAAGTAATATGATTATCATCTTATCAAAGGATAATGAAACTCGGGTTTGCCCTAATTTGAAATGCAAGTTAAATTTGATTCTGTATGGAATGCACTTCTACAAACGCACTGACATCGAAGTTCTCCACAAGAGATTGCGGATTCGAGAATAAACCTATTTTGAATTCTAATAAGTTTTAAATTAATCATTTATTTTAGGCCATGAAGATTGTAATGCAGGATGAACCATCTAAATTATAATGGGTTCTGGATGTTATTGATGACTACAAGAAACATATTGTTTTCGATTGATTTATATTTTTATTTTTTTTTATGATATCAGACACTCAGAAATCATTTAAAGATTTCTTGGAAACGTATGCTATCAGAAAAAAGTTGCCAGAAAAAAAAAAGTCAACAAAACTGAATCCTATGTTTCTATTAACCAAATATCAACCACAAGGGAATTCAATTTAAATTGAATAAAATTTTAGTTACGCCATCACTAATTCTAAAGTGACTCACATTGATCCTCCACTGAGTTTGCGATTCAAAACCTTGGAGAGTGAAAAAAACAATATGTCAGGTCTAGTGTTGTTTCGTAAGAATAGATGGAGATAAAAGGAAAAGAATTCATGTTTAATTAGAAATTCTGAATTATTCAATAGTGTTATTCAAAAATCATCAAGGTTTCATAGTTAATAATAATTGGTCCCACTGAAATCATAAGATTAACTTATTTAAGGATATTTGATGGAATTATCTCGAAAGAGAAAAGTCGCTCCGAAACCATAAGGAACAGATGAATTATTGAATTATGAAGTGGATCAAATATATTTAGATATCACAAGAAGAGATAATATCTTAAGTGTAAAGTTTCCAAATAAAAACTATCCTGGAGTCAAATAAGTATTTCGAAATCTTTTAGCAACTGCATATGATCAGGAAATGTTTTTAGACTTGACTCGTTTAAGAGTAATTCATTAAGGCATGCAGTTAACTAATGCTCACTTTTTCAAGTTCAAATACCATTTTTTAAATAAGTACATGCTTTTAAATATCTCAACTGAAAAGATGTTCCATTGCTGCGAACGTATTGAAAATATTCGACCTTATATCCTTAATGAAGTATTAGAATTCGAGATTTACGGAGGTGAAGATGGCATCAAAGCTATCACAAAATCAATGTACAAAAAGATATTATCAGATGTCACATTAGCTCCGTATTTTGAAAATATTGATGTGCCCACTTAAGAGTTGAAATTTGCTAGACTCTTCTTTCAATTAATTTATCATCTGGATTCTCCAAATTATTCATGTGAAGTACTTAGAGAAAGGCATGTAAAATATGGCTTGACAAATGTATAACTTACTAATTTCAAATACTACCTATCATTAACCTTACAGAAAACTGGTATACCGTGGAAGAATATCAGGTAACTCCTAAGAAGAATGGACATTTATAAATATGCAATCATAAATAAAAATGATCTCCAATATTATATTAATTAGTTGGGATTTAATTTATTTATTGAAACCTTTGTAAATAGTTGTGCATAAGATGCAATGTTATCTGAATTGATTCATCGTAGAGGCAGATAACGTTTTGTTGCACATTGCTGTAATATATTTCACTACTTTTTTCGTTACAACATCAAGGCTATCACAAGGGAAGACTTACACTTAATTCATTAAAAGAAAGCTATCATTAATGAAAAGGTTTTTGATAAGTTCAAATAAAAGGCAGTTGAATCTGTAAGAAATTTGACTGATGATAGTTTAGTATTATAAGATTTCATAGAAGACTGGGATGAGATCAAACCAATAATCTTAGGGGAAACAAGAGAACAACAAATTTTAAGTTTAGGTCAAGACTATCTGATTCCAAAATTAGTCTCCATTTTGGAATATGAATTTGTTTAACGACACTTAAATAAAATCTATGAAACTGAAGAAGCAGAAATGAGTCAAAGCATCCTTTGCAAATTAAATCTACTTCTCTATGGAGTTAGGTTTTTCAAGAAACAAGACTTGTAAATCATCCACAAAAGATTCAAAATCACCTCCTTACAGTACTATGACTTTGCCTAATGTTTCAAAATTGCTTTAGAAGAATACAAAATTTTGAACTATGTTCATTAGTTAATCGAAGAATATGAGTAGTTTATAGTCTCTGATTGAAAAAATTATAAAATTAAATAATTATAAATAAAATCTGTAACGATTTTTATAGGCTTAAATTAATTGATATAACTTTTCCGATCTACCATCGAAAAATACTGATCAACTTAACTGCTGCTCCTTTTAAATTAAATTATTAAGTAGTTTAAAGCCTACTAAAATTGTTGAAATATTCAAGTAGATTCTAATGGTTCTACTTACAAATATATTATTTTTAAATTTTATGATATTCGATTGAGAATGATTTAATTATTTGAATGCAATTCTTTAAGTCCTTTCCTCTTAATTTGATAAATGTAATCTATTAATATTTGATTTTTTTATTTAATTGCTATATCCAAAATAGTTCTCCCTTCGTTATATGTCTTCTTATAATCAATTCGTTTTATCAATAAAATCTTAAAAGTTCCATTTCTCTCATTTAGAGCTGCTGAATGTAATAATGTACAACCATTAGAATCAAATAAATGTAATAATGAAGGTTCACTGACTATTCTGAATGTGAATACAATTTTCTCATTCAATTTGATTAATCTTTAAAGATTCAAAATCTTTTATATCTGATTGGTGGATGGCTTCTTGATTTGTTCACCTGGTTATAAGTCATACTCCTGAATTTAAGGGAAAGGCAATTAATATAAAAATTTGAGTTCATTCATTATAATACTTTTTAAAGAGAGGGTAGTTGTTAGCTTGAGAATGCACTAGAAAAAGACATGTTTAGATTTAGTTTGAATTTGAGATCCAGCATTGCTAATAACAGATGAATTCAAGTATTCTGGAACTTACATAGCCTTACTTATGATGAGATCCTTTTTCTCAATAATTCCCTTTATAGATATTTGATGTAATCATGAAAATACTAATTCCTTAATTGAAATATCTATTGGATAATATATTATCCATATTCTTTCAAATCACTCAAAATTTATAAAAGCACTTTATTCTTTCAAAACCTTATTCATCTTCGATTCTCTTCGGTTCTCTTCGGTTCTCTTATTCTATTTTCATTTTGTTTATTCTCATTGGCACGTTTAATTTATTATTGATTCATTTATAGGATCTAATTATAATGTCTCATTTCAGTAAATTTCGGATTTCAATTTGTATCTAAGAGGGACATTTATGTTTAAAGTAAATCTAATCTTTTCTGTGATATATATTTAAAAGTCTCCTTTCGTATCTGGTATTGTTTCAAAATAATTATCTAATTTATCCTTACATTCTTTGACAAAATTATTTTTCATTTTTTAAACTAAATATAATCAGTATGATCAAAAGGATCAAAGGAGGGTTTCTTGAATACTATCACTTTCAGAGTAGGGTAATTATTTTTCTACTTCTTGTAACTGTATAGAGAGTGGATACTCCTATCCAGCAATTTCTTCTTAATATAGCCTGACATTATAAGTTTTCTGTTCTCTATGTTTATGTCATAAAAGATAAAAGTGAGTTTGTATTTGGTAGTAATTTAAGTTTTAAATGCAGATTCACCATTTACTCTTTCAGATTAAGTGACAGATTTGTTGCTCATAAAATAAATGAAATAATTTTATTAAACATTTACTTAGTAATGTTATAATTAGATTGTCTCATTTAAGGAAAGGAATAGAATGAAAACAATTAATAATTTGAAAATAAGATTAAATAATTAAATTATTATTCATTGATGAACTCAACCAATACGACCAGGTAAAATCATCACACATAATCCTCAGCTATATATGTCTTTATAGGTGTTTTTGTGATTATTGTTCTATTGGTAATTGCCATCATCATGCTCATCCAAAGAGAGAATAGGAGATTACATTAGAGAGTGCGTTATTCTGAAATGACACAAACAAAAAAAGAAAGCAACGCCACTCTAGATGGCTAATCAATTGAAATCTCGCAATCAGAACAGCAACCTAGTCATCCTGATAAATTGGTGACATTTGCACAGTGATATAATATTACTTTATTAATTAATATGGATTAATTTGCTATTGGACTATTCCCTCTTGTATATGCTGGTTATGCTTAAATGAAAATCAAGGGTTACAAATAAGTGAGGAATAAACCAGAAACCATTGCTTTAAAAGTTAAGATTGGATTTCAACTTTAAATTGCAATTGTGCAACTAATTGAATTCATTGTAGCACTTTTCCATCAGGATCTACTCTCTGCTTTATGTAGTCTCTTCTTAATAATTGGATTATTTTACTCATTCGGAATCACAGTTATCTTTCATCGTGAATCACTCTTAACCTTTCTGCCTTTCATTTGTCTATTCAATTTAATCTGCAATGAACCCATACTCAAATTATTCGATCTCCTTAGTTTAGTGCTGTCATCCCTTCTGGTGATTTATCAAAGACAAAGAGGCGATGATCCGTTGGAATATAGTAATTATTTTAGAATACCCTAACATAGACCCTTTTTGTGAATTCTTCGAATAATAAGATAGTTTCATTGTGTAATACTTGATCTTGTTCAGATTCCAACCAAATGCTTATTCAGAAGAAATCGAATTGCACGAATTGAATGAATCCACTCTTCAAGATCAACTACTAGTTACTCACCAAACTCATCAATAATAGCATCATCCAGCATCTTAAGTGGCTTAATTCCTAATTAATTAAACCAGACAATCTACCAAATCAGATGCCAAACATCTTCAACCAATGGATATCAAATTTTCAAAGGACGATGATGAAATTTGGGATAAAAAAATTGAAGTTGTTGAATCACCCAAATAACTTAACAAAAGGAAGGTTAGATCATCCTAAATCATAATGGAGGAGAATTCCCAATCAGAAGATGTCTCACATCCATCTTTTAAAGAGGAAGTACCTAAAACCAACTTGCATCGTCGAAGTCAAGTCTCAGAGAAGAGATCCCTCTCCTAAAGAGAAATTAAATAGGATCTTGATTATGAACAAAGACAAGTTATTGTCTCTGATGATGAAAATGATAAAATTAATAAGGAAGAAACCAAATATTATGATTACCAATCCTCAAATTGTAATTAACCTAAAATTCGAGCATAATAGCAATAAGTCATTGAAATTGTTGGCATCGATAAATTAGGAGCGGACAGTCCATTAAAGGAACAATCTACTCCTCAAAATTTTGCTTATGTTGAAGATAATCAATATCCTGAAAAACTGATTGTGATTCCTTAATAAATTCAATAAGAATTGAATAAGAAAAAGTAGCAGAAAAAGAAGAAATAAAAAGATGAAGGTCTTATTGCCAAAAGAAATAGGATGATTAAGAGAATCAAAAGTTTTGAAGAATTTTAAGATAAAAACGATGATAATAGATCCTAAAATAGTGACTAATTTGATGATAAGAAAAGTGATTACGAAAGATACAAGGATGAACTAAGTTCTGCCACTTTATCCGAAGATGAAAGTGAGAGTGGAGTCTATATTTAATAGAAGATGGAAAAAGTACAATTCACAGTTGGAAGATAAGTTGTGAAAAAACTAATTAATTACTAGCATAAAACTCTGATTCCAATTACCATTAAGGTTAAGAATGATCAATGGGTCGAAAATTGTCAATATTAAGACTTATACCAAATAGCGAATGGACATTTACCTAAACCAACTTATGGAGATGCTGAAATTGAAAAGAAATTCTTTTATATTCAACAATGGTTGGATGGTATGAGTCAGAACCCCATCCTTATGAGAAAAGAGATATTAGAGTTTTTCAATGTTCCTGAATCAATCATTAATAAATATGGACTGGTTAAAAAGATCGAAGAAGAAACGAGAGTCTAAAGAAACAGCAATAAGTTTATGAATACTGCTTAGAAAGAGTATTTCCTACAGATAAAATAAATTAAGGTAGAGTGCTTAAGTTCTGAAACATCAGATGCTTTTGCAGGAATAATTTACTTTAGTTTAAGATTTACAATCCAGACAGAGAAAAGATCCTTTGTCTCGGAATGCAAAAGAACAATTGATGAAATAAAGGAGGCTACTAAAATTATATAATAGGAAAGAAATCTAAGGGTTTCTCTGCAGGATCATGAAACAGTGAAGAAACAAATGAAAGCTATTGATTAATTTTTGTCAGAACTTTTTGGCCACCAATTCTATTATTGCGATAAGTTATTTGAATAATTTGGATTATTGTCGCAAATTAAATGATATTGCTAAATATATATATTTTGAAATTTATGTTATTATTAGATCCTTATGAATATATTAAGATCATTATTCTACTTCAATCCATCCACCTTCGACGTGTCCACTCATTTAAATCAATGAAAACTAATATTATAGTAGAAATAAAGTACGTCAAAGTTTTGGATGCAAGCTTGGTCTGTGGTATAAGTGATCTTCTTTCCATTGTAATCGGTGCTCTCATATAAGGTAACTCTTCCTTAAGGTGGAATCTTGATGGATCTAATTTAAGGAGGAATGTTGTCATTCTAGAAGTTTGGTGATTTAGAACAAAATTCAAATGAAGCACCCTTAAAATCGCATTCACTGTAGAAGATTGCACATGCTTCCTTTGGTTCATACCATAATTTGAAGTCTCTGAAACCCCATGATTCTAAATATTAATAAATGTAGTATTACCATCGATGGCATCTTGATCCAAAGTGGATGTGAACATGATTTCAGCCTTTGGAGCTTGATGATTAAAGATTTCATCAACGTTAGTGAAACCATCCCACCAAACACCTTATCCACAGATATTGGCACCTCCAGTTTAAAGATTCCAAGATGTCTTCCATACTTCTGTTCCGTCGACCTTGATAATCATGAATTCTCCATCCCAGGAGTCAATCTTATAGATTGTTGATTGTAATCTAAGTCTCTTGTGTGGTGGGATCTCAAATGTTTTCTTGGCATTAGCACCAATACCCATAATATCAAAACCTCCGACCATTGATTTACCATTGCATTCAGCCACTGTTCTTCCGGCCTTGTTGTTTGTAAGGATCCAACCATTGATTCCTGTGAATTTATCTTCCAAGAAAGATTATTCCAATAGAACAAAGTTTGGTAAAGCTTAGCATTTGCCTCCAACCAAAGCCCAATTGTTGGCACATTCTATTTTGATAATATGGATTATAATACTTTTGCAATCAGAATCTTTTGGTCCTGTACATTCAGCACAGTTGTCAGCACAAGCTGCATAGAAGATGTACAAATCTCTCAAACCAAATGATTCATTTTCGATTTCGTCAAGAGTTGAAGTGAAATCAACCTTAACTTGTTCACCAGTATGATCTACATCTACTTCTGTTCTAACAAACATTGATTTCCACTCAAACACTGGGCATCCACAAATCTTACCAAAGTAACCCTCGTACCATTGGAATCTTCTTTCATAAACTATCTTTCCATCAATTTTGATTTAAGCAGCCTCATTATCCCAAGAGTCAATCTTAGCCCATAGAACCTTGATCTTGAGCTTGTAATGGGGTTTGACCTTATGAACCTTACTGACAACGGCTCCCCTCATCATTTTATCATAACCTCCGAAAATTCCAGCGGCTAAATTTATAATTAACAATAATTACGTCCACATTAGGTAGAATGAGCCAATCCACCAGTAACATCCCAGCCATCAGCTCCAAGTTTATTAGAATTTAATTCTGTCCAACTGGAAGTGAATGATTACCAGAAATTACAGTTCTCTGCTTTATCATCCACTTAACAGGCAGCACAGCCATTTGGGCATTTCTCCACAGATAATACAAAGTCTCTAAAAGACCATGATTCCTAAAATAATTATAAGTGTATCTTACATTATCGGCAGCCTCATTCAGGTTGGATGTGATGACAACAACTGCTGTTGGACCAGTGTGCTTGATGTTCAAGTTAAGATTAACAATCATTTCCTTCCAGTCACCTCCTTGTCCACATTTTTGGCCCTCACCTTCATTGTATTAGAACTTTCTTGACCATGCTAATTAGTCATCGACGAAAACATAGGCTTCCTCATTGTCCCAAGAATCAATCCTATTATGTTAATTTATATGTATCATACTTCCAAAATTAAAGTTTTAAATTAATTAATGAATGGGGTGGAAGTTCAAAGACCTTACTTGCAACAGCTCTGGCACCAAACTTTCCAAAACCTCCAAACATCTTCACACCACTGCATTCTGTAACATGAGCTGGTGCTCCAGCGACTGTCCAACCTATTTAATTTATATTTAATTTTATACCATCTGCATCTGAAAAGTCATTTGCTACAAAGGATTAGGCAACGGCAACCGGTTCTCCAACAACCTAGACGGCAGCACACACTAATAAAACTAAGATCAAGGTCTGGTTTTTCATAAAAATATTAATGTTATATTTTTAGAAATTCAATCCTTAAAAAACGATAAAATCCAGTTTATCTCAATATAAACTTTAATACATAAATATTTAGAAAATAATTGAAAAATACTTTTTTCCCAACTGTTTGAGGTCTTGTCTGAAATTAAAAATAACCTATTTCTAGTAATGATAACATTATGCTGATATTTTTAGAATAAAAAAATAAAGACATCATTTATGGCGTAAGAGCTCAAAGGATGGTTAAAAAGTATCGATAAACCACCTGTCCTTCTCATAATCTACTTACAAGAGTAAAGGTTTTAGGAAAAGGAGAGATGAAACATCGGAATAATTAGATGTATTTTTCGATTATAATTATTAATAAATGTTTGGTTAAAAATAAAACAATATTAGTTTTGGATTATATCTATTAACGTCAAATTGAAGAAATTCATAAAACAATAAGATGAGTAAATGAATCCAATGATAGTTAATAATTTCCTTTTTTTAGTATATGTATAATTACATTTGGTAATTTTACATATTTCAACATAATACTTTATAAATTATATAAATTTATATAATAAAAAACGTATTCACTATTATTAAATTACTGTTCCTAATTCATAGCGGATCGCTCTTCTACACTTTTCCACTATCTCATCTTCCTTCTAGAGCAAGCTGTTTTTAATATCATTAATTTATTCTTTAACTATAGAAATTTATTCATTCACTTGGTCCAATACATGTAGAGATGCCAAATCTTATTATGATAGGATTATTGATTACTTAGATTCATGTTCTCGGACTCGATATTTCTCGTCTACTTGATTTATTAACCTTAAAATATGACAGTCTTGTCATTTTTTTATTTAGCTAATTATTTAATGCTATAAATACCCACCTACCCTATTAACGCCATTTTAAGAGGAGGTTTATTGTTTCAGCTTTTCTAAGAGAAAGTTCAAGGCCTTATTATTTTCGACCTCTTTAGTATTGAGTTGTTTGGGATCAGAATTAACGTCAAAGGGTATTCCACTCAAATCTGCAGGTAATTAATGAGCTAAAACAAAGACCTTGTCTCTGGGAGTGAGAGTGGTCTCGGCTGGAGGATTCGTATAAACATAAGGATGCTTATTATCGAGAGCCTTAGCCAATCTATAAAGACCCAAAGGAATCAAGTGTCTCTCGATGGACAAATAATTGAAGAGTTCACCGAAGGTTTTATTCTAAATAGGAACGAAGATTTACTAGATAGTCTTCAGGAACGGGGACTTGATAGAGATTTGAATCCTTGATGTCTAAATCATCGCAGATGGTTTGGATTAAAGGATTAGACGATCTCATGCCAGTGAGAATTTATTACAGTATGGTGACAATATGTGGATTGTAATAAGCTTGGCAAGTGAGAGTGTCAATCATGGCAGAAATGTAGACTTCTCCCGAGGCTTGTAGAGGAGTCTAATTAGCATAAACAACTTACCAATTCATATTTGAAATCATTTTGGAATTTGTAATCTTTGTCAAGGAGGAATTAGATGTTGGAACTGGAGACTAATTCAATCATGATCTAAATGGAGGGGTTAATCTTTTTAATGGCCTTGTAAATGAAGATGCTCTCAGCATCATGCATTTAGTCTAAGAAATCCTCACTCTCAGTTTTGTTGGCATCAGAACTCTGAGCAAATATTACAGCCTTGTCTGCACAATGGATGCTGGCTCTTTATAAATCCTCAGAGATAAGTGGAGATCCCTGAACGAATTTGACTTTTGGGAATCGATTGATTTATTCCCAAATTTCTGTAGGTTTTTCAGGTGCTAAGATGACGACATACTGAATTTCCTTTAAATACTTGGCTCGCAAGGGAAGCAAAAAGTAATAGATGGAGGGGTGGATGCCACAAACGACAATATGATTGTTGATCTCAGGTTATTCCAAGAGGAAGATTGAAGTTGCATCCATCAAAGAAACAGGTTCATTGAGGAGGAGATAATCTTTCTCTGTGATATCTTGTTCATCAAGTTGATCCTTGCCAGACAATAAGGGATCTTCAGTTTTATCCTCCTCTTCATTAAGGTTGTCTTTGTCAGAGGCGTTTTGTTAGAGGTTGAAATGATAATTGGCAATTTCTTCAGTGGTCATGTCATAGGTGGCAACTAGATCTGCAACTTTCTTATCTTGACAGATAATATACGCATGAACTTTTTTTGTATTTGTTATGATGTACACTCCAGGGTTGAGTCTGATAATGGGTTACTTTTCAAAGTCTAATTCCAATCCAAAGAGTATGCCAGAGAATTCATTGTAAACGATGGCTGCTACTTCACTAAATGTTTTTCCTTGAAATTTGAAACTCAAATCAGTCCGATATATTTCATGACCCATTCCGTCAGTGTATTGAGTCAACCATTCGGAATCCAAGCTCTCCTTTTGTTCCCCTGCAGATGTAACTAAATTACCTAGTAAACTAATAATGCCAGGACAAAAGCAAGATTTGGCCAGCAAATTCATCTTGAATTCTTCGACCACTATGATCTAATCAGTTATCATTTTAACACCCAAGGATTGTTTGTAATGCATCTTACTCTCTGGTTTGATCAATTGCATACATAATCTAATATTGCAGCCAGTCAAATGATTCACATATTTCTTTATCAACAATCCAATGAGAATATTCTTGTGATCAGCAGAATGACTATCAACAATTTATTTATTGGTTAGGATAACACAAGCCTTGGCCTAAGTAACAGCAGCTCTTCTCAAATCTCTCTCTACCATGGGATTTCCTTACAAATAAATGAGGAACATCTCGTATCGCTCATTATGCAAGAAGTCCTCCATTTCTGTATTGGGTATTGAGGGTTTCAAAATGATGGCATTTTTGTCCTATCCTCCATGATCTTGATGGAACAATTCATTGCAGAAATTCTTCAAAGAAGGCACACTCACATAACTACAAATGATTATGTGAGGAATCTCGTGATTAGGCTTATAAAATGATCTGGCATAAACACTCTGCAATCCCATTAGTCTAATCAATTCGTTCATCTGTTTAGGGATCACCACGAGCACGATAATAATCAGCACTATAACACACACTCTTCCTTCTTCACTATAAGGAATTACATCACCATAACCCACTGTAGATAGTGTCACTATTGTGAAGTATATCATTTCATGGAAATGGCATTTGTCGATCTGATTTGAACACCCTTTATTTGGATCACTCGCTATTAGATCTTGTCTCTTCGGAAATTCGAATGCGTACAACACTCCAGCAGTTACAATAATTATTGTCGTAACAGTTGAAAATATTACATATATTTATCTAGTCACTCCTCCATACTCAATGTCCGATAGCTGTTGCAGTTTGTTGATCATTCTCACTACTCGAAATACTCGCAAAATTCGAGATATGTTTATTAGTCTTTACAAATAACTCCAATTTCCCACTGATTGAATGGTAAAAAGAGGAAACAAAGTCAGCAACTCAATTATAGCAAAGTCAGAAAATATGTATTGGAATCTGTGTTGAGCAGCAAACAATTTCAATAAGTACTCAGTCAAATATAAAGAACAAACCACAATGTCCAAAGTAGCTAGCCACTCCACTGAATCAAAATACGTTGAAACTATATATATTCCTACACTAGCCAAACTTGCAATACCTGAAATTATCTCCAGATATCTATTTTACATCAATCATACCTCCCAACTTTTTGATTTAACAGCTTCTCTATGTACAATCTTAAAGTAATTCTATTTTCGTATTCATCATTGTTTTCAGGTTTCAGTTGCGGCAACGGTAATACCATTGACATTTTTGGGTTCATTTTAATTATAAATACTTTATTAATATTATAAAATAATTTATATGGTATCTAGTTAGCTTTGAGACTATTTGTGGATGTCTCTATTTCTGTCCAAAAGTACAATGCATGCACTTATTGGGTGTGACTTAATATTTATTTTAAAAATAATATAATGAAATCTGCAAAATCAGCTTATTCATTGAGCACCAATTTAGCAAGTTAGTACACAGAGAGAGTTTACAAAAACAAAAAGCCTGCCCTTCGTATAAACACAGAAACCAGTCAAAGGATTAAAAGTGCTTAAATTGGATCCTCATCTAGAAAATGCTATACTAATACTAGTAGAACCATTGAAAATCAAACACAATCCAAAATACCCTTGCAAATCTATTAGAGGTACATAGAGGAGTCCTTTATGTCCAACAATCATGACAAAATTGTGAAGGAGGCCAAATTAGTGGCTCCTACTGTAATCAATCATCTCAATATCAACTTTTATGAAACATAACAATTGAGTCACGGAATGAGTCTTTATGACAAGCATCCTAATTTGCTCTTTAAAATGTATGAAACACTGATAAATCTCGATAAAAATGTAATTTAGGAATTGTTTTTATATGAAGCCTTGACTGATAAAGATTAAATTGGCATTAAGGAGAAGAAGGAAAGGAACATTACAGACAATTTTAGATTTGATTTTTTCATCAAGGCAATAAATATTATGGATGACTTTATAACTACATTGATCAAAATTATCGATGATAAAACTCTAGCAGTATTCATTGAATAGTTATGGAAATTTTGGGTAGTACTCCTTGATCTTAATACTCAATGGTCCTAAACGAGGTACAAAGCCTTGTTGGATATTCAAGTAGGAGCAGTAGAATCATAATTAAAGGATTGCTAGTTCAGTTTGGATGCGTTAAGAGAGAAATACATTCAAAAAGTAAAAGGACATCAATTAAGAGTAGCAGTAGAGTAGAAAAAGAACTTACATCTAAAAGAAGAGAATCTGAAATGGCTTCAAATGTATTCTGAATTGGAAACAAAACTAGAGGAGTTAAAAAATTTAGAGAATGCAGAAGGAGAAATTAGAAAAATTAATTTGGATTTAAAAGAAATGGATTTTCAATTCAATGTCTTTTAAAAAAATATGAATGATTAGCAAAAATAAGTTAGCACTTCTGTTAAAAATCTGGCAAGTCTTCTGAAGAGAAAAGATTAAAAATCCTTCACTGAATTCACATATGAAGAATTAAATCTATTAGATTATCCAGGGTTTAATGATGATTATTTGCTGGTTAATCCTATTATATTCCTCTTATAAATTAGAGCCAAAGACTAGAAAACAACCCCTAGTGATTTTTTATCCTTCTTAGTGTAATATATACATTCAAATCCCAACATGTCAGGGCCAGAATTGTTTATGCAATTCATAGAAATCGATTTCAACAAAGCACACTTTCTTAAAGATCTAATCAAAACTACTGATGATGATATAATCAATATCACAAAATTAATATTGGGAATAGGTAAATCAAACCCAGTTAGCCATGTTGTGATTCTGGAAGCCATTAAATTATGCAGAGCCATTGAAAATTAATACAAACACTTCGATCAATCTCAAAATGCAACAGTTAATAAAAGGACAAGTATTATTTTAAATTAGGAGAAAAGTGTTGGTCACAATATAGATTTGACCTAAGAAATTCCAATTGCAGGGTATAATGATAATGTTTTATTTAGATCTGAAGTGACATTGGGTTAACAATTGTACGAGTAAATTCTCCAAGTTAGTACAACAACCATAAAACTTAGCAAGATAATGTATATCGCTATTCAATTCTACGCAGAAAAGGAGTATAGTAAATGGATGAGTTGCTGCTATTTATGGTAATAAGGAACTATGAAAATTGAATCTCGTTGGGATTAATAAGAATAATTCTTAAACATGGACAGTTTTCTTGTAATAATTCATTTTATAATTAGGTATGGTAATTTGTCAATCTAAAATACAAGAATTAGAAATCTTAAGATCAACCCACATTGGATTAGTGTTTCAATTGGGTTTACAAAATTTGGTTACTGAGACCTAAAATCTTTATAAAGCCAACAGCAGATCCTATTGAAACTTAGAGAAGTTCTAATACAATTCAGAAACCATAAGAAAAGTTGTCAATTCCATATAAAAAGTCCATCACTCTTATAGACTCGTAAAGAAAAAAATGATTAAATTATAATTAATTTATCAAAACAGTTTTTAGTATGAAATGGATCAACATATAATTTCTTAGTGATGTAGACAAAGAATAATTTAATCACAATAGATTCCTTTTTGCAGATTTATCTCTATCATCAATATTAAGTTATAAAATATATTAATCATGAAGTTTCAAGCTCTGTTTGAATATTAGTTTTTGCATTACATTCAAGTTCATTTCTACAGAGGGGACATCGAAGATCTTGGAATAACCATTGTTTGCAACATTATGAATGAAATAAATGTTTTTAATGACAAGGTAATTGGATAATTGTATCAGCATCATTAATTTATTCATAACAAATAGGGCTAAAATTGAGTTGCAATAATACCAATCTAAATTACAAGCCTTGATAGATTAATTTAAATCCTAAAACTTTATTTCAGTAAATTTATTTGATATACTTTGTTATAATCTATTTTAGAATCTAAATCCAATCTACTTTCCTAAAGTAATGTTAATAACTAAAATGACTCCAATAGAAATCATTATAATTAATGTTGTAACCCAGGATATAATCAATTCTAGGATTTGTTCCATTATTAGGAAACTCTATTCTTGAGGACTATTTGACAATTAAATGAAGTAATAAGCTGAAGTGAAGTAATACAGTATTCTGATTATGGTTAGAGGATACTTAAACATCTTTTATTAGATCTTATAGAGAAGAACTATTCCATTCATAGGTCTAAAAAATGAAAGAAGTTCCTAAAGAGTCAAAAAAATTAAGCTGTGATTCAATTCAAAAATGTTTAAAACTTAATCTTCTTCTTTAAAAAGTTCTTAGTAACTAAATTTGTTGGCCAATGCACTAATTTAATGTACAAAAGTTGTTACTCAAGAATCATGTAGAAGAGGAAGGTAATAACATCATGCATGAAAGTGAAAAAAATAGCATTGCGCAGAGGAGATGCTAGAGTATGTTGGTAACATGCTAAGAATAAAACAAACTTCATGATTTGATAGATGCATATTGAATGGCATATGTAATTGCTCTATTTTATTAGGATTTCCATGCTTGATTTTTGATTTCTTTATTAAAAAGCTGTAGAGAAGCCATCTTGTTAAATGGTGAGTAATTCTATGTCCATTATAATTAATAATGATTATTTATTTTTCTTATCGTTTGGTGGATTAATATTCATAAATCGAATGACTTATTATTTATTAGTTTTATAGCGTATTAATTGGAAATGGAATGTGTAACTTTATTAAATTAAAAAATTATGAAGTTAGGAATTTAATATATTGATTTTTATATTAAATCAGTATAATGTGGTTTAAATGAATTTTATTCTTTCATAAATGATTAAATTAGCAACAAGAACCATTAATTAATTTATGCAACAATAAAAAGATTTATTTGCTCACTATAAACAGCCATCAATTAAAGAAGACTCTTACGTAACCGGCTTGAAATTAGCTAATTCTTTGAAGGGAAGTGAATTGGTCCCATTCATTCCAATAAATGGCAGATAAGTGAAGTATGATATAGGTTTTAAATGCAAGCTTTTATTATTGTGGTCCCACAGTCTATAGCAACTCCCATTTGGGTCATGCAAGGTAATCATATAATTGATAGTTTTTAGAACATATTTGGGAATCGATGTAATAAGAAGAACATTAAGAGATTACTTTAATTATGATCTATTGAGTGTTATGAATATCACAGACATAGATGATAAGATTATTAACGGAGCGAAATTAGCCAAATAAGACTTTCTTGAATTCACAAGGGTTTGGGAGAAGGACTTCTTTTCGGCCATGGAAGCACTCAATATAGAATTGCCTGATGTTATAACTAGAGTTAGTGATTATGTGCCAGAAATTGTGACATTCATTGAAAAGATTATTGCTAATGGGTATGCTTATGACAGTAATGGAAGTGTGTATTTCGATGTTCAGAAATATTTGGCTGATGGAGTATATCATTTCATTTTATATTGTAGCACACTTATCCTAAAATGAGACCAGAGATGAATGTTGATTTATTATAAGAGGGTGAAGGAGAATCATAGGTTAACAAATAATAAGAAAAAAGAAGTCCCAATGACTTTGCTTTATGGAAAGCCAGCAAACCAGAGGAACCCAAATGGCCTAGTCCATGGGGAGAAGGTAGACCAGGATGGCACATTGAATGCTCAGTCATGGCTAGTGCCATTTTGGGAAATCCTATTGATTTACATGCAGGTGGCATTGATCTGATATTCCCTCATCATGATAACTCTCTTGCACAAGCTGAAGCATGTTTCAATTGCGATCAATGGATCAATTACTTTATTCATCTTGGTCATCTTAATATAGCTGATCGTAAGATGTCCAAGTCTCTTAAGAATTTCCTTACCATTGACGAAGTCCTCAAGAGATACACTCCTCGATAGGTCAGATTAAATTTTGCAATCCATTAATACGATGCTGTGATGAACTATTCTGAAGAGCAAGTTGAATAAGCTATTTCAAAAGACAAGGCTTATCAAGAATTCTTCCAAAATACCAAGATCTATTTGAGAGAATCATAAGTCACAGGTCCTTAGAAGTGGACATAAAATGACTTTTAAATCAGCAATTCACTTAGAAATACTAAATAAATTGTTCATGCAGCTTTACTTAAGAATTTCGATTTTCCAACTGTTATAGAAGCAATTGACAAACTAATTAACTAAGTTAATGCACAAATCGCAGGCAAAACAGTCAGAGCTCCACTAGTTCAAAGCGTTGTTCAATATGTCCATTTTATTTTGGGAGTATATATATATTTGTTAATAATTTTAGTTACTAGGACTCAATTACTTAACCTTAAATAATAATTCAATTGACATCAAGTCAATAATGGCTGAAGTATGCTCCATTAGAGATCAAGTGAAATTGGCTGCCAGAAAGGGGGAGTTTGAAGCTATTTCAAATATTGTCACTTAGAAGCATTTCTAGTATGAGAAGAACTTGTCAAATTTAATTGTGGATAACATCAACCAATTTTAATAATAGGTCTTGGCTGCTTCTTAAGAAAAGAATAAATAGCAATTGTTTTAACTATGTGATAAATTGAGAGACGAATAATTATTTGAGTTAGGAATTTAGATAGAGGATAAAGATAAAGATCAAGTAAAAGATTACATAATAATTAGCCATCCATTTGGAAATAATACGATCCAAAGGAATTGAAATTGGAGAAAGAACAATAGTAAAAACTGATTTAACAAAAAGAATTGATTAAGAAGAAGGAAGAAGAGAAAAAAAAATAAGAAGAATTAGAAAAATTAGAAAAGGCAAAGATTAATCCCAAAGACATGTTCCTATCTTAAGTAGATAAATACTCTGAATTTGATGAAAAAGGCATACCAGTCAAAGATAAAGAGGGAAATGAATTATCCAAAAAATAGAAAAAAGTTGTTTAAGATTTATGGGAAAAACAAAACAAGATTCATAATCAATATTTAGAAAAATTATAGAAATAGTAATAATAGCAATAATGATGTAAAATAAATAAATATATGTCATAATGATAAAATATGATATCATTTTTATTATTAATTTTCTTCATTTTTAACCTCAGTTACAGACTTAGAAAATCTCAACAAGTCAACTTCACTTGTCACAAATGATTTTAGTAATTACTACATTTCTTCTTGTTTTTTCTTTGCTACCTTCTATTGAGTATTCAATTTTTCATTTGGTTTAAATTACATTTATAAATCAGGATCATTTATTAATTAAATTGCCCTCTATATCTTTAAAGCTGTTTATTCTTCAATCCTATTAGCTTACATTAAAGCAAAACTTAAATAAATACTCGAAATACTTACTTTACAGTGGATTTCATCTATTCATGAGAACTCCTGATATTTTTCAATCTAGCACTCTATCTGGTATAAAATTCATTGTATCTCTCAACCTATTAAGATTATAATCTCTGCAATTATTAACGATTTTGGAGAAAATTTAATACTCTTTATTAGTATATCTCTCTTCTCAAAATAGTCTCCTCTTGCAGTCTCTTATCCCTTCTTTCCAAGACATCATCCACTTTCCTAGGTTCTATTCTTGGAGTACTCCAATGTAATTTTTAATTAGATTTTACTTTCTGAAATTTCTCAATCTCAATTTACTTCTTTTGTTGAACTTACTCAATAGATTTGGCAAGTAAATTATTTATTATTGGTTATTATTTCTAATACTTTATTATGATATTTTCAAGATTTTTTTCGTAATTATCATAAACTTATCTTTTACCAAAATCTTTATGACTTTCAGAATGGAATTCAACAACTCCTAAAAAATAAAAATATAAATTACTTTTTTAATCTAGCTTCTATTTCATCTTCTCCAAATATTCCTCATATTATTAATTCTACTTCTCTTAGAATGAATGCTATCTTTATTTTTTTAATGATCTTGCCTATTTCATATGTTCAATCTATTCCTTCCTCATTTCCTCCAATTTATTTATTTTTTCATCACTAATGAATTGAATTAAAAATATTACATCAATGAAGCATTTTTCAATAATTCATTTCGTTTATTAATTAATTCATCCTCCGTCTTCTTTTTCATTCTATGATTATTTTTTAATTTCTCATTGACTTTCTCTAAATGATCCTTTACAGCCACTATTTTGTGATCATAATCTGATTTTAAAGCTTTTCTTACTTTCTCTATCTTATCTTCCTATTGAACCTTGTAGTCAGTCCTTCTCTTTTCAATGTCCAATTAACAGAGTAATTACTTTTAGAATATTTGTTTCTTCTTCTACAATTTCTCTGATATTGATTACAATCGAGACTCAGCCAACTACTTAGATTCCATATCAACTCCAAAGGTTCTTCCTATTTCATTCTATATACCTAACTACTCTGATTTCTCAATTAAATCATGTCTTCGTTTCACTTTTTTCTTTTATTAAATTATCTAATAACCCCACTCTAAAGTTTCAAATCGTATCAATTACTTGCTACTTTGTATGCGTAATATTTAAATCTTAGTGCCTAAACCTAAGGATCAGGATCATAAAAGTCCTGAAAATTAACAATCCTGAAAAATTCACAATCAATCCCAAGTTGCTATCCCAACAATTATGTCTAAGGACTCAGAGGCTACAAGTATTCAATAAATTTATTCAACTAATCAACTGCCTCATTTGCCCTCCCTTCCTTTATTAAAGCAAGAGCATCAGGTAAGCTGAAATTCATTATTTAATTTTATACAACTTAAATTTTCTATTGATTTTCGATGAGTAAAAAACTAAAGAGATTCTAATTTGTGTTCAATTGAACTAAAATAACTATCTTTTTAGAAATGAATACCAAAGTTATAAACTCTGAAATTAATAATAAATGAGTTAATAATTTACTTATTATTCAAATGAACTCTGCTAAATACATCAAGAACCATGCACCAACATGTGCATCAACACTAAATGTCTCTAACCTTTATGTCCCGAGTGTATTGAAATTCATTTTAGAGAACACAAAGAATGTCAGATTGAAAGTTTGAAATCCTGTAGAACAAATTGCTCCAAGAAAATACGCTCCTCAATCCAAGAAATGAATTAGATCTTGTCTTTGCAAGAAATGAAAACCATTGAAAATTCTTCATAGTATATTGAACTCTGTAGAGAATCACTCTAGCAATTGAAATAATAAATAATTGATAAAATTGATTCATACAACAAAAAATTGCTTCAAGACTTTAGTAATAACCTGATACAAGCATTCAAAGTAAAAATACCCTTAATTTGTATAGGAATCATAGATTAAAGAAGTTTACAACAGAATCAAAAATTTAATTTAATAATTAGACGAACTAGGAACCAAGTTAGAAACCCAGAGCGATTGCTAAATTAAAACGATAAGAAGCATTTACTTACTAAATACTACTTAACTGATTCAATCTTCTAATTAAGAGGCTTATAAAGAACTTTTGAAATTGAGTAATTATTTGAAATATTTTAGAATTTCCATTGCTTGTTGTCTCTCAAAATTTCAACTAAAAACTTGATGAATTGTTTGGATAATCCATTCAGATTCAATTTAAAAAAACAAACACCACTATGTTCAAAATCGAAGAGAAATAACAATTAAATAATCAACCAATTAATATTTAGGAGGCTCCCTCTTTGAATCAGACTCCATTGCTATCCTAAATCAGTGAAATTCAATAGGGTAAGAAACAATCAGAATTTGCCATCACTGTAGAAGATTACCTATTACCCAGTGTATAAAATAAAGTGCTTCATTATTTTAAATATAATAGTAAAGAATTAAACTTAATCAACCTTGATAATCCCAAAGAAATTAAGAAAATTAAGTTATAAATACCCTTTTAAATTCCAGTCTTTCATTAATCAATAATTACTAAAACTGGCTAGTTATACCTTATTGGAGGAACCACAATTGACAATAACTATCCTAACACCAAATCGAATGCAATATGCTTGTTTGATAAATATTCCTTAGCTAATGTTGGTCATTTGTTGACCAGTCGATCATCTCATGGTTGTTGTATTGTAGGGGATTACATTTACTCAATCTCTGGGTTTGGACAAAATCAAGTTCTTGAGAAGACTTGTGAGAGATACAATTATATACTAAGAAAAAGTGAGTATCTCTAGGATTGTTTATACCCTTCTATAGCTTCTTGCTGTGTAAATTACAATAATCAATTCATCTACAAATTTGGAGGATTGTATGAAAAATAATAGATGAATTTTATTGAAAGATTCAATATAAAAGATATGATCTGGCAAGCTATTGATCCCCAGATAGCAAATAAAGAGTAATTATAATCTAGATAAAATAGTATACCTTTATTCAAGGGATTAAAGTAGTTTGCAGCTGGAGTGCAAATCTCCCCAAATTCTTTGATGATCTTTGGAGGTTACGATGAAAATTCTGTTAGTTCCGATCAATCGTTTCTTTTTACTATAAAAGGGGAAAACCATATATTGCATATGGTAAACAGCAGACCTTTAAAAATACCAGGGGGTTTTTGGCATTAACAATGCATGATTTATAAACAAGAATTATTTGTCGTATAGAATTAGGAAAATAAAGATGGAGAAACCGTTGAAACAAAGACTATTTTAAGATTTAAGGATAGATGGTTAACATGCTGAATTGATATAAATATGAATAGAATATATAAATAATTGAAGTATTTCTTTGAATTAATGTAATAATGACATCTTAATTATAGAATTAATCACATTTAACAAATCATATATAATGGAGTGCTTCTTAGGCTAATGTTTTGCTATCCTCTATTCCTTTTGTTTTATTGATATTCTTTTTGACTACCATCTTTTTACGGAATTTTTTTTGAACAAATTTCTTAATATTCTTTTGATCCAATTCTGTAATTTTTGTTAAATCTTTTGGAATTTAAGCATCTTATTATTATACTTTATTTTTTTGATTATCATTTTATTCTTTTTGTTTGTGATCATCATCATCTTGATTATTTTAATTTTCTTCATTTTCATCATAATCTTCATCATCATCTGCATCTTCATATTCATCATCATTATCTTCATCATCCTTATCATCGCCTTCTTATTCATTATTATCATTATCATTTTCATTATCTTCATCATCTTCTTATTCGTCATTATCTTACTAATCTTAATCAATATTATCTTCATCATCATCATCTTATTAGAATTTTTCATTTTCTTACAAAAATTATTATTGTTCTTATTAAGCTGCTTCTAAAATTTCAAGTTCTTTATTATCATTAAGTTCAGATTTAATAAAACCTGAAGCTTTGACTTCATTATCAAGATGTTTAATAACTTTGATATCTTGTAACTTCAAATCTGAATGCAAATTGGCCTTATATCTTCTTTAAAAGAAGATGTTAATACAATCTAAATCTCTTTGGAAATAAAAGTCCGCATTCAAATGCTATGTTGATACCATTTAAGGAAAGTCGATAACAATAATTTTTTGTTGTTCTGTAATCATAAGATTGAATTCATTAAAGTCTGAATGAATGAGGCCATGACTTGCAAATTTCTCAATCAAATTAATACATTGGACAAAGACACCATCGACATCACCAAGTTCTTAGATACTGCATAGAGTATATCCATCAATGAAGGACATCACTATGGCATGTCTATTCCAGTCATATGGTTTTGGAGTTGGAAATCCATTCTTATGGCAAGCCTCCATATATGCAAACTCTTTGATGCTGGCCAATCTGCTAAGATAGAGCCAATTATATTGGGTCCTATTTTTAATATAGTCTCTTTTATTTTTAATAGTTCTAAATGATGTTCTACCCAATCGAGCCAATTTAAGGATGACAAAATTACCATCTGAATTGATACACTTATAAATATCAGATTCTTTTCCAACTCCTACTTTAGAAAGGACTTAGACGATGGTTCCTCTTTTGTAGAAGGCACTCAAGGCAAGGAAGTCATATCCCAAATATGTGAGTCTATAGCCATCATCTAGAATGAATTAATGGGAGATGTATACATTTTTTGGCAACATGCTAAACTAGTTTATGCTTCAATAGCTATTGTAAAATTTAGTAAGCATTGGCTCTTTTGACTTTTGATATTTTTTCAATCAATTAAACAGGTACAAATTCATGATTCTTCATGCCCATTTCCACAGCCACAAGTACTCTCAATTCATCTTTGGTCAAATAGGCTAAATACTAATGTAATTAATATTATATGATTACAGATGTGTCCAACCTCATATTATAAATTAATTTGTATAAATATAAATTTGTTTTATTTAATATAATTCAGACAACCTAATTGGTATAAATTCTGTAAATGTCTTCAAATGTAGCCAACTCATCTTCCTTTGACTTTCTGAGTTCCAAGTAATGTTGATATGAGTCATTGTAATCCTATAATGATAAAATAAAAGAGAGTACATCTTGGCTGACTTGAAAAGCAATAGAAATTTGTTTGAGTCTAGCATTACATTGTCTAGCAACCGAGACTCTATTGGTGAGTTGATTAGTTAATTTGATCTAATATTAAATATAGTTATGATACTAGGTTTTCTTTTTCTCCAGCAATTTGTTTATCAAAGTATTGATTTTCTAATTCAATATGTAGTTTAAAATCAATATAAATCATAGAGCTTCTGACCTCATCCTCCTATTCTAAATCTAATGATTTCTTGCTATGCTTTTCAATAGCATCTAACACTTTTCTGATATCCTTAATATTATTTCTATTATCATACACTTAAATCTTCCGCTTCTTCAGGAACTGCAGCATTATTACTACCTGACCCGTTATCACCACCCTTTTAGGAACCATCATCAGCAGCAGCATCTGAATGATCACCTTCCTCATTGCCATCATCATCACCAGTTGTTTCTCCTTGTTCTTCTGTATTATCATCTTATTATTTCTATTCTTCTGCATTATTATCGTCTTACTCTTCTGTGTTAGTACCTTATTCTTCAGTTTCCTCATCATCCTCACCTTCATTATCAGTTGAATGACTGCCACTCTCTTCTCCTGTTGTATCTTCTTAATGAACAGGGTCTACATGTGGTTTCGGAGCAGGTTTAGGTTTAGTATGACCACCAGTGCTAGATCCTCCATTGGTAAATTTGATATGTAAATCATCATCACTATTTGTTCCATCATCATTTTATACAACAATAACTGTGTTGATAGAATCATCACATTAACTAGGTATCAAAACAACTGCGCTATCTGCTTTATCGTCGCCATCACCTGATGCTATAACGGTTGTTTGTTGTTGTTATAGAAGAACTTTATTTGCATTTCTTTTTCCTCTTGTTGAAGATAGAATTGCTTCGTTGAGATCATATTCATCCCCTTCAACAGTTGGTAACACATATGAACCATCATTGTTGATTTGTAAATTTTCAACCATTGTTAAAAGTTTACCTGTTTAATAGATCTAAACAAACTTGGTCACTTTTTACAAAAACTCTTGCTTCTAGGCAGGGGATGCATTCTAATCTAACTTATCTAGTTGTTCTCTCAAAAACTTCACTAATGCTAATGCAATTTTATAATTCTTAATATCATGAACATAATTATTGCTTGATTGACATCTATTTGCATGAGTTTATAAAAGTACCTATTTTATTCTAATACTCCCAAACGATTGGAATTCAATCTCTATCTTTTCTCCATCCATGCCACAAAATCATTAGTTATTTTTATATCTCTCTTTTTGCTCTCCACATCCTCATCCTTCTTTTAACACTCTGATCTCTATTCTTGAGTCGAAAAACCCAAACCATCTATTACTGACTGTTTGTTTTTCTTGTGTAATTCCCAAGCTGCATCTAATGCTTCAATGTCCAATTACACATTTGTTTTCAAATCTGTAAGTAATTGCTTAACAGTATCAAGATCTGAATTTGCATGTAAAGAATACATAGAAATAGCCACAATAATCAAGGTCCACTTCATTTTTATATTAATATATACATAAAAACGGATTTGAAAACAGAATTCATATTACAATTAACTACATTTCTAATCCTCAAGGGATGAGATCAATCTAAAAAACATTAATCGAAATAAATGCAACTCCAATATTAATTAAAGTATCATCATAATCAATAAGAATAATATTATAAATCTCTAAGATATTCCAAACCCTCACATTAATTGGTTCAATATTCTATCTTCTCTGTTCACTATTATGCTAATGTCCTTATTCGCCACCAAATGCTAGGTTCTTAAACCAACAAATCTTGATTGTAATAATCCATTCTGATTCGCTGCATTCAAAATTGAACCCTATGACTCATTTGACTTTGTTTTCGAACCCACAAATCTACTCTAGAGAGGTACTGTCGCCTATTATTAAGGTTGCTAAGAAAAATAAGCCCCTTATTAATAATTATAATTTGCACTCCTCTATTCCAGAGACATATTCACCTCTTGCATTTTCAATTGCTATAATAACTATTGGTCACTTTGATTTGAGAGTACATGTTCCTTCTTTGGTCCATTCAATAATCGAGTGTTAGACATTGATTTATTTACAAAATAGTTTGTTGTATCCAAATAGGTTTCCAATTGATAAATCTTGGTTTTAGGTTTATACTACTTTCTTAATAAATCTGAAACTGTAGTATCAATATTTGAAGAAAAAGGCATCACTTTCTAAAGTACGTTTATTTATTCTTTAATCTTTTGTGTTTCCATTTTCTACTTCTATTAGAATTCCACCTCATTAAAATCCTCAATATGAGGTGGCCAATAATCATATACATTCGGAGCCCTACCGCCATGTCGTTATTCCAATTATTTTGGTTTAATGTAGTTGAATAAGAGTGAATAGTCGTTTTCAATAAACTCTATTTTGTGACGAGAATTGTAAGGAATAAACTACTCTACTATTTGCCATGCAATTTAAATAGATGTCTAAGGTTGCAAGATAAACACTCTTTCTAAATAACAAGGAAAGTTCAGTCTCAAAATATCAAAAATCTAATTCAAATGCTACCAAATTAAATTTAACACTATTACATTAAATGGAATCTTATATGCTGTTGTGTTTTTCGCTTCAACTATTACAAACCAACTTTCTACCTTCCCAGATGCTAACATGTAATCCTTCACAACCATAAACACAATTGAAATGGCCTTATAATCTCTTCAATCGGGTAAGTAGACATATCCAGTTTATCCGCATTTATCACAACGATTGGCTTAAAACCCAAACCTCTCCCACTTATATATATTGCACCTTATTTCTTAATATATTGATCTATTCCTTACTATTATCTCTTCTGCATTTAATGTCCACCTAAAATTACTAGGATTTGTAATCCATTAATGATGAAGACGCATATGCTTATTTTTTTACAAGGTTATTTTTACTTAAATTGTCGTATCAAAATCAAATTAATTTGCATACAAGAATCTTAGAATAAGTTCATCTTATAAGAACTGATTCTCGTAATCTAACAATTTTTTAAATGCCTCTAGCTGTTGTTTCTCGTAAATGTCATACTCATGTTTGCTTTATTCATCAATTCCAAAAACCTTTCTAATCGTATTCTTACCAGTTCCTCTTTTCATTTCAGATCCTTGGACATATTAAGATAACTTACTGTCTAATTTGATGGTATCCAATTAAGAGTGCTATAGACGCAAACGCTCTAGATTGAATTTACTATAAATTTTATTCATTCCAAATTTTGTAATTTCTAGATTAAATATTAAATTATATAAAGGATAACTAATTTAGATGTTATATACAGAGCTCTGATGATTTAAATAATTTCCTTGATTATAATATTTTAGTTCATTTTTTTTGGTATTGCATATTTTATTATAATGAACATAAATAATACAATACAAAATTGGTTTGCTTATTTGTTAATATTACGAAACAAGGGGAAGAACCATTAATACAAATTCATCATATCATTACTATATCATTAAATAATTTAAGATATTCTCTTTATGTATTATTCTACTTTGATACTTCAACATATTTATGATCAATGTCTATTGTTATTTTTCATAGTTTTTCCCTATACTAATTTCGATCATAAATTTTAATTAATAAGAATAGTTTCCAGCTTCAAAATATTATATAAAATATAATCGTTAATGAATCGCAGATTTAAGACCGAAATATAAGAAAAACATCTCAACTATGACTAAGATTATGAAAGCATTTTGATTGTGAAAGAAGAAGAAAATAAAAACTATAATCCATCATCCTTATTTAGTCTTCAATTTTATCAAAAATAATTCATATAGCCACAAAAACAACCCCCAAAAACAGTAAATAGATTGAAAAGCAATAAAAAAACTACTCTCTCATCATTGAAATAAGCATAGGCAATTTATAGTCCTTCTTTGCATGAAAAACCACAAAGGATTCATGCTCCCCCAACTACTTTTCGAATCAAGCCAACTAATTTCAAATATAACCTAAACGCAATCTCAAAATAAAGTCTCCATACTCCTAGTACAAGAATATAGGATAGTTAGCATTAATCAGGGTATTAAACACCATTAGACATCAAAATGTCAATATCAAAAATTTAACAATTGCTTAGTTCCTCTAAACTGAAGAGCGGACAATTAGATTTTACAAAATTCAAAAAATCAATATACTGATTTATTCGATCATAGTTATAGTATATGATAATTTTTCTTTAAATTTTCAAATTTCTTATTAATGTGTCATCGAACTAAAATAATGTTTGAGCAATTCAGCTGATATCAGCTTAAGTGAATGGACTAGATCATTCAGTTTTTTATTTCGTTTTATGATATGAAAATATATCTTTAGCGTACTTATATATACAAACTTATATTATTATAAAAACAAAAATAGTATAATACTTAAGTGTAACTAAGATAATTACTTGGTCACACTGTAATTATTATATGGTTATGAGTATTCAATAACTAATAATTTGCTTGGCATAAATTATTTCCATAGTTTGTATTATTTATATTGATTATTTTTGATAAACTGAAACTGGTTGATTATAAATTATTAATATTTTATATGTAATTAAAATAAGAATAATTATTACAAATAGTTAAAGAGGAATTACTAAAAAAATCCAAAGAGAAACATGTTGAAAAAGTGGTACCCTTACTAACTCCGGATTTGGTTCAATATATGATTGTTAACGACCTTCCAATTTATGAAGATCATTTAAAGGAACTTTTATATGATCAATCAAAAGAGCACATTGGAACTGTGATACAAGATTTAGAATACAAGAAAAATCTTAAAGCATAACAGGATGAGATGGAAAGATAAATATTTCTTAAGAAAACTTAAAAAAGAAAGCAAAAACTGCTTTCATTATAATAAAATAATCCAGAACTATTTTTGCAAAAAACATAACCTCAACAACCTCAAACATAAATGATGTAATTGCAAAACAATTTTGCCAAGCTAATTTAAAACTTCACATAATTAGTAGCAGCACAAGTTGTCTAAGAAATCAAATAACCGATCAGAAAGGGTAAGGGAAACGGAAAGAAAAAACATAAAAGACCATCAACTCCAGAATTTGAATAGTCATTAGAATAAGATAAAAATGAAGTGAAATAATAGCCATCCTAAGGATAGGAATAGCAGTAAACTATTAGTAAATAAAATTCAAAAAATAAATCAATAACTGAAAAAAAACATTATTCACCCTCGAAAATTGTATAAAAGAATTAATAAATCTAATACTAATAGAAACCTTAATAGCATTTCGAATAAGATTTGGAAGAAGACTTTCTTTCTAATGAAAGCTTTCCTAAATAAATCAATACCCAAAAAGTACCAATTTAAAATCCGATTCAGCAAAGTTATTTAACCAATCAGTAGCAGTCATCTTACATGGATCCTTAATAATCTATGGGCTATTCCTAATCTAATTATGATTCAAAACTTTAAAAATTTGAAGAGTAATCAAAATAACCAACAATCCCAGGATCAAGATCAATTAAGTACGATGATTTACAACAAGATTATTCATCAGGAGATTTAGAATCATATGACGATGTTGAACCTCTGCAAGACAACAAATCTAAATTTCAAAATTAATCTAACGCATAAAATTAGTTCCAATAAAGTTCAGATGATTATCCAGATGATTTCATTGAAGAGTCAAACGATAGATTTTAATAAAATACAAGCAACTTTTATAAACCAAAATATTAAGCACCAGCTCCTGAATAAGTAGATTTTGATGATGATATTGAAGATTTATTATTATGACTTTTAATTTAGAAAAAGTATTAATAAAAAAGATATTTAATTAAATCAAGTTATCTCATAATAAGAAACATTAGTATTCCTTTCTTTTAGATACATAGATATTAGAGATTATATTAATTTTATTTTTATATAATAATATCACTGATATTTCTCCAACTTTCTGCTAGATTTTCCAATCGACGAATAAGAACCTAATCTTACTCTATCAATAGGGTATGCCTTGGGGGAGAGAAAGACTCTTGATGATAAGTCCTTAGCTATTGAATTTGAATTAGATAGAAAATTTGGTTGCTCATATTCATCTAGTATTTTGAGCACATCTGAAGACAAGTCACAATAATTGATATCCACTACGTTTTACAATTCACCAAAATTGTTGAAATAATGAGTGATGTAATGATATTAAAATGGATTGTCTCTTACAATTTCTGTCCATTCCCCAACTTTAAGACCGTTATTGTAATACCCTCCTCCTTTGATATGTGGTCTGTCCTTTACTTTCATACACCAGTATCCTTATTGAACTTTATTATTTATTAGTTGTCCTTCTTCATATATATTATAATAAAATATCATACATCAGCTCTTGTGATTGTGCAGAGTAATAGGTAATGAATCTGGAGACGTCGGAACGATTTTGGAATTGAGCTTCAAAGGATTGGTCTATTCCTTTTAAATGCCAAGCAACCTCTGGAACCTGTAAAAGTTGAGCTGCGCTTCCTTATTGTGAATGTCCACTTGATAGTTTAAATCTAAGTGTTTATTCATGTAGAATGTTGAAATATTGTTTCATAAGATGTGACCCTTTGTTGATGGACATTTGAAATTCATTCCAGCTTTCCTCTTAAAGATAATACAAATTTCTATTCAGATTTTCATCATTAAAGCCTAAAGGATTGGAACTTAACTAATCCAAGACTTGAGAGATATTGGTGAAACTGTTTCTAATGCTGCCCTTGATGCCTTCAATTCTATCCTCTAGTTATTAGAATTGCTGTTGAATGATGGACATACAGGAATTAATTTTATTTTTGAGTATTGAAGCCATCTCTTCAATTTTATTTGCATCTTTGTAATTCAATTTAATTTGATTGATTCGTTACAGAAATTGATCTATGCTTATACATTGATCAAAATGTTGATGGGATTATTTCAAACACAATTCACACAAATATCTATTTGGACATGTTTACTTCGAAACACAAATCTTGATGATCCTTTTGGCTTGATGGCCAGCTATTTTACAATACCTAAGAGTTTTGATTTAGCTTGACATAAATTTTGAATTAATTAAATATTCAAATATTCTTATTTGCTATGTGAGAAATACTAAGAATTCAGAATTTCAAGAAGCTTAAGATTGAGAATTGATAATAATGAATAATTTTGATTCTCATTCTAAGTTCACCCACATCTGAGATGATTTAATTCATTAGAGAATTTTAACAATTTTATCTTATTAATTAATTTTTATATGTCTAATCCATATAAATTTGAAGACAATTCAGTTGCAAAAGAAGTGGGAGACTACATTATATACAAAAAGCCCCTTGGTATCTGATAGTTATTAATTAGGAAAGGGAAAATGTGGAGAGGTCTTTTTGGGGAAATCCAAGAAATTGAATATCAAAGTAGCTGTAAAGCAATCTAAACACAATGGGATTTAGAATGAGGAACGACTGAAGGAGATAATGAATGTAATTCAATATCAATGTCTAAGAGTAGGGAAATTTAAGTGATGCAAAAAGTAAAGTCAGAGAATTTAGTTGGATTCTACGACTTTAAAGTGTCCTCAAATTACATTTATTTATTTATTGAATATTGTGATGGAGGAACTTTGACTGAATTTATCAAAAAAAAGTATTGATTTCACATTCTATAGTTAGTCCCAACATTTCTGATGAATAAATTGTTGATATCTTTAAACAAATTGCTAATGGTTTTTAAGCTTTGGTTAAAGAGAATGTGATACACAGAGATTTAAAACCAGATAATATCTTGTTGCATTAGAATGTGATAAAAATAGCAGATTTTGGGTTTGCTCGATTCATTGAGGGAAATCCAGAACAAGCAGGATTATATACATTAAAAGGGTATGTAAATGATTAGATTTGTTTAGTACACCCTTATATGTACCTCCTTAAATATTTGATGATAAAAAGTATTCGAACTAATTTGATATTTGGTCATTTGGATGTATTTTATATGAATTGGCATTTGGAAAGAATATTCATGAATCAATCTTTGATTTGGGTCAACTCAAAATAAGGTTAGGGTCCTTTAAGGTTGTTTTATAGTTGATTTATTTTTCTAGAATTAAAAAGTGCAATTTCCTAGAAATAATCGAAACCCTAAAATTCTATAAATGATCAGCAGAATGCTGGAATATTCTGAAGAGAATAGAATTACATGGCCTTAGATTTTTGAAAGTGACATGTTTTTGTAATCACCAAAACAGTTTTTGGAGATTCAACATGAGATTTAGATTAAGGATAATAATAAATATCAAGAGAAGTTATAAAACTTATAGATTTTTACTAAATTATCTGAATAATTTGAAAAAATAAAGTAAATATCAATAATTACATCTAGTTGTGATCATTTTTTTTTATTAAAATGGAAATGCATTTTGTTTTACTTTTGGAAATTCTCCTTGGAAAACTTTCGTTAAAAAATCAATGAACAGAATACCCAAAGTTTTTAAATTAATTAAAGGAATGGTAAGATTACATCTAACAAAGGTTGCCCAACTTTAACCGATTTAATAGCTTAATACATTGATGATTTAAAAGTTGAAGTTTAAAAATAATTGCAGTTGTATTGTACAATCACTAAGCAATGGATCGAAAAACCAAAGAATTTATCAAGCAAGACTAGCAATTTTGAGGAACTCAGTTTAATGAGCAATATAGAGAAATGCGATAATAAGCAATTATTATTTTTTGTAGAAAAGTACGGGTTGGGTACATTCACAGATGAAATCGATCTCAATATAAAGTAAATGATAAAAATCATTAAAGATGAGCTAGCTTGAATTAATAATATATAATGTAAATTAATTTTTGCACTCCTCAGTTCTTTTTTAATATTTCTCAAAAGTTCCCATTCATTGTGTATGATTTTAGAGAATATTAAAACGGTTCCCTAAAAAATAGCATTCATATAACCAATTTGGATAGGATCGAAACAGTTGCAGATGTTTAAAAACATTTTCAATATCCAGAATAAATTTCAGAACATCAGAAACTCGAAAAATTATTTAACAACAGAAAGAGGAATTATAATTTTTTTGTTCCCTTCGATACATCAGACATGTTCAGTTTGATATTTAAACATAAAGTGAAAAGTGAAGGATCACAAGCTTGTGATTAATTCTAAATTCCTACAAAAGAAGTTATTCAGTTATGGGAGGAGATTTCCAAAATAACCCAGAAGAACAATACGCATCAACGGAAAAATAGAGCTTAAACAATGATCCTATAATCAGTTGACGATGAAATTGTTGAAGACCCTTAGCAATAAAATTTATTTTAATCAGGAATCAAATAAACTATTATATCAAGTCGAAGACTTCTTGAATTCCATGGTAATAATTTGGTTGTTATTGAAAGAAACGACAATATCAAGCGGCCCGAAGATTAAGTTCAGATCAGCTAGCCAACCATAAAGGATGGACTACGGAGATGATTGCTTCTATACAAATTCATAGATATTTGAATTAACGTTAAAGGCTTATCAAGTATTCTAGAAGGAGAAGATTAGCCAAATCTTCATTCTTTTGGATCCTATTCAAATTACTTTTACTAATTACCCTTTTTTGAATTATAGTGTAGTAAGAAATAGAGGTTTCTTGGATAAGACATTTCCTAATGAAATAATTGAGAAGAAATTGTACTTGGGTAGTGGTGAGCATGCTAAAGACACTGAAATGCTCATAGACATCTTAGGCATAACTCATGTTGTAAATGCCACTGTTGAAATATAAAATTACAGTAACTAATGTATAACATATCATTTTGATAATAGTAAAGTATCTGAAAGTAGAAATATATGATGAGCCCCATGTTTGTATCAAACAATATTTTGATTAAGTATTCTAATTCATAGAGGATGCATTTTAGGAGAATGGGAAGGTTTTCTATTCATTAACGTGTAGGTCCTGATACATTGTGCTTAAGGGAAATCAAGATCTGCATGTTTTACTGTGATGTATTTGATGAGAAAGAATGATTGGCCTTTTGAATAAGCATATGATTTTGTAAGGGAATGCAGAGAAATTGTTTGCATTAATGATGGTTTTATTAATTAATTGATTGATTGATCATTTAACCTTTATATATATATATAATTTAAATAAATGAATTCAACCTAATAACCGTCGAACACAATTCAAAATTAATAGAGATAACACTCTAAGTCCTTTTCTGTGAGTGCTACTTAAAAACTTAGTTAGTAATAAAAAAGAGTTGAAAGATCATATGAAGAAATCACAGCAGAAAAGCAATTATCAAATGTAGAACAACAAAGACTCACCTCAGTTTTCAATTACTTGTTGACTTTTAATGATGACAGGATTAAACCCCTTGAACCAGGAATAAATGCAGATACCTTAATGAATGCACTCGATAAAGTAGATTATCTATTACCAATTAAAGACGCAGAATTATTCATTTGGGAAGTTGATGAAGATGGTGATAAGAGAGTCAATTATTATGAATTTCAAATGATGTATAAAAGATGCATCTTTGATTCTACTTTGTTGGAACCGAGGTACATTTTCAATACTATTTAGAAATCTATTCAACATTGTTTAGTTCTTTATGTATGACAAGGCTAAGCATGGCAAGATTACAGTGGAAGACACATTGGAATTATTGTTCGTACGTCATGGCAGAGGAGGTTTAGATGAGGAGATCTAGGCCATATTTGGAAGGGAGGAAAAAAACAGTGATGGAACTGAAAAAACATTGAGTTTTACAGATTATTATGAGAAAACAAGAATTAGAGATTTTCAAAGGAGGAAGGATGCTGAATAGACAAGGAAGGAGGTTAAGCTTCCACCGCTTGAAGATAAAAAATGAATTTATTATAATATGTTTATCGATAATTTCATTTCCACTAGCTAACTATTTTTAAAATAACTTCTCCTTTTTCTAATGGGATATGGAAACCTGCATTATTAATTGTTACAAAGGTTAATTATCCTGATGTTAAGGTATAACCAGCTGGTTTATCATTTACTATTTAGACTTCTAATTTTTTTGTTTTGAAATCATCATTGATTGAACTTAAATATCTCAAAGTGCTTGGGATTGGACACAGAATATCATTTTAACCATTATAAATTAAGACTTTAAGTTTTGTTTAAAGTTCTTTTAATTTAGGGAGTGCATCTGGTTTTGCAAAGTCCTAGCCCAATGCATTAATGATTTCACCTGAAGATTATTAAAATGGAATATTTTCATCAAATTTTAAATTAGCTTTGGTTGTCTATAAATTTAAATATGTCTTGAAATTTGAGATATGTTGCTCAATGTCAGTCAATTAATCTATATTCTATATATTGATTTCTCCACTGAATTGATGAATCATTCCAATGGCTGTTTAGATGGTTATGTGAGTAGCTTCATAATCCTTTTTATCGAGTTGTTGAATTCCTCTCAAGGCAATTTTTTCTAGTTCAGATCTTTCTCTAGGTTCAACCAACCCAAGGTTATAAGCAAATGAGGGGATTTCTCTAAGTAAGCTGTTTGCATCAACGTGAGCATTTCCGAGTCCAATACCTTTCAAATGTTTATTTAATGTTGCAGATTAAGAATCTAAAATTTTAGATGCTATATGGACAACTTATCTATAATATGAAAAAGTTAATACTTTCCTGCATAACCTTCACCAAATATATACCAATCAGCTGTTTCTAGACCTGTGAATTTTTGTTTTTTTACACATCCATCATCGGCTTTGAGGAATTATTCAAGAGCATACACAAAATGAGCAGAAATTTATTCTGCATTCGTTGGTATATCTTAATATGTGTTATGATAAGAATATCCTGTTCCCACAAGTAGATCTATAAATAGTAAGTTGAATTAAGAATTCCAAGTGTTAACGTTCTTCTCAAAGGTTCCTTTTGAATTAATTCTGATTGGTCCAACTTCTATGAAATTTCCTATTTAAGAGGTTTCTCCAAGTAATCCATTCAAGTAAATCAAAGTTGGATAATTCTTTAAATCGTCAACTGTTTTGGCTGATTAATGTCCATAAAATAAAAATGCCAAAACACTTGCAGATTCCTCAAATATGTTCAAGTATCCTGAGAAAACTAAATTTTCTGCATCATGTAAGTCACTTATTTGTTTTGGATCAAGTTTGTTGCATGACGTTTGAAGACCAAAGACTTATGTGGAAACAAGGAGAGCAAGAATAATTAATTTCATAAATTATCTATATGATGTCTTATTACATCATGTTTATAAATTAATTCATTTTTATTGTTATTACTTATTCCTTATGATCCATTGTATTTAAATTCCATGCTTGTTCTCTATATTCTTCAGATTATTGATATCAAATCAATATAAATAGCAATTAGTAACAAAGACATTTTAATAAATTGCATCATATTTAAATTTTTTGCATTTCAATAACAAAGTAAAATTGATATCTGTAAAAGTCATTTAAAATAGAATAACATAATCATGAAATTAGCCTAACATAAAACACGAGAATCAAAGATAAATGATTGAAAATTATAATCATTTAAGTTTCTATTCTACTATTAAGCAAATAATAAAATCTTGATTAATGCTTAAGAAAAGAATTTGTCATTTAATCCGAAATTAGCAGAATAGGATATTTATGAATAAATAATACAATATATTAACTTAAATGCAAATTTTAATTGCATATTATTAAAATCACTTATACTTTATAACGATTATTTAAGCCGGAATTAAAATTAATTATCATAAATATAATAAAATAAAATGGATACCGAAACTAAATTAACTCTTTTAGGAACAGTTTTCGCTGGATTATTCAGTGGGGCATCAATCTACATCAACATTGTTGAACATCCTGCAAGATTGAGTTGTGGAGCTGATATTGCACATGCTTAATGGATGCCATCTTACAAGAGAGCTGCAAAATGGTAAGCTTCTTTAGCCTTTCTCGGAGGATTAGTAGGAGTTGTTAACTATTTTAAAAACAAAAATAAACTTAGCTTAAAAGCTGGGTTATTGCTAGCCTCAGTCATTCCATTCACATTAATAGCCATAATGCCAACAAACAAGATATTATTAGGATAATAACAATTAGAGTAAGAAACTAAACTAAGCTTACTTACAAAATGGGGCTAATTACATGCAGTTAGAACAGTAGCAAGCTTAATTTCTTTCGGAATATTTTTATTTGCTCTAGCCAAAAAATGATTAATATCTATATTATATAAAGTTAATAAACTATTCAACCATTTTTGTTCTTCTTGTACATATTATTGATTAAAAATGCCTAAAATTTTTGTTCAATAAATTCAACTGAATATAAAGCTAGTTCATTATTTGAGTGTGTTCTCGAATATTATAAAATTACCTGAACTCCTTTATGAATAGAGGAGAAAGCAGTTGATATATCAGAATGATTTCTTTATTTGATGCTTATGAATCACTTTATCATTTGATACCTGGTTCTTATGAAGCACTTTATCATTTAAGATTCATATTATATTCAGCATAGAATTATTTACTTAAATAAAAATACACATCTTAAAATAATACAAGATGTTATTAATTAATTTAATAGATTATAAAATTGAAATATTTTTATATTTAATTAAAAAGATCCTAAATAAAATTAATATAATTTTTTAAACATGATTGAAATATTATAAATCAAATTTTATTTAATAGATCATTCTTTTGATATTTCTATTGCTCCATGATCTATTAATTATTATAGTTATTCTGTCAATTAAAATATCATTATATCGTCGTGGTTATTGCATAAATGTTATTTAAATTTATTAAAATTATCAAATTTATCATAACATTTTATACACAAATAGAATTTGTACTCACAATGTTTTTATAATAAATGAAGTAAGTAGCCTTTTCTAGTTTTGCAAATCATTTAACATTTATTACAAATGTTTTTAGACCCTGTAATACTCCAGCTCAGTTTATCATTTAATTCTCGGAGTACGCATTTTTTGTAATCATTTGCATATTTTTCTCTTTCCTTTAAATGCTCCTCCTTCCTTTAAGGGATTTCTATATAATCGCCATCATTAGAAAGTGTATGGGTAATAAGTTGATCTAATAATTAAGACATCCTTTCCACATTCCTGTTTACAGTTTCAGTTACTTTACTTAGTTGTCTCCAGATTTCATCAACAGGCATTAAGTTATTATTCTCTTACGTCATAACTTTTATTCCTTTTCAGAAAGCTTGCTTATAATTTTATTATTAATATGCAAAATCAATTTGCAATATAAAATTTGTTTTAAAAACAATATAAAAACTTACATTAATTTTTATTGATTTAAAACTCATATATTAAAGTTAATGGAATTCTATGATCTAGTCCACTCATTTATTTCGGTTAAATATAATGAGAAGGTCTCATGGTACACAAACAATTCAAAATCTAATAAATTTAGAAAGCTCTCTTCCATATCATTTAACTCTTAGATTGAAATGCCTCCTACTTTAGCATAGTAATCATTCTTAAAAATTTCGTCGTCTTAATACTTTATTGCTAAAACAACAGCAATAATGAAACATCTAAACTAAATGATCTTTAAATACCTATGTATATTTTTCTCCGTATACTAAAATTCTTGATTTATTTCCTAAATTCTATCCAAATATATTAAAGCAATAACAAAGCACTCTTCACTACATCTCGCATGTCTTTGAATTCTCATTAAATAATTCTCAAGGCTAATCTCAGGTGTAGTCCCAGAATTAAATACAGAGTCTTAATTAGTTTCCATAACATTTTTTTCTATTAAGCTTTCCAAAAGATCAGATAAATTCTAAAGTAGGCTAATATTTTTAACTCTTTAAGGAAAGTAATACATTTAATAAGAAAAACAAATTAAAAATTTTAATTTAACATGCAAATTCAGGATTAGAATTAATATGCAAAAATATATGTTGTTGAGTAGTATTCAAAATGACTAACATGAATATGAGTTAAATTTATAAAAATTGATTAAATCCTACGTACCAGAACATTCAAAGGATTTCTCAATAGTTTTAACAAAAAAGAGCAGTTACTGATGTTAATAAATTAAAGAAAGTGTTGTTTATGATAAAAATAATATGAATTTTCAAAATCAAAGTTAATATGAGTTTTCTTATTAGAATACAAGAATTGTAATGGAAATACCCTTGCGTAGGGTTTCCAGCGTATAATTATTAAATAGATAAAACATTAACCTTAATTCTTAAATTATTAATTAATATAAAATATATTATATATAGTTATGAATGAGTTTAATTAAATGTTCTAATAGGCCGTGGCAATTAAATCTCATGAAATGCATTCTAAAAGGAAGGTCTTTGAAAAACAGCCTTTGTTTATTAAAGCTGGTTTGTATTATCTGAATGAATATCTTGAATAAAGAAAATTGGATATTGAGTAGAGACTTGATTTTGCAAATGAATTAAAAGACAAAGGGAATAGCTTATTCTAATAAGGTATGAAAATTAACTTATTTGCTTAAAGGGAAATTTGGGAATGCCTCTCATGAATACGAAAAATCTCTCAGCATTTTCCTTTATATTGAAAACAAGAACCCCAATTGGAAAAATGAAGGAATCTTAGATGATGATTTAACCTATAAGGATGATAATTTTGATTAACGAATTGTTGATTTAAGAATAAAATTGTTGCTGAATTTAGCTATTTGCTATATTAAAGAAAAGTAATTTAAGGATGCTATTGCAGCTTGTGATTATGTTTTAAATGTTTAAGATAATGCTAAGGCATACTACAGAAGGGCAAAAGTATTAGTTTTTTGTAAAGCTTAGGCTAGATTGGATGATATAAATGCTGAGGAGAGTGATTACAAACTAGCAATTCAAGATCTCGAGAAAGCACTCTCAATTGATGATGACGAGGCAATTAGAAAGGATCTTACCAAGGCTAAATTAGAATTGAAAAAGATGATGAGATCAAGTATTGAAATATCATAAAATGTAATGAAAAATATTGAAAAAACATCTCCTAAACCATAAGAGATATAACCTACAGAAAAATAATCAGAATAAGTAGAGGATGATTCATCTTCAGAAGAAGATGAGTATGAATATAGTGAAGATTGGAAAAAATATTCTTTTAATACCCTTTCCTATGAACCAAGTTTTGAAGAGGACACAAGTATTCAGATACCAGAGGAAATCAATGAACTTGGTAAGTTTATAGAGAGTAGAGGGGTGTAAATCTTACATTTATATGAAACTCAAGGAAAAAATGAAGAGGCTGAAAAACATAGACAATTCTTGGCTTAATTAATGTCTACTAAAATGAAGATTGAAAGAATAAGTAGATCAAATTTTACAAAACCAATTGTAAATGAGAAAGCAGCCTAATTTGGAATTGATTTATCTGATTCCTCTGTACAAGAAGAATTCAAATAATTGTTCCTTCAAAATATGAAGGATCTCAGAAAATGGTTGAAAGAATAAAATTGGAAAATGAGAAAATCAAAGATTATCAAAAAGGTGGACAAATTGGCTTAAAAAGAGAAGGAAGTAAAGTTGGAGGAGGAAACTGGAACTAATTCCAAATATGATTGGTTGGTTTTAGGAATTTGTGCTTTCATATTATTGGTAAGTTTATATTATTATATATTTGATTGATAATCTGTTTACATCTTATAAAAAATAAGGAATTTTGATAAAATAATGAAATCTTTGATGAACTTATTTAAAAAATGGTTTGGAATATGTTATACTAATATTTGAATAATATATAATTAGGCAATTATCAACCTTCTTGTCCAAATTCTTTAGTCCACTTTTCAAAATCTCCTAATTAATCTTGTGAAACAGATTTCTTGGATTTTTTCAAAGCTAGTAAGAAATCATTGTAACAAACATCAGGAATGGCAATATCTCCTTGACTTAATTCCATGAATGTCTTAGGAGTTCCATCTTCATTCTCGGCAACTGGAGTCCATTTTAATTGACCATTGACTGGGATTTACTTGAATTTCTTGGCTGATTGTAGTTTACGAACTGGTTCATAAACAGCATCTCTAACCAAGACACTGATATCTGATCCAGAGTATCCTTCAGTTTTAACAGCCAAATCTTCAAATTGCTCTTTTGTTAACGTTGTTTTGGTTTACTTTAGAGAATTTTGGATCATATATTCTCTAGCTTACACATCAGGAAGTGGAATATAGATTCTTTTTTCAAATCTATATAAATTGAGTTAAAGTAATACCTTCTCCTAATGGCAGTATCTAGAGCCCATGGAAGATTTGTTGCTCCTAGAACCAAGACTCCCTTGTCATCATGTCCGACTCCTTACATTTAAACTAAGAATTCAGTGATTACTCTTCTGCTTGCATCATTCTAGCCTTCTCCTCTGGCTCCACACATGGAATCAATTTCATCTATGAAAATAATGGATGGCTTCTATTCTCTAGCCATGGTAAATAGTGTCTTAATCAATTTTTCACTCTCTCCCACATATTTTGAAATGAGATCAGCAGAAGATACAGAAAAGAAGGTTCCTTCTGCTTCTGTTGCACATGCCTTTGCCAAATAGGTTTTTCCTGTTCCAGGAGGCTATTTGTTAAATTTAAAATTTTACTCCATACATAAGGATTCCTTTCCAAGGTGTTCTCGCTCCTTCAAAGAAATCAGGGAATTTGATGGGAAGGAGGACAGCCTCTTGTAAGGCTGATTTGGCTGCTTCCAATCCTGCAATATCGGTCCATTTAACATTAGGTTTATCTTTCACAATAGCATCTGATAGTGCATTAGATAACTCACTCTTTGTATCTTTTTCTCCCTATTTTCTAAGGTATTGAACAATAATACTTCTATTGTTATTAATTGCTGCCTCCATTTCCACTTGTATCCTAAACGATTTCACCTTTTTCGTATTTCTCCAGAGTCTCTAGTCTTTTGCATGTTTCTTCTCTTCTTGCATCATATTAATTTTAGAGTGATTTCTTCTTCTCTACATCATATTCTCCTATTAAGATAGAATATAGAGAAAATACTTTCAATCCACAATTGTAATTTTCTTAAACCTTATAAAACACAATTGAGTCCATCCTTTTTCTCCTGGATTGTCCCACCAGTGTTCCATTTAAGATCTCCTGACTTGAAGAGTCCGATGACTTCGCTTTGGAGTTTTGTATTATCTTGAGTAATTGGTTTGACTTATGGCATAGGAATATTCATTTTATTAATTTCTATATAGTTATTAAAATTTTCAAAGCCGTCTTATATTTGACGGTTTTCGTTTTGGTTCTCTTTTATAATTAATAACGGGAACTTCTAAAGAAAGATCCTCATCAGGAACTAACTATTATCACAACATACTTTCGTAATCATCATCAAATTCATTCTTGCCTGCATATTAACTTAGTTTGGAGGGTTGTTGAGTATAAACTAAAGTGCGTTTTGTATTGGACGGAGTACTTTGCAGTTTTGAATTCATATGATTGATTGCATTTAACCCGCTTTGCTATTGTTGAATAATTGTCATTCTAACATCCATTTCACTCATTTCCCTCAATTCTATGATAGTCCTAAGACTAGGAAGAGGTTTCTTTCTTTTTCTCTCCACTTTCAATGATTTTATTTTACTTTTCACATTAACAAACCAATGGTGTTTAGTTGCATCTTTTATAGTCAATCTTTTATCTCATATATTTATGAACTTACTTGAATCTTATTCTAACATCTTCCTTAGTAGGTCCAATTAGGATGAACTCACATTACTCTTAGATTGATTTTATTAGAAACCCACTTTTAATTTCTATTCACTCTCGTCTATACGATTTGTCTGTATTTCAAAACTATCCATTACAGTGTAGAAATCCTTTTCTTCATTTGTTAACTATAAATTAAATGTAAAATATCAAACACTTACTTCATATTTTTTAGGGTCATAGTAAGTCATAAAATATAACACACACCCTAAAGCGTAGATATCAGTGGCAATATTGGGAGCTATTCCTTCGAAAATTTCAGGGGCCAAAAAGGATTCAACTGCCCTATTCAGAATCCAATCTAATTTGTCATTCACCTTGTACTCTTTGAATGATAAATTGATCAATGTAATTTGCAACATCTAATGTTGAGTATTGATTAATATATTCTAAGGGTTGATACTACCATGATAAAATTAATGCTGATTAAGAAATTTCACTACTGATAAGATTTAATATATTATCTATTTTTAAATGGGAATTATATACAGATGCAATTTAAACTTCGTGAAGTTAAAGATTTGAATTCAAAAGATTAAATAAGGTCTCTCCTTTGTAATATTCATATACAATGAATAGGTATTTGCTATTCTCATACACTCTCTTCAACTCTAACAATGATTAGTGTCTTATGCTTCGTAAAATTTATATCTCATTATAAACTGCATCCTCCAACTCTTTACATTATTCAAAGTCATCTGTTTTATAGATTTAACATGTGTATTGAGTCTTTTTCTTCTTCTTCGTGCAAGTGTAAAATCCAGGCAATATCTTTTCACCTAACTTGTATTTTTCTAAGAATCCTGTGAGCTTGCAAAACTATTTCATTTGTTTGTACCAGGTTCGAAATGTCACAAAATTCGAAAAAAATAAGTAAGTTGTTCCAATTGAATTCGATAACATCATCCCGAAAGCCTATTGCGATTTATGAGCTATCATTTTTTAGGTAATTGTGCATTCTGATAATGATAAATAAAATGCACCGCTCCCTAAATTAAATTATTATTAAGGAGGCATTAACATTCCATTTTATTGCGTGACTTTAATTAACAAATTCGGCATTAATATAAATTTACTGTTTTCTAAATTTCCATTCCAAAAAGTAAACAGTTAAGCACTCAAAATCTCATCTGACTATTTCAATTATCCAAATTGTTCCTATTTCAGTATATGCATATGTTGGCTCTCTATATGTTCTTATTCAAATTCATTCGTATACTTCAAAATCCAACTTAAATTTTCATCTTAACCATTGGGCCTTCGATTCATTTAAAATATTTAATAATTTATTTTCATATTTTAGATCGCATCGCTTAATGTAAGGTAGTCTCTAGTAAATTTCTTAGATGTAGTATTAAAACTACTTTATAATTAAGTGCGTCTACTCCTCTTCAGGAAAGATCACAATTTTAAAATGTTATAATATTTTTTAATCCATTATAATTGATCAAATTTTTTAAATTAGAAAAAATTTAGAAAATGATTTTTTACACTTTCAAGTATTAAAGTCATGATATTAGAAATATTAAGACATTCGTTTAAAAAGAATAGTAAATATCAAAATGAGTTATCTCCGTTTTCATTCAAATTATCTTCCTCTTCCATTTCTTCTATTTCATCTTCAATTTCATTAATAATTTTCTAATCATACATACTCTCCTCTTCTAAGTTTTATTGATCCTTTTCCATAAGAATGCATTTTTCTTAATTCTTATTCAAATTTGAGTTCTAGTTCCCTATTGGCATTTATTCTTAGATAGGCATTTATTCTTAGATAAGCATCTATATTTGTGTAGGTAGTATTTTTCTCTATAATTGTTATGGGTCATGTTACTAGTTATTTTATGGTTCTTCCTAACTTTTGTCATTCTAACTATCATCAATACGTTCTGTTATATTATAAATTGAATCATTCATACTTTTATATTATAATAAAGTAATATTATTTTAGGATTTAAAAATTATATTCTTTAATATGTATGAAATACGAAATAAGCCAGTTTAATTCGAATCAATTTAAGAAGGCTTACCTAAAAAATTAATAAAATAAATCTAAATACAAAAGTGTAGTTTATTACAGTATAATCTAATAATTCCCTATAACTAAAGGAGAATCCATAACCCTGATATACAGAAAGAATCAAAAGAGAAGTAAATAAGAAAATACAAAGGTACATTTACTTAGAGTTGCTATTAATCCAAAATTAAGAATTTCCTTCTATAATAATAATGTCAAATTTGTAACTAAATTAGGATTATTTCCGATATAACTATTCTATCAAGATACTCAAGATCAAAAAGGTAGATCCATTCAACAACTAACTAATCTATTGATTGAAGGGTGGAGTTATATTTGAAGAAAGCGGAGGAGGGTTAGATACAAAATCGACAATAACAAATTGATAAATTTGGACTTGCTTAGAAATTGTTAACATTATTAATTGAGCTTTGATAATTTTGAGAATAAAATTGTATTTTCTTTTGTTCCATTATTATTTTATATTTTATATAAAAATGCATGTGGGATTATCAAATAAGTTTTCAATCTAGGGGTCAAAACGTAAGATTGCTAGTTTGCAATTCAGCGACAAGACAGTTGAGGATTACTCAAAAGCTATGTCTGTTGGAAACCCACATGATTTGAACAGTAATGATAAATTTAAGCGCAGCTTCACCTTTTCCTTAATTATACAGCCCTGCGGGGAAAAGATAAATGTTTTAGCGAGTGGATCGTTTTAGTGTTTTGTAACCGATAAAAAAGGAGGAGGATAAATTAACAGATAAAGATATTATGAGATAGTTATAAGAATCGCCAGAACAGAAGTTGGAGGATTAAATTCCAAAGCAATTAGTAGGATCTTAATCTGCCCGCAGTTATTTTTAACATTACAAAGTACTTACTAAGGTGAAACAACAAAATGAATATCACAAAATTAATGATTCAATATAAACTTAGATGCTCAAGTAGGCAGAATCAGTAGATGTGTTACCTTGTAAATTGGGTCTCATTAAACTCAATGGTAGTGAATCATAAGTATCGATTAATAATCATCATTATGGTGATAAATATATAAGTGTGTTATCTGAAGGTTTGCGACAGAATTAGGGGATCAAGGAGTTTTTGTTAAGCAACAACAGAATCAAATAGGATGGTGCTGTTACTATATTGAATTAGATTGGAAAGCAAGCAACAGTAGTGGATTTATCTAAAAATGACATTGGATCATTGGGAGTGGATTGTCTATGTCAATAATTGCAAATGAGAGAGAATAAGTACAAATTCCTCATAAATAAAGGATGGAAGTGATTAATATTGAAGACAACAAGCTTGGAGATAAGTTTGTCATGAGGATTTTGAAGTGTTTATTAAATACGTAAAATAAAGTGAAAGTCCTGAATATTTCCAAAAACTTTTTAACAAATGAGATTTGTGATTTAATGAAGGAGATCATTTTGTAATTGGATAATTTGGAAGAATTATATATTCACTGGGTATATAATATAATTGAAAATATAGAATTAAATAAAAGGGTCTGGAGGATAGAAAATCTTTGAGGCATTGGTAGAAAATAAGAACATGATTGTTTTCGATGGAAGTTGGAACAGTTTTGGAATTAGTGAAAAGTCTAATTGTACTCAAAAAGTGTGTGACTTCTTAAGTCAAAATAAGGTCATGTTACACTGTGATTTATCAGCCAATCAATTCACATTACCGGATTGTAAATTAATTGCTAGCAGTTTGAAACCAAATAGAACTATGTATGGATTCCACTTTGCAGGTAATTGGGGAGTAGTAGATCCAAGAGGATTTTTAATTATTGATGAGAATTCGTAACAGAAGGTTTTAGGAGAAACTTTGAGGATTAAAGGGTTGGAATAAGTTACAACTTTGAGACATGAAGATGTGTGTTGGATTTGTGAAGGATGGTAAGAACAGGTATTTGATTGGATTCCAGATGGAGAATGTGATCCATTATTTTTGCATATGAATTTTGAAGAATATAAGCAAGTCTACGTTCCCAAAAGAAATGATGGTACTTATAAGTTACCCTTAATGGTTCCTGCTGGATAGACTCAATTTCTATTTACAGTAATTGACAATTAAACTACAGGTGCAAATTATGAAAATATGAAATTTGGTCATGTGATTAAACTCAAAGTGAATGGAATCAATGTGAGTTGTCAATTAGACAATATTAATGTTGTGAAGAAGTTGAAGCATTTTTAATTAATGGATAAAAAAGAGATGAAGGCTCATACTTCAGTGCTTCCAAGGACTCCAGATCCAATATACATTCCACCTAAATTAAAGAAATAAAAAAGAATTTGGTCCTTTCCAATTTCGATTTGGTTTAAGGATTTTCGATTTGAAAATGAAGAATTCTTAAGGAAATGTTTTGAAAAGGATTGGAGTTGCAGTAAAATATCAAAAGTTGTGAAAAATCCAGATGAATTTAATGAAGTCAAAAATTTATTATGGAAAGATTACAAAATGATCAAAGAAACTTATAAATGGTATTCATCATACAATCCATCTGGAGATGTTTGGTCAATTTCATCGAATGTAATCACAGACTTCTCATCTTCAACAGAGTTGGTTGACAATAAAACATTTAAGCTTTCTGATTTGGATCTCAAATTTATTGCCACTTGTGCTGCTTCAATTGAATATAAAGGGAACTATAGAAATCCAGAAAGAGCCTTGTGTAGATATCAATTTATGGAATTCCTAGTGAGAGTCTCTGATGACAAATACTTGAAACAAAAATAAGCCAATAACATGGTGGAATCTGTGTAAATGATTTTAGAGCAATGCAGACCTATCATGTCATAATATAATGCATAAAAATGGAGAGATGAGAGATACTTTAATGAGTAATGTGATGATTGTTTAAAGTATTACAAAACCTTGTTAAATTATGTGTATAACAGGTATAGTATAAAGAAAGTGAAACCAGGGTAGAAGAAATTTATGTGTCTTGACGAATTACATGAAATATGTGGTCAAGCAGGATTATTCGATGAAAAATTCGTTGATAGAGATGCAGATTTGGTATTCAAATTTGATATAGTAGGCATTCAATTTATCCATGATGTTGTAAATAGATGAATTAGAAAGTGATAGGATCTTCTAAATGACCTTTGTAGAATTCTTGGAAGCTATAGCCAGAATTGCTGAGAAGGTTTCATTGCCAGCTGCTCCAGATATGAGTTGGGAATAACGTCAATAATAACCATTGCATATCAAATTAGAAAGATTTCTAATCCTTTTAGCATAAACTTGTGCATCTGAAGAATACAAATCACAATTTGGAAATCCTCAAAAAAGCATATTTGATGTTCAACCTGAAGATGATTGATTCTACATTCATTATATATTTAAAAATATCAATATTGATTTAAATAAGTGATTCAACTGTTACATGAATATCTTATATCATAACTGCTTACTAAGAGTACTAATGTACCAGATATCTTTTGGGCTATCAACAATACAAGCATCTAAAATTTATTACACCGGTCCATAAGTTCTTATATTAAAAGCAGGGAAATCTCTCCCCTTGTAATCATCGATAGTCCAATTTTTTTCTATTCTTTGTCCAAAGAACAATGAATATATGCATAATCCAAGAGACCACACATCTCCTTAGAATGTTGGGCATTGATCATCCTTAAACGAATACAAATAAGTCATATCAGCCGACTGTCTCTCAGCTCCTAATTAATCAAGATCCAATAAAACCACTTGATATTGCGGAGTAACCATAAAATTTGAAGGCTTAATGTCCCCGTGAACCAATTATTAGGAGTGTAGCATTCGCAAGGAATCCACCATTTATTACAGTATTTTGATTTTCTCTTTAGTTTAAATATTTTTATTTTGAAACTTATCCAATGTTATTCCATCAATATAGTCAGTAACATATTTGCATACGTTTTTCTGAATCACTGCAGCCCTTAGATTTAATAGGTTAGGGTGCTTTTTTTGGCTCAATTGTATCCAATATTATAATCTTTATTAGGTTTTTTAGAGATCTGTTACATTATCTTCTTTGATTACATAATTTCTTATTCTTTTAACTCTTATTTCTCTAACGATTTCATAATTTTCATTATAAACGGGCCTATAATACAATTATTAGGCTGGCTATGTTTACAATTCATAGAAAAGTTTAAAATTATTAAATTCCTCACTTAAAACAGGAATAGTTTCAGTGTTTTCAGGTTTCATCTTAATAATAGCCTATATTAATATTTGATAAGTCTTATGTGCTCCAATCATCATGGTTTTCAATTATCCTACAGTATATTTATTCAGTTATAAAATTAGTTCTGTTAAATATAATAGACTATTCTTGGTAATATTTTGAAATTTTTACGTTTCTTGATTGATTGACTGCAATCTCTGCATCAGTTCATTTCTAACAAAATTGACTTTATAAACTCGATCAGTAATTTTTGATGTAAGATTATGCTCTGATTCATCTGAATGTACGTTTTCCTCAGTGATAATCATGTTGACTTCACTCTTTAGATTAGTTTGTTAACATTAACCATTCCCCATTTGCTTAATAATTAATTTAATTATTATGTTTAGATATAGATAAATGTCATTTAAAATTTTCAGCATACCATTTTTTAGTGAACTCATCACAATCAAGTAATTAAAATTTCCACCCATTGATCGTGACTTCATTGCCTACAATCAAATCTTTAGGTGAGAAAAACTCATGATTATTATAAGCGTTTTTGTACTTTCTTTTCTCTAAAAATTTGCCATCTGGAATGCCTATCAAATTTATGGTTATTTTAAGATACCTGAATTTCTAACAGTTGGTTCATAAACTAAAAGACTGTCATCATTTAAGAAATAAGTAATCACAAAGACTCTATGGATAATTTCAAAATAATACCTGTCTTTATCTTCAGGTTTTGTGGTATTGAACATGGCCAAAAATCTAAGATTCACTTGATTATCAACCCATTTAAAGAAATCCTTCTTGGGAGGTATTGGTTACAATCTGTAAATGTATCCTAAGGAATCCTACTCATCTCCAATACCATTATGAGGAGGAATAATAATGTCTAATGATATTATCGATAACTAATACTGGATCTTTGTTCCATTTATTATTCTTCCTATCCACCCAAAGGGAAATCGACATTAAATTTTTCTTAATAATAATATCTTGTAAAGGGATCACAACCTTGAATAACAAATTTTCTGTTGTAAATGATTAGTGGTTATCCAAATTGAATATCCTGAGGTCTAATGAAATCTTCAGCATATGTTTATCCAGGCTGATTGAGAGAGAACTTTCGTGGTAATTTCTACCTCCTCAACATCATGGGGAATGGCACTCTTCCTGAGTTAGCTGAATTAATTTCCTTTATTTCTATGGTATCATCAGCCAGATAGTAATGCAAGACATATTCAATATCGGAAAACACATAGAATTTAAGAACCTTAAGTAGGGATGAATCATAATACTTTCCTATCGTTTTCTAAGAATTGCTTTTGAGATGTAACCCTTCCTCCTCCTAATTTATGTTCCAAGTAGTCTTTCATGACGGTATCCTTCTGGGGAATATATTTAGTCATGGTCTTAGTTTCAAATGAATCGGATTATGGGGTGAAGGAGTGCTCTTGGGGTTGTCCAATACCCTGTAAGTTATTTAATATGATAATGAAACCTCATAAAACTCTCTAGTATATTGATCGCAATCGTAGAGTCTAATGGTTTTGCCAAATATCTCAATGTCTTAATTGATTCTAAAATCTTCTGGGATAATGAATGTTTTTGAACCATCAGCCCTTAGAACCTTAAGCATCATTAAGGAGAGGTTTTTACTTTCTATCTTTTAAGGAAGGCTCCCTAGGGAACACCACTATTTTCTTATTTAGGTTCGGTAATGCTAATTGAATGGTCTTCCAAATAGTAAAATATAGTTAGTTTGCGAATTCTGTAATTTTCAAGGGCTGACTCAACAACAGCCTCTTTGAAGAAGCCACTGAATCTGAGAACGTGTCTGTCCATCTTGACCCAACTGGGTTGGTAGAGCTCTTCTGAATCATTGTTGGAATTCTTAGAGATGTAACTGATTCGAATGGATACCTTTGGCAAATGCATAGCATGAGTAGTGCTCAAATAATCGGGGTTGAACATTCCTGTTTGTGATGGCACTTGTGTTGGTTACTTGCGAGGAACTGGATATTCTTTGTTTGGCAGTTGTTTCTATAAATAAGAGGTTAGAATTTCAATTAGTTACAATTTCTCTGTTTTGATCCTGTTTGGCAGCTGACACCTTTCTGAAGTTGGGTTTCTAAAGAGCTTAAATAGGTATGTTACATCTAATTCTTGGGTGGGTACAAAGCCAGGCAATTTAGGAAAGGCTGAAGCCATTTTAATTAATTAAATTAAGATATGTAGCATCCCCCGTATTAAAGAAAGCCACAAAAGAAAATAACACAGCCCCTTCATGCCTTCTTCACATTATTTACAGAGAAAACTCAGTTGGAGATCTGGCTGGTGGAAAATGACAATCTTCGTATTCAAGGCAAATTGGCCGTAATTTAGTTGAGCTTCTACCTTTTTAGGGTTTTGACGAATATTTGAATTTGGTGTTGGACAGAGCCGTGGAATATGACCGCAAGACAAAGGCAACCAAAGAATTGGGAAAAATCCTATTGAAAGGAGAAAACATTGTTCTGGTTAGAACTTTAGAGTATTTATATATGAGCTAATATATAGGGATGTTAAATTATGAGTTAATGCTTTCACATTTTATATATATTAAATTTAAAAATGAATGAAACACAAGACAGCGACACGAACTTCGAAGTGGCCTGCTCTTAATGTCAAACAACTCCTGACAATTACGTCAAATTGGATTGTGATCACAAGTTCTGTCTCGTATGTTTAGCCTACAATTATTTGCAATCTCAACAACAGAACCCAGAATCTCAAGACACTGTGAAAGTAGCCATCTGTTCAAAGTGCCAATATGAAACTCACCTTGATCCAGACACTATCGAGGCAATTCAATATGTGATCAAGGAAATCATCATTCCACTAATCGAATAGAATTAGGAGGAACACAATGTGGATAATGATTTCGATCTAAAATAATCCGAAACTATAAGAGAATCCAAGGGCAACTTCACTGCTGAATTAGCCTATGATGATCTATTTGAATAAAAAAAAGATAAAAATGCAAACACTTTATAATTTCAAAAAGTGGACTAAACCAAGGAAACCTCTGAAGTTAAGGATATCAAGAAAAATAAGGAATCCCTCATTGCCAAAACCGATATGACTTCTGCTTTGAATGAAAGAGTGCAATTATATTTGGAGAGATTGGATAAAAGTTTCAAAAATAAGTTTGAATCCATCAGAGATATTCAAGATTAGAAATTCCAATTCTAGTAAAAGTGCCAATCTACTAGAGACGAGATCAGTCAAGAATTTCAGAAGGTAATGTTATTTGTAACCATATCATTAGTAAGTTATTGCTTTGGAATAAAAGAAGAACAGTCTTATTAATGAGGTTAATGCGCTTGAAACTTAGTAATTGTTAGAAATCTAAAAACAAGAGAATGAATATGTAATTTTTAGGATTATCTCAAGGAATCATAAATTTAATTGATGGCTAAGTATCAGGAAGAATTAAGGAACTTAAAGGGAGTTCCTGAAGATATGAGCAAATTCTTAATTGAAATTGAAAAAATCATGACTGCCCCATCTCAATCTCTGTAAATAGTAAAATATGTGTGAATGAATAGAAATCCTCACTATTGACATCCCAAAGATAGTTAATTCGCATTCAATCTCTTACCTAATCGACAGAAGAGAGATTAACCTCAGATTCCAAAATGATTCCTATTTAGTAGAAATTCAGTCCTATTAAAAATGACAGAACCAATGAAATTTGGAATAAGTTGAATGAAAGTGATAAAAAGAGTAGACTTAAAGAAAGCTCAATCTCGCAATAAAGATCAAATCAAAAGAGTAGGTGGAAAGAAACGATCTTAGAAATCTTTGATAAAAAAGAACAAAGCTTTGAACGATATTCTACTAATAATAAATATAATCCATTGAATAGGCCCTATAATATTCATTAGGTTTTGAACATGTAACAATAGAGTTTTTAAATTCAAAAAGAAAATTTATTAAAAAGGTGATACTTTATCTATTTAACAATATCAATCTATATCAAAATAAAATTATCTAAATCAAGCAAATGATGCCCAATGAGATTTGTAATGAGGATTTTGTTGAGTCTGAATCGGAATCGGAATCTTCATTTTCTGAACTTTCATTAGAATCAGTTCCTGGTGCTGTAGATTCACTTCCAGCTGAAGTAGTACCAGTTCCTGATGAGGTAGTACCAGTTCCAGTTCCAGAAGATGTAGTTCCTGTTCCAGAAGAGGTAGTACCAGTACCAGTTCCTGATGTAGTATCGGTTCCAGAAGAGGTAGTACCAGTTCCAGATGATGTAGTACCAGTTCCAGATGAGGTGGTTCCAGTTCCGGATGAGGTAGTACCTGTTCCAGATGAGGAAGTACCAGTGCCTGAAGATGAAGTAGAACCACTTCCTGAGGATGAAGTAGAACCACTTCCCGATGAGGATGAACTACTTCCTGATGATGAAGAAGATGAAGTTCCACTGTCAGCGAGAGTAATTGAAAATCCTAAATTAACTGTATGTCTTTCCATTTCTAAGAAATAGATTTAATAGAAATACATTAAGCACTTGAATAAACATAACACCAATTATAGGAGCTTCCTTTTGCTAGGGTCTTGTCTTTGGAGTCTCCAGTGGAAAGTTTTCTCTTGAATCTTGTTTTAACTGAAGCACTTCCTACTTCATACGAAATTAATGTATAGTCTTATTGGGAGTCAGTTGGAGGAGTGTTCTAAGATGTTGAATAGAGGTCCAACAACTCAACAGTGCTTCCTGAGATATTAATAGCTATCATGTCAGTGTTACTCATCTTGAAATTAATAATATATCTTACAGACGTTCCAAATCCAACGCCCAACCAGGTCAATTTGTTCCAAATTGTGGCAAATTCTATAGTACCATCACTGTTGAATTTCCATTTTATTGTCAATCTCGAATCAATAGTTTTTGAGTCAGTCATGTCACTGTCAGAGTAGACTTCAACCATTCTTCTCTATGGAGATGAACTCAAACTGGCTATGAGTTATGAGTTGTTTCTTTGTATTATTAATTTGTTCTCACTACATTCCTAAATTTCAATATGTTCCTCTGAAGTATTGGACTGTGTAAATATGCATTCACATTTACTTCTCTAGCAAAAAAGTTGATCTACAAATTGACCCTGAAATAAAACTAATTCTTACCTCCTTATTTTAGAAATTAATGACAGCCTCATTTTCCAAGTTCTCTAAGCTTATTACTAGTTTTTGTTTGTCATTGTCTAATTACTGAGACAATATTTGAGCTTGAGTTAGTGTACACAATGTAATGAGTAAGATTAGTATTTTAATCAAGTTCATTTGTTTTAAGTTTATTATTCAGATTTATATCAAATTATAATCTTATATTGCAGAGAAAAGACGCCCTTTATGGAATGTTCTATAAGACAGATGGCTTTTAAGAGTAGGATGAATTGATTATGAAACTGTATCTTTTTTTTATATTAGTATTTTAAACAGCCCACATCGGTTATATTGAAAAATAATTTAATTAATTAGAAGTCTCCTTACTTTCATTATGGGAGTTTGCCATTCTAAAAAAACATAACAATAAACTAACTAACCATAAGACCTTACTATCAGCAACTAATAATCTCTCCTTCCAATTATTAGTAAACTGGACGACATAGTGATAATAGAAAAAACACCAGAAAACGATTCATAATAAAGTGAAGTCGATTTGCTTGCAACGGATGAACTTCTAAATAACCCACAATTAGCCGCTATCGACTAATTACATCGAGAACAGGTCAAAAGACACGTTCATGCTCAACAGCATCATTAGGACAAATTGAAACGATATGTAGTTGTTTTTGATAAATTGTACAAATAAGAAAGAAAAGTTCCCATCTTGATTTCTCTTAATGAAAGCACTCTCCTAAGGAGAAGAAGATCAGGTCCTTGTTCTTGATTTTGAATATTCGTTTATGTTTTTAGTTAAATGTAAATGAACTTGGTTTTTCTTGTTATTTTATGATTGAATAAATATATAGAGGATAAAATCAATTGCAAAGTCGAAGAAGAGATTCTACTTTTGTGAACATGCAATCAATAAGGCAATCATTACGTATTGTAGTTTGATCAAAGGATTTATTACAATTAAAATGAAAAAATGCAATAATTACTTGGAATAATTGAATCATCTGAAAAATAAAATTTAAATTTTATTTTTCCCTTTAATTAATTATCTGAAAATTATAGAGAACTTAATTAAACACTTATTTAATCGTATATTTTAATATAAAATGATCAAGCCAATTCTTACCTTAATTTAATGTATTCTAGCCTAGAGTTGCCAAGAATTTGACTTTTTGCTGTATGATATTTAAATACAGGCTTCGTTTTTGTGAGCGTATACTCTGGTTAAAAATAAAACTGACCATATGCCGATGAGTGCTGAGAATATTATTTATCAATGGGAATTTTGAGTGAGAATATGTCCGAATCCTAAGTGTATCGTTTAGCATATTTCCCAAATTTTGATTCAGATTCTAAATATATATATGATTCATAAACCAACGGTTAATTATGGAGATACAACGAAGCATTCGTTATTTAATAGATTTTTACGCTTGTGTAATTATGGGAGCTAATAACTATTACGGACATGAATATCCATATCCTATTGGTTTACATTATTGATTTTCTGAAAGTTGAAATCGTTCACTTTATTAATAGGAGACTATTCCCAACAAAATTTAATTTTATCAGTTGAATGCTCTTAATAATACAGAACTTGTAACCTCTAAATATCCTTCTTTAGAGCCTGGATTCTTCCCCATCGAAAATAACCATTTAACGAGGACCTGAAATCTTGTGCATAGAACTATGGAGATTCTTTTTCATAGAGGACAAATGAAATATATATATATAAAAATAATATTAATTTAGTGTTTCTTTTGGCATCAATTACTATTTGATTATCTTTCTGATAGTAACAGCCCTTTGACTTAATTTTTATTTAACTCCTCCAATTATTTTTGTTATTGATAATTCCTCATGACACTAGGTAGTATACTTTGATCGTAATTGTTTAACGACTTCCTCTATTATTTTTTTAATATTTGACTCATTAAATTTGACCTCCTTAATCTCTCTCTAAATTTGTTTAAATGCTCATATTTACATTATCAGACTTTGTTAAATCCTCCAAAAGATCCTCAAAGTTTTCAACTCTTTTCTTTTATTCCTCAATTTCTTCATATTTTTATTCTTCTTATGAAATTCTTTTCATAAAATCATCCTTCCAATTCCTTTGATCTATTTGATATTATATATGAAACGATATTGCTATATATCTTCTAATACTGGAACCAAACAATTTTATTTAACTTTTTCTACTTCAACCTCCAAATATATTTCTCTCTTTGCTCAAAAAGGTATAACATCTGTTACTATCATTCAACCGCATTTCAACCATTAAAATGAAATAGAGCTTAAAATCTTATCTTTAGATCACTTTTTAATTTATATTAGTCCTATTTTCATAAATTTTCTCTTTCCTTAAAGTTTCATTCTCCTCTAATATTTCAGTTTACCCGTTATTAGAATTGATCTATTACTCCATTGGGATCATAGTCTGGTCTGAAGTAATAATTTTCTGATCATGAAGCTGCTATTATACTCTTTAATAAAATAAATTTATAGTTTGCTCTACCATCATGATTACATAATGATCCTATATTATTATAAAATCTCTTCTTTTATCCTTATCAAAATCTCATTTGGGTAAATATATGGTCCATTTTTAACCAAGTAAAGTTTTCAACTTCTATGAATCTAAAATTTATTTAATAAGAACGTAAAGGGGATCATATGCAATTATCATGGAGATTTAACCTTAGGTGGATTGTGCTTAAAGTTTTTAGATGATAAAGGTAGAAGAGAAAATGAGGGTGTATTTAAATTCAAACACATAGAATAGAGCTATTACACAATGCAAATAGTTAATAATGATTAAAAAATTGGAATTTAAAAAAAGTTTATTCATAAATAATGGGCTGGCTAGCTCTATCTTCTCCACCAAATGTTGGTTTTATGCAATTTCAGTTTAAATTTGCAAAAGGGGGGATATTATGATATTTTCATAAGACATACGATACAATAAATTATATTTTATCGTGCATCACATATTTGGTCTTTTACAAAAGAGTATAACTTTGGCACACCCATATATTAAACTTGTATGAGTACATAAGAGCTAAACTAATTGTTTCTATTTAAGAATATTAAGATTGATTAATATATTAGATAAGTATTCTATGGATTATATAATGGTTCATTTAATAATATTTAATTATAAATGCAACCTTAACCTATATAGAGAAAGGACTCTATGGTTCCTTAAGGTACTTCCATGTCTATTTGTTCGTCGTTGTTATTTATGATAGGACAATCATGGTATGAATTGAAAAGGAGGCCTTGTGGATATTGCGTATCGTTTTTTAGTGTGTTGATTGTGGTTGCTGCAAGCGCAGTGAGTTAGTCAATAATCGATAGAGCTCCTCTTATATTTTTGAAATCAGCAGAAGGTCCAGCTGGATAATCAGACATAGCGTATTCTACAATTTTAGATTAGGTTGACTGCAAATCCGAGTTATTTAAGTTAAGAACATGACAAGTCTCCTCAATATTTAATGTCAATCTAAAGTTTAACTTCTAGACAAAAAGGATATCTAATAGTTGACTTTCTAAACTACACAAGAGTGAAAGAAGTGTTAGGACCAGAAAGGGCAAATTAATCAAGTCCTAGAATTGAGTAACAAGTAAATTTCACATATTTGCTAAAGACAGGGGATTGTGAGAATGTATACATTGATATTTTATCATTAGTCGGTAAATAAAGCTCAACAATTGTTATCAAAAAGATAAGAATTTGGAAGTGAAGCTCATTTTAATGATTTAAGAGATGGGCAGTAATTGGGTCAGAAATGCGGAGGATCATAGCCACATCCAACAGCAAAATTTGTGGCACTTGATACAAAAAAAGAGAAGCAAATTGGTTTGGGATGGGAATATCCTTTTGATGAACTGAAAGAAACAGAGGTGATAATGAGTAGGAAATTAGCAGAAACATATCATTTGAATGTGGGAGATTACATGTTGATCTATGGAGAATTTTATGACTTTTATGGGGCATATTATATAGAGAACTACTTTGATTAGCTAGGTAGACAATTCAATTCGACCACTTACAATGATACATTTCTAAATTAGGAGTTTAGTGACTTGAAAAAGGCAACTTAAAGATTTTACTTGTATTAGGTGAAAGGATTGTTGGATTCAACATATGGTAAATTCCCAGATGGGGATGCTGATAAATTAATCATTGTAGAACACAAACACTTCTTTAATAATCTTGCATATTGGTCATGGGATAAGCCATATTTAAAGGCGATGTATACAGCTAATCCTGAAGATTATGTGGATGAAATCAGAATCAATATTCCCAATAGATTTAATATATACATGGATAGCAATTACGAGAATATACAAGGAAGGATAACCAAATATGCCAGTAACATAAGAAGAGATTTGGGAGTGTATCCTTGCAATATGGATTTGCCTGTCTTATAAAAACTGTATGATACTAGATTCGGTTAACTATTTTTGGGTATCATACTGAATATGATCATTGTGATATTGTTTTTGTTGAGTGTTTTACTGTTATATACTTTGTTATTGATTTCAGTAGAGACAAAGACTTACGACTTGGGAGTTTTGAGAGTGTTAGGTTTTAATAAGTTGGGTGTAGTATTCATAGTATTGACTCAAGCTTTGAGTTATGTCCTACCAGCTATAGTTGCTGGTATCATCCTTTCAATACCTTTTCTATTATATGCCAGTAATGCACTCAAAGCCTCCATTGGAATTGAGATCGAAGCAACTCCGACTACTAATGCCACATTCATGTCCCTCGGATTGGGATTGCTGATACCTTTAATAAGTTCTTACGTTCCCATAAAAGAAGCATTAAGTAAGTAATTAAGTTTTGCATTGGATATCAACAGATCAAAATCAACTGCAGTTAAAATAGAGGTGGATCTAGAGGGCAAATCTTTGCCTTGGGGCAGAATCTAATTTGCTGTAATAGCTTCATTGTTTGGAATTTGTGTTTATTACTTCTTACCATTGGCCTTATTGTCATTCAACATTGGATTACTGTTGTCTATATTCTTCTTCATTTTATGTGGTATGCTCCTAGGATTGGTTATATTCGCATTCAATATTTAATACCTTGCGGAAAGATTTACTGTTTATCTATTCTTATTTTGGGCAAGTTCAGCCAAGAAAACAATGGTGTTGAAGAATCTTGCTGCACATAGGGTAATAATAAGTGTAATTTATTTAGATCAAAAATAGAAGAACAGCATTGATGTATGCCTTATCAATAGCTTTTGTAATTTTCATTTTTGTTGGGATGAGTGTGCAGATTGAAAATTAAGCAACGCAGACCCTTTAATAGCATGGCTGCAAACTTGAAATAACTTCCTCCGATGGTAATCTTTCCCCATTTGAATTTGAAAAAATAATATTAGATTTAGGAAGCAACATCTCTGGTTTTGCATGGATCACCGAACCCTTTGGATAGTTACATGCAAAGACTCGGATTTTCAACAACGTATATGACCCATTTAGGCTAAGTTTATCAACTCAGACCTAAGGTTGTGGGTGTCTCACATACTCTATTGGACATGGGATTCAATCAATTTCTAAAGGTCGAAGATCAAATTAATAGTAAATTGAATCCAGTTGAATAATTATATACAAGTCGAGGAAGTTAAAGTGCTATGATTGGTACCAGTTATGCAGATCAACTCAACATCAAAATTGACATTGACAGCACTTTCCTTCTAGTTGTCTACAATAATACTTATAGTCAATATCATCAAATGAGGGCATCCTCAATAATCACATCAGCACCTGCCCTTAAATTCAGTAGTTTACCAAGTGTTTAAGAATAAAATGTTGTCGTTTCCTTACCTACTTACAGGAGGTTGTGTGGAAATTTGATTGATGCAGTTGAAAATTACCCTATGAGAAGATTACTCATTTCTGTATCTAGTTCTGGTAGCATTGACGCTGTTTATGGATAATTCAAAAAGTACATTGATAGCAAAGTAACTTCAGCTAAGATATGGGATTATAGAGATTACGAAAAATCTATTAAGCAAAGTCAGAATCTAATTCAAATCATATTCAGTTTCTTAACTGGAGTTGTTATGGTATTGTCATTTTTCAGTCTTATGACTTCAATGTCTGCCAATATGTTAGAATAAGTTAAGGAAATCTCTGTGCTTAGAGCCATTGGAAATACAAAGTTTTCAATTACTATGGTTTACATTATGGAGGCATTCACATTAGTTTTCAGTTCTAGTTTTATTGGATTGATGGTTGGATTTGTTATTGGACAGTCGATGGCATTGCAATAGACCTTATTCACATAATTGCCATTAATTTTTGTGTTCCCATGGTAAATGTTGATAATAATCGTAATTATTGCTATGATTGCTGCAATTATCAGTGTTGTTACACCCTCCTTATAAATCTTATCGAAAGAAATTGCTTAAATAATGAGAATGATCTGAAATATACAAATTTATTATTATTCTTTATATTATAATTTCTTCGTTAATTTTTTAATAATGAGAGATATAATAAATGATATAAAAAGATTATGTAAATAAAATAAACTTCAAAAGAATCTATAAGTTCCATAAGGAAAGAAAGTCGAATTGTGGTTTAAGATTGGTTCTGTTTAAGTTAGGTGTAACAATAAATTTCTTCAGTAAAAGGAAAAATATTTTTGAGCACACTTTGAAGAATTCATAGAAAAAAGGAGTAGTAAGATTAAATTTTATTTTACAGTGCCTGCAATATAAGTAGTACAACGAAATTAAATTAGTTTCTTCTTGGGTTATTTCTTCGAAATTATTAATGTATTAATATAATATAAATTCAATTGTTATTAAAAACTGTTTTAGAGAAGTTTATAAATTTTTAATTATGTTTATCAATGTAATTAATTATAAAAAAAAAAAGCAGTAAATTAATTTTATATAAAAACATAGATTTTATCATTTGAGAAGGTAGCATTTAGATTCAGGTAATATTTCTTCACAGATATTGATTGGTTTATTTCTGAAGTCCAGTTTAACATTTTTGGAGATAATTTCTATGAAACCTTAAAATAATAATTTATAAATACGTTTTTTAAATTGAGTCTGCATGTAGATTTGGATTTGTATAGGGGTGGTAATCTCGTCTGGTTCAAGTTGTAAATTTATATAGTATAATTATGATTTTTAGCTTAATTAACAATTAGAAAATTTAACTGGTGAATTCAAAGCCTTCACTTATCCAAATAATAGGATGTCATGTTCCAGGCACTTTTTCCTCTTTCTATTTTGCTCTTTGTCTAGTAGGAAGAACATCAAATTTCTTTTCTCCCACACATCTGTGAATTAGATTTTACTCTAACTCATTTGCAATAATTTCAAGTTTTCAGAAGATCTATTTGGCCCTTCTTCCCAGACTATTTCCCCTTCCAATATGTTATCGTACTGTCCAATAACATATTTGTACTCAAAGTAAGGACAGGAGATCTCGATTTCCCTACTCCATTGATCAATCTAGTAAAAATGAAAATTTACAAAACCTTTTGACATTCCATTCTAAAAGCCTCTCTCAAGTTCCAATTGGCGAAATTAAAGACTACATAGATTGCTTCTCCATAATTGACTTGTTTATTTATTGTAAAAAAGATTTAAGACGATTCCATTATATTAATGATGCTATTGCTAATTTTTTAATTTATGCTTTAACTCATAATTAATTGGAATTTGTAGGAATTATATCTTTTATAATATTAATCCAAATTTACTCTGTTAAAATTAGAGCGATCTCAAAAACTACTTGTTACCAATAGGTCAGCAATCTCAATCACACTTCTTTTTGAGTGTTGGTTGAGTGGAACTACTCATCGAAGAAGTCATGTCCAATAATAACATCATAGAAAAAATATGAATGAAATCTATAAATAAATAATATTATAATCAACATAGAGCAATTCTATAAAAGGAGATTGGTTGACATATTTCTTAAGTTCTTTCCGAAATACCAAGAGTTATAGGAGTACTAATGAATTCAATGGGGGCTAAAAGTCGAAAAACATATTACTAGGATCTTTTATCAGCAAATAATATTGAAATTGGATCACTTAATCCGAATAAGCGATGTCGATGTAAAATTTTGCAGTGAAATACATCACGGACTTCTTTTCTAACAATTTCATTTGAATTGGAGTTGGCAGAGCAGGAAAGCTCCCAATTATCATGGCCAAAGAATTTTTATTTAAAGCCATTAGTTTGAGAGAAATCATTCTTTTCTCCCACTTATCTTCTATGATATTATTGAATATGATAGTATACTTATAGTTTGGGAACCAATTGATTTAGATTTACAGAGATTTCTGTTGCTGCCTCTTTCCCAAATTTAGGTGTTTAACGAAGGATTATCATAATCAGCAATCACATATTTGTACTCTAATTGCTCATCAGTTACTTGAAATAGAAGTTCCCATCGATTACTCTACATATCTGAACACTTAATTACCTTAATACAAGTCATCCTACAACTTTCATCTATTTTCCAATTATTTTAAGAACTTGCCAAGTATAAACCTTGTCCAAATTATACTTGCTGGCGTAAGCTAAACTTTATTTAAGACATTATATTATTAATAATCAATAATTCATTCACTTTTAAATCTTTTGTCACCATTTAATCTTAGTTGTATTTATTTAATATTTAAAATTATCATTAACTTTATCTCATCCCCCTCACTCTTTTGAATTAATATAAAATCAAAGCTATTATCGAATCTATCGAATTCCACTCTCTTATTAGACTATTTTAAAACTACTCACCCAATTAGCCGACAATATGTTCACACGCTAATATTATTGCCATGACCGAAGCATTTAAGATGCGCAAACGCAATTTGAAAATTGGGTCTCTGCGTGTCTATTTATAGATATCCACTCGTATTAATCAAAAATAAAATAAATTCAAAAATTGATTTTATTGATTAAAAAGTTCCAATAATTTACTTAATAAAAATATGAATTATTCAATAGCAAGGTTTTTGTTAAGAATCAAATGCAGGAATAATAAAGCACTTCTTTACGAAATTTGAAATTTTATTTAATCCTTTAAGATTTATAAAGGAAATAATTACAAATATTTTCTGTAATTAATTCCAATTTAAAATAATATATTTAAAATTATATAAGTTAGACTATGAAAAATAATAAGTTTACATGTTTTTGTTCAAAGTTTTTACTTATCAATTCTCTTCCTATCTTCACATGAAAAAGTGATAATTTTTCAATTTAAGAAGTGATTTTGAAAATTAAAGATCACAAAGTGAATTAAAATAATTGTATACGAAGGAGGGAAATGATGAAAGTGAAAATTTGAAATTAAGTTTCACTTGTTATTTGGTTTAATTTTATATAAGCAGAACAAGATTTCAGGCGATAAAACAAATCTATTTAAATGTCTGAGAGTTTGCATTTATTTTTGTTCTTCCAAGTAGCGAATTGCTTATCTGATGTGTGTTACTCGCTAGATATTTGAAATTACAATTCCATATTATTTTGTTTTGATTTTAATAATGAGCTTTAGTAATTAACCAATATATTAATTATAATAAATTAATTGCTTGCAAGAAATAACATTTTAGACAATTTATCTTACAATACGTTTTATTAGAATGATATTTAAACCCATTGATATGAAACAATTAACAATATAAATATGGAAGGTTTAGCCTCTACAACAGATTCAATTTAAGCGAATTGTAAATTTGTAACAAGGCTAGAGAAGTTAAAGAAACTTTTTGATCAAAGTCTACAAAAGAAATAAGAAAATATCATATTTTAAAACCGTCAAGTTGAAATACCCTAGTGGGTTGATCTTTTGAATTCCTATAAGGAAATTGAGAAGGAACATAATGAATTCAATTTGAACAATGTTGGAAAAATGAAAAAAATGGATTAATCTGAAATTGACTTACTTAATGTTGTCGTTAGATTGTATGGTGATATCCACAAACTTCAACCGCTTTTAATGGTAACAGTGATTCTAAAATTTAGGACGTATTTGATTGGGATTAGATAGGATCGATATTGTTCAATAGACATTGGAAAGTTTGCAGAAGTAAATGGATGGAGAATCAAGCGACTTCTATTGTAGATCATCCTTGGTCTCGAGAAGAGGATGCTATATTGAGCTAGCTTTATGAAAAATATGCTGAGTAGAATAAATATAATAAATGGAGTTTGATAGCAATGGAGATGAGTAAGATTTGTAAATCCTCTCACGTGAGATTGGGCAAACAATGCAGAGAGCGATGGATAAATAAGCTGAACCCTCAAGTAGAAAGGTATAACTATTGTTTAAACGTTTATTAGAGGTCCATGGTACAAAGAAGAAGAAATCAAGTTGTTAGTTGCTGTTCTGAATAATGGAAAGAAGTGGTCATTAATATCAAGAAGAGACTTTGATAATCAAAGAACAGAGAATTGTTTGAAGAATAGGTTTCATACAATAATAAAAAGAGAATCGTCAAAGTTTGATAAGCACAAAACGCAAAATAAGAAATAAAACTTATAAAAAATAAACCTGGAAGATGAAAATAAATTAATCGAATAAATAATTCAAGAATTAAAGGATGAATCCTTCCTATAACAACAGTCTGATTTGTGGAATACGGTTAGCAAAAAATACCATATTTCGTAATCAGATCACCTTCTCGATATTATCGACAATAGCTTTCAGGTTGTGATAATAAAGAAAAATAAGATCAATGAAATTTTTTGATTGTTACTAGTTTTTGTTTTCTTTTAGATTATATACTTTATTGAAAAAAAGGGTAGTGTTCAAAAATAAAATAAAATTCTTCCTTTATTTCCATTTCTGCTTATAAACATAGCATTCAATACTAAATTAGCAATTTAATAGAGTTTTGCTGGCTTAAAATGATAAATAATCTAAAAATAATATTTCAGGTATTTTAAGGTAATTTGAGTATAATATGAAGTTTTTTTTTTTGAGATGAAAGTTAGAAATTTAAGATTTATTTAATGTAACAATTAAAACTGAATGTTGGAAAATGAAATTCATCATAGAGTTTCAACTTTTACAGAGAAAACTATTAGTGTAAAATATTTAATTTGATTATAAAATTTTATAGATATGCAAAATTAAGTGATTTATTAACCTAAATTAAATTTTTTATATTTAATGATATCCCTTGTCAACTTGTTTATACCATTTAGATAGGCTCATAGACTTTCAAGAATGAATGTTTACAACTAAAGAAGAGTTCTGTACTAGTTTTGTAGTGAGAACAAAAAAACAGAAGAAATTGAGAAATAACCCTCATTAGTTATAGATATTTTACACACCGTCAAAGATTCAGCCATTGGATCAGCTACGAAATTAACAGAGAAGGTGAAAGGATCAGCCGTTAAATTTAAAACAGATGCGAATCAAAATTAGGAGACAAGTATTGGAAAAACATGTTTAAACATGGCCAAATTAGCATGGAGAAAAACATTTCCAAGTCATGATGACGAAGTAAAGGCTAGGATGGAAACAGTCAAAGCAAAGTTAGCAGAGAGAAAGAAAGAAGAGGAGAAATTTGCTTAGATGACTGAAGAAGAATTGGCAGCAGTATGAATTAAAATTTATTTAGATTTAAGAGAAAATTCCAGAATGGAAGAGAAATGCCATCCAAGCTACTGATCAAGCAACAAGTGAAGAAGCATCTCTCAAATCCAAAATTGCTTAGAAGATTTAAAGTAGACTCAAGCAGAGTGAATAAGGTCAACATATAGTCAATAGTGAAGCCTATAAGGAGTATGTGACATTCAAAGCAGAAATGAAATAATTCAAGGCTGACTTATCTGATAAAATCTAAAATCACCCCAGCAATTTTGTTTAAGTGTCTTTGTATGCAGCAGTAATTCAATATGTTAAACAATTAGAAAACTGTCACAAATGAAAGCGATGTTGCCAGAGCCATCAAACAAATGAGAATGATCGACCCAGACTTTGACTTATATGAACTAGAAAAGGAAGCAAAAGTGATCTTCGAATAAATCTACAACCTTTATCTGTTAGGAGATTTGGAATCCCTTTAAAAGGTGTGTGGTGAAGCCGCCCTGGGATACTTCAAAGTATTATTGAAGAAGCAAGAAGCTGAAGTACATATTGTTATCATAAATTAGAAATCTGAACCTAAACATAAGCAATTGTGGAATGTCGATGAAATTAGATTCACAAGAGCTAGCATACCCGATTCTGTGAAATTACCTGTTTTTATTTTTACAATAAAGACTTAAGAAATCTTTTGTTATGTTAGCAAGGTATGATGTTTTGGAAATATCAAAATAGAGTGACAGATCGAAAATCATTGATGGAGATGATGAGAGAATCATGTCAATGGATTACTAATTTGCTTTGACTCCACATTCAAATCCTTCTTCTGACGAGTTTGGTCACATTTGGGAAATGATCGAATTGTAACCATAATAAGTTGTTAAAATGCTTGTTTGAATCTATGTTATATATATGTTTTAATAAACATACCAATCATGCAGATATTTTTTAATTATTTATATATATTTATAATTACATTATTAAGAATGGATTAAACCAATTCCAATTTAATCATAATTGCTCCAGAGCACTCCTATTCAATGAAACTAATTTAGTGTACATTCCTATTTTAATATGTTAGATTTAATCAAACATTTCAATAGTGATGAATTAATTTTTGATAAGATTGATGAAGATCATCAAAAGATTGGGACTTAACTGTAATAATTGGCATCGATTTAATAGTTTAATTAACACTAAGTATTATACATGTGATGTAGGATTGCATACAATAAATTACAATTATTTTAATTAAGAAAATGCTTTGGAATAATTATAAACAATCAAAGTAGACGGCGTATTATTTATTGTTGATGCCAACAACATGAGTGGACTAGATTAATTCATTAATTTGTGCGATCAAATTCTAAACCAAATCTAACCTGGTCTATAGGCCATTATCTATGATAGAAAAGAAGGAACCAAAATCAATTTGGAGCTTTTGGAAAATGAGGAGAAAAAATTAGAAAGCTTTGTTGAATAAATTTATTTAGACCTAAACAATCCACCCATCAAACAATAAATCAAACAGTTATCTGAGTAAGCCGAAGAAACTCTTGGATTTCCCAGGATCATAGAAATTATTGAATGTAACACTTGGACATACATGAGACCCAAGGTGTAGGAGAAGAAGGAGAACATTAGCAAAACGAAAGTGAGTGAAAAACAATCTCAAGGCCTCGATCAACTAGAAAATGAGGATGATCAATTTGCACAACTGATGCATGATATGACCAAGATTAGGTGTATTAATCATATCTATTGTTTAGGACTTCCAAAATGACAGATGAGGAGAGAAGGGAAAAAGCTGCCAACCTCATGAATTAATTAATGAATATGTGTCAAGATGATGACGAAGATGATATGTGATATGTTTATATAATGTTAAGAAAATTAGAAATAAAATATATTAAATAAATTATTAAATAATTTTAATGGCTTTGAAATCTGCAGCTTTGTTTGAAAAGATGGATCCATTCATCAAATCCCAAGGTGCTGATTTGGTTAAGAAAATCAATGCCATCTATTTCTTTGAAGTTTCAAAGGCCAAAGGAGAAACCCCTGAAGTTTGGACTGTTGATCTCAAGAATGGCTCAGGAGTATGCATTATCCATTTATATCTTTAGTCAATTGCCAAGGGACGTGTCGGAACAGCTGATGCCACATTCACCATGGTTGATGATGACATGATGGCTATGGCTCAAGGAAAGTTGAATCCTCAATAAGCCTTCATGTAAGGAAAGATGAAGATCAAGGGAAATATGGCTGCTGCCACCAAATTCACCCCAGATCTTTTACCAAAAGATGCCAAACTTTGAGGTTATAATAAAAGTGTATAACAAATCACACAATTACATTAGACCATTAAGTTCTAACATTCTTCCATCTTTCAATCCCTCATCATATATGATTTCTAGTCTCTTTCAGAGAATTATATTATTAAATTTCACTATTTTTGGAATTTGGTCTCTGAGACTGATTCTATTACATAAGGAACATTCAAATAGAGAACAAAACTAGAAAGAGCTTAAAGAGACTCTTGTTTTATACAATTGGGAAATAATGAAATTCTTTTTAGTAATAGTATGCTTGAATGTAGAATGATAATTTAATCTGATTCCATGATAACGAAATGAGTCTATATAAATTTAAAGATTATTATATTTAATTGTCATGTAGATACTGAATAATATCTTATAAATGTATAATTGATATATTTAATTTATGTCTGAGCTATTAATGGGATGAAAATAATATAATAATAAAATGTACTTTGTTCGATATTTATTTAATATTACTTAGAGAACAAATTAAATCATAAACTAATTAATCTAATCTCTTATGATGTGTCACTAAGAAAAATGAATTATTTTCGAGAGATACTTAATTGAAAAAGATAATAGATATATACGTCTATCGTTCACTTATGAGAGTATGATTTCAGTTTGTTAATGTTGATGAACTGTAGGAGAGTATAAAAACTATATTATTTTAATGATGATATTTATTAGTAAATTTTATACTAAATATCGTTAATTAAATTTATGGGTTAAGTTTAACAGTCCAAATAACACTTTTTGAAAAATTGGTAAAAGGTTGATTCTAGAGAAAGCAGAGTGTAATTATTGGTATAATATCTTTTAGTTTCGGATGTGAAATTGAGGTCTACACAAATCAAATGGAAGAAGTAGCTGTAGTGCATAAAGTTTATTAAAGCGAGATGCATTATCAAAAAGAATTGAAGAGATTGGAACAATATTAGTAAATTAGTTAGATGCCAGGTTTGATTCGCCTATTAGACATTCAGAAAGAGGAAGAGTCAACGTTGTGTAGTAATTTATTTAAAATCGATGCTATCTTTGAATTTGGAAATTAACTACCAGCTAATTTGCCTTGGTTTTAGTTTTTACAATAAATCATTCACACCTTGATTGAATTGCAGAATCGTGATAGATATCACGGAGATTTGAGACCGCAGTCTTTTATGTATACAAATCAAGTGAAATTACTTTTACCAAATGTGGATTAATATAATAGATTTTTGAGTGGTTTTGAAGAATACTGTTACCTTTCACCAGAGTTGTTTTTTCAATTAGGCAGAAAAGTCTTCAAGCCAGAATATAATAAGGAGAAAAGTGAGGTCTTTACAATTGGATTGGTCTGTTTAGAACTCATTTTATAAGAATAGATACAAAAAATTTATGATTTCCAAGAATACAACATAAAATAAGGTACTTAGTAGTTTAAATATAATTAGAAGTTCTGAATGAAATGCTAAGTAGAGCCAACAATAAATTAGTCAGTCGAATGTTATCTTTTAAACCAGAAGATAGACCAAATTACTTGTAGATATACGAGGAGAGCATAGTAGAATTGATGCAATAATCGATGAACAGCAATAATAAAGTCATAATACCTAACAACCAAAATGATATTTTGAATGAACATGCAATTGAGATCCAATCACGAGTATTAGTAAGAGAACAACAATCATAGGCGCAGTCATTTATTATGCAATCAAATTAATAGCATCCTTTATTATGTCAACAATCTTAACAATTTACATTGCAATCATGTAATTTCAAAGATTCTAACCCAACATTAACATCTATGCAATAACACCCTATGTTCTTTCAATAGGAGAACTAATTGCAAAAATAATAGTTAAGGTCTAATTAAGAAAACGAGGAACCTCAGTCAATGAAGAAAGTTCATCCTTTTTTATCATAAAAAAATTCATAACCTACCGTCAAGATGCATTCGAATAATAGATCTATGAATCAAACACCATCCCAATAAATACAGACACAATAAAAACCACAGATTCCTTCCAACTTATAGTCCTTCCAATCAAGTCAAAGCAGTTAATAATAGGCCTTTTATTCGACACAAGTGCCGTAATAGGCCAATTCTCTTTAATATTTGACCATTTCACAATCTCCGAATCATAGATATTCATAGAAATCTTAACAATCTTCAGTTTCTAAACATCAATCTATTTAGCCAACAGAGTATGCCTTTCTGCATGAGCAAGTTCATGTTCCATTCAACCCTGGGTCGGACTTCCTCGATTCATCTAGGTAAAAAGAATAGATGGATTTTGTTTCACCCACTAGAAGTAGTTAACGACCCTCATCCAAATTGAAGGACATTTCTAACAAAAAAGCAAGAACTGTGTAAAATACAACTAGTACTACCTTGGGTACTAGCAATAACAATGCGAATAAATAAGTAGTTAATAAGAAACCTTAATTATTGAAGAGTCAAAGACCCTAAACCCAGATGAGATCTAAATCACCTAATGTTAAGAAAGTGCCTTTAAAGAAATGAATAATGTGATTTAATTAACAAAAATTTAAATATTATATTAAGATATTATTATGAACGTAGGTACCAATGTTAGTGATGATTGTGTTACAGAATTCAACAATCTGAAGTTAGGCAAACAATATAGATTTGTTATATTTAAGTTGGACAAAGATAAGAACGAAGTAATCTTCATTGTATATTCTTAAGATTGTCGTTGATCAAAAGGGAGCAAGAGATAGTACTTACGCTGAATTTGTTAGTCATCTTCAAAATGAAGTAACTCTAATCTTTAACATAAAAGTCCCGATATGCTGTTTACGATTATCATGCTTAAACAGACGACGTTCCACCAAGACAAGTTGATAAATTGGTCTTCATATTCTGGTCACCAGACACCAACCAACCAGTAAAATAGAAGATGGCTTACGCTGCAGGAAAGGAAGCATTGAAGAAGAAATTGAATGGACTTTCAAAAGAAATTTAAGCAAATGAACCATCTGAAGTTGAGGAAGCTGAAATCAAAAAGACTGTATTGAACTGATAGAGTGATGAATTCTTATATTTAGAATATGGATTATCATAAAATTCAATTCTTTTAATTCTCTATTCATTTTTATTTGGTTTTTTTTATTTTATAAGTAACTAATCAACTTTTGATGTATGTAGACTTATAAAACTGAATGTTCAATAAATTCTTCTGGAATTTGATAATGAGATTATTTTTAGTGAAAGTCCATATATTTTAATTAACTTATTCCATTTAATTCAAGTGAGTATAATGATTATGAGTGTAGTTAGTTTATCCAGTTTTGTTTATCGATCATATTATTGAAATTTATCTTTCAACCTTTGTCACATTTCTTCGTAGAATTTGCACATTAGTAAACTACTTTAGCGAAGCGGGAGTAAGATATAAACTGAAGAAAATTACTTTTTTTCTTAGGTCGTTTAATTGAAATCCTATTCTGAATTCTTTAATTAATAACTCTCGCTTATCAGTAATCATCTTTTCAATACTTTCCATGTTAGAATATTAAGCTTGTTCTGTGTTCTTCTATATCCTTAACCATTATAAAGTTGTTATTTCATTTGTAATTAAATTTCAGGTTATGAGTTTTAGCTTGATGTAACTAACTAACGAATACTGTTTCTTATGGGTCTGATTAGGATATTAATTTGTGCAGCGTTTATTCAAAATGTCAAATTTGAGAAATTCTGACTATCTCAGCAAGTTTTGGCTGATATTTTGTTGATAGAATTGTGTTTATAATTCTTGAATCACTTTATATAATCCGTATGTTCATTTATAGAAATTTATTAATAATAACAAATACAAAAAACATGGGGGATGAAATATACAACTATGATGATGAGTACGATTCAATTTAGATAGAAAAATAATATTCGTTATAAGGGTAAACACTTATTGAATAGAATTAATAGTGTAGAGATCCTGGATATAAAGGATGTCATTTAAGAGATTGAATAAGATGTTCAAGATCTCAAAGAGAAGTTGTATTTCAATGAGGACAACACATATGAAGTAATAATTCTTAGTAATGTAGCTACTCATGCACTACAATTGGAATAAAGAAGACATCACAACGAATTACTTCAATAACTAAGAGGCATTATTGGCTGAATTAAGGATGAAAGGCATTGTCAACAATCATGATGGAATCACCTTTAATGGAGTCAAGGGATGTTGTTCAGTGTGTTTTTTTGAAGGGAATTTGATTGAATTGGGATGCACTCATAGATTTTGCGAGTCTTGCATCTCGCAGACGATAAAGTAGAGAGTGCTTTAGGATAAATTCTTGGTAGTGAGATGCTTATAGAACGGATGCAATTACAGATTGCCATTTTCGATGATTAGAAAATATTCAAATGCCCATGAGTTTGAGAATTTACTATGCAGAAGATTCGTAGATTGTTCCAGATATCTCGCATATTGTACTGGAGTGGATTGCAATAAGATTTTGAAACCTCAATGCTCATCAGTGAAGGAAGTTACTTGTGTATGCTAGAATAAATTCTGTTTTTATTGCAAAGAAGATCTTCATCCTCCATGTCCTTGTGATTTGGTTAAAAAATGGGTGGCTGAAATCAAAAAGGATGAGGCCAATGTCAGATGGATTGTCGTTAACACAAAATCATGTCCCTTTTGCAAGAAACCAGTCGAGAGATCTGAAGGCTGCAATTACATGATGTGTAAACCTCCAGGAGGTTGTGGTAAGGCTTTTTGTTATATTTGCTCTCAACCTTGGGAACCTGATCATAAAGATCATTTCAAATGCAACAAATATGTGGCTCCTACTGCCAATATCGAAAAGGAGAAAGAAGTTTTGCAACGCTATAATTTCTATTATGAAAGATTCTTAAACTCTTAGGCTGCCAAGGAAAAAGCTATGCAAAGATTAAAATAAATCAAAGAATAATATATCATCTCTATCTTCAAGCATTACTAATTCACATATTAAGATAGTCAATTCTTAGAGGAAGTAATGAAAGAACTAATTCAATCCAGAGTCGTACTAAAATGGTATTAATTATAACTTATCTCACAGGTCCTATTGTATAGGTTACTACATATCTAAAACGAATTAATAGTCTGCCAAATTGTTTGATCACTACCAAGAAATCTTTGAACATGCTTGCGAAACATTGGCCATCTCTTTGATTAAGTTGTTTGATGAAATCGAAAAATTGGACCACAAACAATCTGATAAACCCATCCATGAATAAAAAAAAGACTTCATAGAAAAAAAGGAGAAAATCCAAAATGCTTCCTCAAAATGTTGTAAAATGAGACAGAATCTAGAGACAGCTATCTATCAAGGGGAAATTTACATGTGATATATGACATATAAATATAATCATTTGAAATTTTATAATATATATATATATCATAAATTAGGGTAGTGGTAGTAAGTAAATCCATCCTCAAATGCCAATTGAAAAACCTCTTCAATGTGATCAACCAATCTAATTCTCTTTTTTATTTAAGGTTCTAAATTCTAAATGTCTCCCACATTCTAGGATGGAATAATGATGCTTTTAAATTAAATCACATGTATACCTCTCAACTCCAGTCTCTGCTGCAGAAATGATGCTTTCTCTTAGATTGTCTTGTCTGAAAATAGAGCCCTTGAGACTCAACTCTCCTGCGAATGCAACACTTGATTTCACCTTCTTATTCATGAATAACGACACCATAGCAACAACAACACAAACTCCTAAACAATTCTAGTTAGCAACATTAATGTCCCAATTCTGAAATTAAATGTGTTTGAAACAATTCCTTAAATAAGACAAGGCAGTTATTCCTTATTCTACTATATATTGATCCTTGGATTACTAGTATAAATTGCCTTATCCCTTTGTTTTTATGACTTCTAAAATGTTCATCCCATCATTCAACCCTTTGCACATCCCAACACTCTGCAATTTGATGTTCTTATAACCAAAGGTGGATTCACCCAAACATTGATTAATGAATCCCTTGTTGATATTGTAAGTTCCCTTCCTCTTCCCTCTGACTTATTGGAGTGCAATCTTTCTAAAAATAGAATTGATTTGTCTCTCCAACTATCTGACTCCACTCTCATTGGTGTAATTTGTGATCAGATATCTGACGACCTCCTTATTGAAATCTACCTACCCATCGATGGCATTAAGCTCCAACTGTTTAGGAATTAGATACTAAATGGCAATCTTTTCCTTCTCATCAATAGTATAGGATGGTATTTCTATCATTTCCAATCTGTCTCTCAATGCTGGCTGTATAGATCCTATATAGTTGGCTGTTGAAATGAACAGAACTTAACTTAAATTGAATTCTTCATTGACGTAGTTGTCAGTAAATGATTTATTTTATTCTGGATCCAAGACCTCTAACAAAGCTGATCCAACTGTGTATTGATTGATCTTATCTATCTCATCAAGTAAGATGACTGGATTAACACACTTTGCCTTCTTGATTGCTTCCATAATCATGCCTGCCTAGGCCCCTACATATGTCTTTCTGTGACCTCTAATTTGAGCTTCGTCTGAAACTCCCCCCAGAGATATCTTTTGAAATGGTCTCCCCAAAGACTCAGCTATGCTCTAAGCTAAAGATGTCTTTCCCACTCCAGGATGACCATGTAGACAAATAATGGATCCAGTAGATTTAGTTAAAAATTTAATGGCCAAATATTATAGGATACGCTGTTTAGCCATGTCCAAACCATAATGTTTCTTATCCAACTTCTCTTTGCACTGCTATATACTCAGAGTTTCTGGAGACACGATTCCCCATGGCAATGACTCAATGTATTACTTTTAATAATCCAGTTCTAATTCTTGGATTTATGGAATAATTTATTGAGTTTAATTAATTAAGTTATCTCCATTGTTTTACATTTCAGACATTAGTTCCTGCTTAAGTTTTTACTCCAATTCATAGTTCGTAGTGTATTGTGTCATTTTGTGATTCAAATATTGTATCAATGTCGATATTCTCTCATTGTTATCATTCATTTATAATAATCTTATTTTTTGGTTGAATGGAATTTGTATTCTGCTTGAGACCTGATAGTATAATTTCACTATATTATCTTCCTCATCGATTTTCTGTTTTAGCAGGGCGTTTTGAAGAAGGGAGAAGTTTTCCATATAAATCTACAATATAAATAGTCATTTACTTTTATTGCCTCTTTGAACAGGGTAAGGATTTCGGTATCGTGGTTTCGGATATCGTCATTCAAAATTTCGACGTTTGCCACTAAAAATGGGGAGAGTTGGCAAAACGAATTAATTCGAAATCTGGCAAACGCAAATGCTTTGTAAGAGTGGGAAGAGTCGTCTTGCTCTTTTGCTAAATGCACAAGTGTGCCATATAAACTGTATTATGATATAGTTTGAACATCTGATTGGGTGTCATCGATTTACGAAACCAATCCGATGTATTGAGAATGTAATGATTGATTATAGCAATCCACGTTATGGAGTTACAAACTAGAGTATGGGAACACTACTGAGCTTGATATTGGTTGTATGAACAAATTTAAATATTACATAATAATTAATAATATGATATTACTCTAAAATTGTTTAATTTTTAAAACAACTTTTTAATATTATCTCATCATTGATAAATATTATGCATTTGAAGTTTGAATCCAAATGACAAACTATAAATTGTGGAGCCATTTATGAATTACAAAATTTAATTATAATTCAAATTCATCATTCCTCGAAAATAATTATATGAAATGTTAAAATTTATATAATAATTCAAATAATCATGCAAGAGTAAAACGATAGCGAAAACGAGTAAGTGGACATAAAGGAGACTGAATTATTGGCTCTCAAGGACAAAGAGTTCCAAATCGATTTGGCTCTCATTCTCAAAACCAGCATCGATCAGAACTTCATTGACATTATGACCGAGGATCAGAAGTAAGGACCCATCCTCATAAGTATTTAGAACCAATGAATTGATGTCTCTCAAGACTATACACTTAGAATTTCTGAACATAAGTAAGCATTATGCCTTTACATTTATAGGGAAGATCGAAAACCTTGAATTGTTCGACAAGCTGTAAATCCTCTTCCTCCAAAATGTAAGCGATCGATCCATATGTAGAATAAAATCAGCGAGATAGAGAATCTAGACACCTTAATCAATTTGGAGTATTTGAGTTTGAAGAATAATTAAATCTCAGTTTTGAAAGGATTGAAAAATAGCAGGAAACTAGCCTTACTAGATGTGTCTGAAAACTAGATCAATTCCATAATCTTTGATTAGGTGCCGCAGATGATAGAAATTTTGAATATCAGCAACAACCCAATCGAAACTGTATTTAATTACTCCATAATAGAATGTGGACATCAGAAAATCAATATTATGTCATTTGAAATTGATCGATGAGATCGACTCTGTAAAGATTGATCAGAATGAACGCTTTTAAGCCTTGGGAATGTAACTATTAGTACCTATGAGATTAGTTTTCCAAAGGAATTAGAAAGCTATTAAAAAAAATTGACTTAGAGGAAGATGAAGAAAATAATGAAATTCAAGAAATTGGAAGAAGTCTTGGATGTCGATAAGGTGGAAGTCAAGGAAGACGAATTAGTTGAAGAAGATGACCATCTCACAGAGAAGACAATCTATGACATACATAATTTAACTGAAACTTTGATCACTAAGGCTTAATAGAGCAATATTGAGAAGTTGTATTAGGTGCAGCAAGAGTTGTTGGAGTACTAAAAATTGCATTAAGAAATAAGGAATAAAATATATGAAGAGTAAATATAAAAATAATAAATATGAATTTTTATAATAATCAAGTAAAACAGGTATCAGAGGAGATCAGAAACAATCCTAACAACAAATTTCTCATGCAGTATAGATTGAAGAATGTTGAAAAAAGTGGAGCATCCAAAATGAGTGCATTGGAATTAGCAACTCAAATTGAGAAACAAATTCAATAAAAATTTGATGATGTCCAATTACTAAGGGTTGATGTAAATGAGCAACAGGAATTCATTATTACTTCTGTATATGAAAACAATGACCAAAACAATAAGTATAATAGATTTATGGATGTCTAATTTTTGAAGGACATACTTTAAGTGGAAGAATTGCTGTAGGATGAAGAAGATGAAGATTACGAGGATATCGATAATGAAGTTGTGACGGATTACAAGTTTTAGCAATTAAAACAAGCAATCGATTGCTTCTTTGAATTCTCCAAAGACTTAGATTAGGTCAAATAGATGCAATTAGAAAACAAGTTTAAATCTATCATAGGCAACACTGCAAATAAAGAACAAAAATTACAGATTAAGATTCTCGTCTAATGCAAGGGCAGTCAAGTGGTTCATTTGCATTAAGAAAAACTATTTTTAAATGGCCCCGAAAAAGATCCTGCTTTTATTGACTTAATCTCGTAGAATCACTTTGTCAATCCTGATATTACTAATATGATGAATTCAAATTTGATTAAAGTTTAGAGTTTCTCAATAGGAATGCTTCAATTTATTTAGGAGTAATAGTAGTTGCAACTTCAATAGTTCTTTACTTCTGCCCAATTCTAGAGGTAAATGAGTATGCCCTATTAAATTTACATCAAAGAAACCAAAGGAAATGAAAAATGCCTTTAATTAATACTAGGATTCATGCATCAATTTTCAATCAGAATAGACATTGATCTGACTCTCTGTTAAACTGTATATCAACAAGATTAAATGAGTTTCTACTTTAAAATGCTATCTCCTCCTTCTTGTTATGCAGCTTATCATGGTAAATGGAAGTATGAGAATAATTTAATAAAGTCTCAATTTGTTAAAGTCGATAACATTTTTTTAAATCATCTGGTTATATCGGAAAAGATTAATGAAATTTAGAGATTACTGTTCCTCAACAATACAACGATATTGGTCAAACTTGATTAAAATTCTGACTATTTTAGATAAAAATTATAGAGTTTCCACGTTATAAATGCAATTGACTATCCTGTTGCCCACATTAAACTTTAAAATGACATATCTTATTCTAGATTGATGAATAGTAAGTATTTGAATTTTTCTTTGCGATTCAATATACTTGCTGCCATTAGCTAGAACAAACTTAATAAATAAAAATCGATATAGGAATTGATAGAGACTTGTGAATCAGGATATAAAAAGCTTTCTGAGAAATAGACTTAGGATTTAAATGGAATTTTTGAATAAACATTTAATACATTTTGTAAGGTAACATCAAACCTCTCACTTATTGATGAGAAGGAAACTGAAAAAAAAAATGAGAATCATTTGAGATACTTTAAGAATGTGTTCAAGAGAACCTAACAAGATTTTATTGAATTACGGGATCCAACGATGAGATTGGTATACACAAGAAGAGTGTCAATGACTCCATCGGGAATCTTATATTTTAATAAATAGCCCGAAGTCACTAGTGGCATTCTGAGATAGCATTATAATATTGTTGAGTATTTCTTAAGAGTCCATTATGAGGATGAGAATCAAGATATGGTGTTGAATATCCCCTATATCACTTAAACTTACTACTATAATTTCATGTTCCCCACCTTAAAAATCTTAGGTCAGCACTTTGAACTATTTACATGGAGTTCATCGTCATTAAGAGCTGGAACATGTTGGTTTATCGATTTCAATGGAGCAGGCAAACAGAGGACTGATATCATAAAATCTATAGGCAACTTCACAAATTTGAAATATGATGAAATTGCCAAAAATGCAGCTCGATTGGGATAGAATCTTAGTACAAGTATTAGTGTGGATTGTGTTGGTGGAATTAACATTCTAATAAAGGATGATCTAGTGGATAAAAATAATAAATTGTACACTGATGGTATAGGTAAGATTTCTTAAGATTTAATTGATCAGATCAGATAAAAAATGAGAGTGAATTCTAAAATTAAAATATCAGCCATTTAGATTAGATATGAAGGAGCCAAGGGTCTATTGGTTTTGGATGAAAGTCTTGAATAAAAAACAATTGTGTTAAGGAGGTCTATGATTAAATATAATCCTGCCAAGGGATATCCCAACAAAATTCAAATCTTGGACTTCAATAAATTCAGAGGGGGATATTTGAATAGACAGATCATAATTCTATTGTTGACACTCTAGGTCAATGAGAAAGCCTTTCAAGAACTTTAAGATGGTAATAAGTATTTCTATTAATGTAGAGTATTTGAAGAAAATTGAGGATTTATAAATGAAAGATGCTTCCATTTACAAATACTTTAGTGTAGATTATTGTGATGAATAAATTGATCTACCCAATATAATGGATGCTTTGAGAGCCTATATCAACATTGGAATGGAGGACAATATATTGTGTTAAGGAGTATTGTCAAAATTAAAATAAAGAGGGTTATTGTAGCTAAGGAAAAAAACATCGATACTTGTGGAGAAAGCAGCAAGAGTCTTAGGAGTCATAGATGAGCATAATTTATTACAACCAAACGAAATTTATTGTTTAGTTTAGGATGAAAATAATGATACTTAAGTTGAACCAGAGAACATCTAAGGGGAAGTGCTTGTCACTAGAAATCCTTGTTTGCATCCAGGAGATATTAAAAAACTCAATGCTATTTCAACACAAGAGATATTAAAGAGAAATGGTAGTAAGAATCCATATAGTCAATTGATTAATTGTTTAGTATTTCCAGCCTGTGGAAATTCGCTTCCTTGTTAGATTGCAGGAGGGGATCTAGATGGAGATTTATATTTTATTTGTTGGGATAATAGATTATTGCCTCCAGTACAAGCTAAATCTATGGTTTATGATAATAAGAAACCAAATTAAGTTTAATACAAGAAGATTGATTTTCGAGAAAACAATTAAAGGTTTCATGAAAATGTCGATAAGAATTTCGATACGAAAAATATGTTTGATTTTCTTTATTTCTATCTTAATTCTGAGACTCTAGGTTTGATTGACAATTCGCATTTAGCATGGGCTGACAAATCTGATAAGAAGGCCAATGATCCCAATTGTCTAGAATTGGCCGAATTGCATTCAGATGCAGTCGATTTTGTGAAAACTGGAAAATAAGTCTTTTTAGATGTTAAACTTCTCTCCAAGAGTACAATAATTATATATTCTCTTAGTTTTCCCTGATTATATGGAAAAGGAGCAATCAGTCACTTATGAATCACAAACTATAATAGGGAAATTGTATAGATAAGTAGCATAAATGGGGATTTAATAAGACAACTCATTGAGTTAAGGATTGGGATTTAAATAAAATAATTTACCAAAAATTGAATACAAATTATTGTATAATTTTGATAAATTAATTGCTGTTTGCAAATAGATTAAATAAGATTGCAAAATTACAATCAACTTGGAAGAAAAAAAGAAAGAATAAAATGAATTACAACAAGAAGTTTAAGAAGAAGTGATAATTGAGGAACTCATTCAATTAATTTAGAAATACATTGATGATAACTTTAAAAGACATTTGGATTCTGCTCTCAAATTGATTCTCCTTATCTTCGAATCCATATTTGGGATTACTTAAACATTTGCCGTAAAAAGTGAGTTTGAAATTTACAGTGGTAACTTTAGTAGCTTACAAAAAGGGGATGGATTATATTAGAAAGTATTTTATGTTGTTATTACAATAGAAAAAACTGAATGTTGAAAAATACTAAAAACGTATCATTGCTTTAATTGGTCAATTACATTAAGAGGTTGAAAGGAAATTGCAGGCACTCTCTGAAATAGAAAGATTACAAAGAATTTCATTAATCAATTTCATTTTAACATACTCTCCAAACTCTCATCCTTATCCTACCTATACTATATTGGGAGAGTTTATTTCGCAATTGATGAAATAGATAGAGTGTTTTGATGCATGGAAATAGTTGTTGAATATTCATTCAATATGGTACAGGGGAGTTGGTTAATATCTGTTTTGGAAGGACTTATAGAAGATATTTAAGAGTGACGAAGAGGAGCTTATTTGATTAGGTTTATCAAGTATTTAGTATTGCATTATTTTGAATTAAAAAATGTTATAAATAATAATTAAATTATTATATTATAGAATTATACAATTAGATTGAGAATGAAAACCCCATTTTGTGTAAGACTGTAGATTTTAGGGATTCAGCCAAATGATGAAGTGGAATATTTTGAGAATCCAGATGCTTTTGAGAATAGTTAAAAAGTGTTTCCTTTGAATAACAATGGACAAATTTATGGCATTTATGTGAGGAGATTAGAATACTATATTAAAAAGAATTATGTTCAAGAAGGAAAGATTGTTAAAGGGAGATTAATTTACAGTAAATGAATAATTAATTTCATAGCATTTTACAATTACATTACCTAATAATTTGTGGATATATTCGATTTGTTGTGTATGGAAAATACTTTCATTAAGTTGGATGGACAATTTTGGTTCAAAGATGAAAATGCACTCTAGCCATTGATTATTAGATTGAGAGTGCAAATTCATTATTAAGAATATCAGAGATTTTAACACTTTTTAGAGAACATCGAGCTAGAGAAAAAGAACTTATACAATAGCATTGAAAAGGCAAAGGCTGAGTTAACTATTAACTATGACAATTTGAATAACTTTAAAATGAGAGTAAATTAACTTAAGTAATGTTATCAAATACAACCCTAATATCCAGAAATTGATATTGCCATCCTATATAGTCACCCTTTGGTAAATCAAAATTAGAAGCGTGTCAACCCAGTGTAATACTACGATGACATATCCAATTTCAAAAAGAGAATATCTGCTCTTAACAAAAAGGTTACATATCTAATTACTCAAGCCACTAAAGAAAACTTGAGATGGGTTCTTAAGTATAATCCGAAAATCATCCACATTATTGCTCACGGAGAAAATGATACAAACTAACTAAATTAATACTTACAATTTGAGAATAATTGCACAGATGATTTCGTCTATAGAGAAGATTTATAATTGATTATGAAGGATTCTAAAAAGTCATTAGTATTTCTGGCTTGTTGTTATGCTGGTGAAATAGCTAAGAATATCTAATAATATGCGACAACTATAGCAGTGGACAAGGAACTAAAAATGTTGGATGATGCAGGCATTTTGTATTTCTCATCCCTGTATGAGAATTTGTTAGAAAAGAAAACGCTATAGGAAAGTCATGAGGAGGCTAAAAAAAAGGTTGAAGTTGAACTTGGAGAAAAGAACTATCAATGTTGTCATTCTCATTCTCATAGATAGACTTGCAAAGACGTCTTTGGGAAAACTAATGACTTGTGCTTCGGGGACAAAACTTAGTGTGAATGCAAAAAGAAATCAGCCAATTTAATTAAAGATAGATTATCACATTTGTGGGGTCCAGATCCAAAGGACTAATGTAAAGAAGTCTGTGAAGTCATTTTACAATAGATTAAAGACCAATCATAAAGAGAACTTGTTAAAATGAAATTGGATGAATTCGCAGAAGATGGAGTTCTAAGAGTTTGTTGTTGTGAATTGGCAGAGAAACTCATGGATGATAGTTTCACTTTCATTTAACACACCGAATCAGAGAAATTTCAAATATTTTCATAGAGTTCTAGTTAATCTTAAATATTTAATCAAGTTGAAGATGGAAATCTCATTGAACTTAATTAACTCTCTTGGGAAGAATAATATTTCATTGCTTGGAAGAGGGATGCTAAAACTATATTTCATAAATTGTCTGAGATCTTCTACACCAACAAGAGATAAATTCTCAAAATATGTGCTGGCCATTCAAAAGGAGAAATGCATGTGGTTAAATTTGCACATCAAGTTTCAAAGTATTTTAAAGTAAAAATATTAATCTATATAATAGTTTAGGAAATTGAAATTTTACAAAAGGAATGAGATTGATGATATTCAAATAATTCAAGATCCTATAGAAAATATCTAATAATTATTGAAAAGATCATATGAGGCAAGGATGAGTTACATCTTTATTATTCATAAAATAAATAAAGAACTATTTTTGAAAAGCAAAGACTAATTGGCATAATTAAATCAAAAGGGAACTGTAATCTTAATCTCAAATTCAGAATTAATTGAATTAGAATTAGATTCCAATTATTATAAAATAATGTTAAAAGATTGGGAGAATCTGAGTGAGAAAAAAGAAAAATGTGATTTTTTCAAAATTATTAATGAATATGGTGAAGAAATAAGGGACAAGATTTTAGAAGAGTTGGGAGAAAATAATTTAAAAAAATTAAAATACAATGATTTACTAGATGAAATAGAAAATTTCCTCAACAAATAACAAGAATAAATAGTTTAGAATTGATATCAATTAACATTGTATAAATTTTAATAACTAAAAAACATGTATTGATTTAAATATAAACAAACTCATCTTAATCAATTAGGTTGACTATATACAATTCTTAACCCCTCATAAAGTCCTTGTACTCTTCTTTTACTCAAAGAGTTCCAACATTGCTTTAACTAAGCCAGCCTCTTGATTGAATCATCATCTTTCTTTCTTTTTTGTTATTCTTACAATTCATACATTTCATTGAGAAAGGATTTTTCAAAATCATTCTTTCTAATCCTCTCATTAGTTGTTAGATCCTTTCTAATCATATTTAGATGATACAAGAAAAATGCTGTTAGGGTGACAAAAAAAATTAGACAAACAAAGATTATGAAAACAAAGAAGGTCTCTCTATTAGTGATGACAGTGAACACTCTAAAGAAAGTTGCAGGATGGATTTCTCCAGTTACTGCATTTTTATAAGTAAGTTTAAATAATTATTGCTTCTACGCTATTCCAAACAAACAAAGTATCCCAGCTACTACTCCATAAAGACTTAAGAATATGTGAGTGAATAAAAAGAGTAAGAAATACTTGTAGTTCTTCTAACCTATACACTGTCTCACCCAAATACAATGATGATCAAATCTACTAACACAAACATTACAAATGCGACAATGCTTGCTTCTTGCTGGTTTGATTATGTTGCATGTTGAACATGAGGTATTTTATTTATATTAAACTTCGTCATAGTATTATTCAAATTGCTTCACATATTCATCATTATTTTCTTTAGTTATTATTCCTGGACTGGTTGTGCATGTCCTATAAAAAAAGTAATTGCAAAATATAAATATCAGACTACCACACACTGAATGTATGTGACTTACATAAGGAGTATTTCCAAAGTGCTTTAGTAATCCAAATTTACCATACAAACCAAATGCCACCCAGAATATTAAAAAATAAGAAATCTATCCTAAACGATTATTCGTGTAGAAAACATAATTGTAAAATTGTTAAAGTTTAACAAATATTTTGTCTCCCAATAGTTTTCTAATTAATGATTTTAAATATACTTTGTAATGGAAGGTCCATTTGCATATATTTTCCTTCTTATCATTCCCATAGGAGTTTTGGAATTCGAGTCAGTACATACTAACATATACATAAAAGAGCCTGTGGTTAATGCAAATAAAATGAAAAGCAATATTCCTTCCATCAAATAAATTTATTGGATTATAATATAAATAATAAATAAAACTTCAAATGAAAAGTAATTGTCAAATGAAATATCATTAGATTATTCAGATCTATTCATGAACTAAGCTAAAGGAGTAGCAGAAGAAGATAAAATATTAGAATTATTGAATTCAATCTAAGATCAAATATTTACATAAATCTCCAATGATGTGAATCATAAATTAATCAAAGAATTACAAAAAACTGCCAATCTAGCATAAACTACCCAATAGCCTGAATTTCTCAGAGTCACTCCTAATGTTGACTCTGATTATATGCATTCCCATATCAACTTTGCGAAGACCATCTAATAAAACCAACCTATGGATAGATAAAAATTTGAATAATTTGAGAATAAGGAAGTAGTTAACTTTCCAATTTACCAACAAAACTTCTTAGATGTCAATGCCAATACAAAGTTCTACTATCCCAAGACTCAACCCAAGGGTTTAATTGAAACTCCTAAATAATATGTAGATTAAACTAATGTTCAGAACTACCTTATAAATCAAACCAAAATTTATGATTTCAACCAACCTGAAATTAAAGTATCCCATTTATTCATTCAAGCAAATATTTCCCAGAACTCTAGTCGACAATATGATACCCACACACCCTGAACCTGATTACATAAAATAATAGGAATCAAAATTTAATTTCTCCTCCTAAATCAATTAAATGGGCGGTCTTATCAACTCCATAGGACGTATTCCTAATCTCTTATCATCATAGCTATGAATCAGTCCTTAAAGCAAAACGAACAAAGATAGTTCTTAAACACCCCCGAACATTCCCTTTTAACAGGAGCTCTTTAGGAGAAGGTTAATCATGTTCCTCCTCCTTTTGTTCCAGTGCCTGCCCCACCACCTCCAGATCCTTTTCTTACTAATCCCCAATATCGACTTTATGGAGTCCAATAAGAGGCGCCTCAATTTAATGTGCAAAGTTACATTCCCGAGAAATCTTAAACCCAACCTAGTAAATTTGCTGGAAATTCCAATATTCAACAAGTTCCCATAGAAAAACAAGAGCACCATGAAATTAGTAGGGTTCAATCAAAAGTACAGGATGATCTAAAGCTTAACTTTTTGGATAGAGCAAGGTAAGAGAGAAAAAGGAGAGAAGAAAAATTGATCTAGTGATTATCATATGTTTTTAACTAGAATATATTTTGTTATTTGCAATTGTATTTAGTAACTAAATAGAATTCTCTCAACAAAATACTTCTATATATAAACATCATAAAATTATTTACTATCCATAAAAGGTAAGTAATCAATAAAATTTCTTAAGATTCATCTCTGTTCTATAAAGAAACAAACACAAAAACCTATAATTCATTCTGCATATTGATGAACCTTAATCAACTTATTCCATATATAATCAAAAATACAAAATAGTATAAAATAGACTATAAATTAATTATAATATTTCTAAATGTAATTTTATAAGAAAAATAAAAAAAAATTTAAAGAAAAAAATGAATAGTTTTTGTTAAATACATGGAAATTAATTGATAACTCATATATGTACCTTTAATCATGATTGTTAAAAACGAATGTGTCCAGATTGTTAATATGATCATTAAAAAATTGTTCCTGGATAGAAAATTATTCCAATTACCAAATTTATTGAAGAGATGAATTCTACTATATTTGAATATGATTCTACGACTGAAGATATTATTGAAAAGAAAATAAAAATAAATTTTGAAACAATTTTGGTTGATATATTGAATTTGTCACAGAAAGCCCAAGATAATATTAGGAAAATTTTTGAGGAAATAAGATAAAGAGATGATTCTTATTTAAAATTATTTGGCGAGCATCCGCTTGAAATGTCTTTGAAGGATCTGAAAAAATTAACAAATATTCGGCATAATCAAATTTTTGAGAAGTGGAAAAATTAAAAGAAAATCCTTCTCTAAATGGTTGAAAATAATGTAAATTCGATTTATAATTCCATTGGGAATATTACTATGACTTTGGAGAATCAAATCAATCAATGGATTGAAGAAAAATCAACAAATATTGATCATGATTCTCCATTTTCATATGAATCATTACAATTCCCTTTGTATTTTGGAATAAGACATGGATAGACTTCCTCTAAAAGATTAGGTGTATTTGAGGAGGTAAATAGATTTAATAATTCAATAGTATGGATAAATCAAATTAAATGAAAATATGAACATTATAAATTAAAAAGGATTTGTTTTAAATTAATAAAAATTGAAACTTACAGAATTCTCAACTAAAATATTATAAGATTCTGGATATTTATAATATTTGAGAGATGGAGTTGTCTTGAAAACGTAAAAACTCTTATTATATTTTAGAGAGAGGATTTCTGATATTAATTAATCCCTTCAAATCATAAAAAATTTAGAATAGGTTTAGCATCTCAGATGGGAAGGTTCACATGGATAATAGTTGTAGAAGGTTGGCTTATGGAGTGCTTTTTGGTAGGGCAAAAAATTAGATATCGGAGGAAGATATAATGAGGATGGATAAAAAATAGATTAATGGATTGAATTGTCAAATATCTATCAGAGGTAAAAAATAAATATAATTAACTATCCATTAGCTAATGCTAAGTTACTGAAACAGGAAAATATTAAAATGGAAGGAAAAAAGGGTATTGGCATACCATATATAAAGGCTAATTAATGTAACTATATTTAAATACAATATTAGAGGAGGGGGATAGTATGATGAAAAGTAGGAAAATAAGGTCGGTTAATGGAAAGAAATTCACTTAAATTTTAATAAGTTTAACTATATCATTCACCTGTAGCTAATGCCAAATATTTTATGAAGGAGAGTATATAAATGGACAAAAATCTGGTTAATGGGAAATTTATTTTAAAGATGATTCCTCTTTTGAATACAAGAGAATGTAGATAACTAAATAATTTTATATAGAGGAGGTGGGGTTTACGACAATTAAAATTATTGGAAGCAGGGCTAATGGGATGAGCTTTACAATTAATATTAAGAGTAGGAAGTTTTGACATTCTATCCTTATTAGTTCTTTGGAATTTATCTAAACAGGTGTTTATCAAAGAGGATAGAGAGAAGGAAAATGGGATATTTATCATAGCATGGATTTATTATCGTCTTAACAAAAATAAATAAGAGGAGGTGGATACTATGCATAATCTTAGAAAATTGGAAAATGGAATGAGCCTATCACAAACTATTTTCTTTCTTCATTCTTAAAGTTAAATTACTTGTGAAGGTAGTTACCAAAATGGATAAAGAGTTGGTTACTGGGCTATATAATTAATGGATCAAAAGATGTATCTCTCATATTTTTATCACTAGAGGAGGAGGATTGTATGATTAAAATGGGTTAAAAATTAAAAGTTGGACTGAAATACATGAGAGATATAGGAGGTAATCGCACCATAACTTTAGATGCCACTAAATAAACTTCATTGGAGAATATTAAGATGGGAAAAAAATAGGTGTTTGGAAAATACAAAATAATAATGACTAAATGTATCCAAATAGTTTCATTTAATAGAGGAGGAGGATCATATGAAGATGGTTTGAAATCTGGAGAATGGATAGAAATTCATGACAATTTTTAAGAGTAAATTAACTTATTATTTTAAGCAATTTTAAGATAATTATAGAGGGCGAATATGATATGGGAAAAAAAGCTGGAACTTGGACATCAAAAATAAGATAACCATCGTCATAACAATAATCAATTATAATGTAAATGAATGAATAGATAGTTTAGTGGTGGGGGAAATTATAATGATGGATTGAAGACAGGAGAATGGACTGAGTTGGATTAAAATTATGAAAAGTAATGGAATTTTACTAAAGGGAAGAATCAATTAAATCACCTATTAAGGAATATATCAAGAAGGGAAAAAAGTTTAAATTTGGGATATAAAAACAAATAATATTAGAATGTAAGTAATTTATTGATTCAAGTGGGGGAGGCACATATCTATATACAGGTGAAAAAGATGGAGAATGGATTGAGTTAGATGATAATTTTAGAAAGTATTATTTCCTATAGCTAAATTGTTGAGTCTTTGTTAAGTCATCAATAAAGGCGAGTATTAAAATGGGAAGAAAGTTGGAAACTGAGAAATTTAATTAAGAGAGGAAATTAAGAAATATAACTAAACGATCGTGAAGATGTATTTTTAATGTCATATAAATTTAGAGGAGGAGGAGAGTATGATGATTAAGGGAGTTAAACAAAGAAGTGGATTGAATTATATTAAAATTTTTGGAAGTAGAGTGTATTAATAAATAATAGGGATTGTCGAGTTATATTTTAAGGAAAATATTAGGATGGGAAAAAAGAAGGAAAATGGGAGAGTTTGTTTTAATCGGATTCAAATCATGATTATGCTCTTTTGTAAAATATAAGATAAATTAATTAGCGGAGGAGGTTTATATAATAGAGGTTTGAAGCATGGTCCATGGATTGAATTTTAAGAAAAGTTTATGAGGTACTATATATAGGATAACATTGAGCCCTCAATAACACCTAATAGTTTCAAAATACGATAATGGAAAAGGAATAAATTAAAAATAACATTAATGAGAGTCTATAATCTATATTTATGATTTAAATATTGCAAACTAATATTATGTTATTAGTTAAAGTTTGTGACTAAAAATCATACATTTAAAACCTATTACTGATTATTGATTATATAGAACAATATAATAGTTATTATGAAGAAGATTGTTCATTAATATTTAAAAGTTTATGCAATAAGATCCAGCCTAAAAAGCGATTTGCTATGAGTTGTTGCCTAACAGTTTTATAAAGTAAAAAAGTTATTGTCGCACTATTGCAATTAACAACGATAATAGTCTTCTACTTGTGGGCAGTTAATCCATTATAAAGGTGTACCAGTTCAAATAAGGAGTGACCAAATTCATACAATATTTGCATAAACATTCCAAAGCAGCAACCACACTCAACTTTTTTAGCCAAGGAAATTTCTTTTCAGGATCAGATGATGGTTAAATTATCATGTGGTCAACCAATTTAATTTCAAAAGCAAAATACTTACAATCCTTGTAAAATCATTCCAAAAGTATACTTTGCGTGGCACTCAACAATTAAGAAAATTTAATTGTCTCAGGTAGTTATGATACTACAATAAAGTTTTGGAATTCTCCATTCTAAAATCTAAAATAATGGTGCTGTTCTGAAACCATTTCAGTCCATACCCAACCTGTATATGGATTAAGCATGAATGAATAAAATAAATTGATTTCCTGTGGATTTGATTGTTTACTATTGGTTATACAGCTTTAAGAGGATACAAAATGGATAATTAAATAGAAAATTAAGGTCGAATTGTGGGGTTATAGAGTGTGCTTCATCAATAATGAAATATTTACATTTTAATCCTCTCTATAAACTCACCTTTGCATATTTTAATTAGATAAAACAACAAAAACTTACATAAACTCCTATAATCTGGCTGTTAAAGGTGGAGGCTAATTGTGTTCCTCTCTTTTTCCTTCCATATTCAACAGTTAAAAAAGTGTTATAATGAACAAGAATGGAGCGCATGTAAATTTGATAAAATTAAATAAAAACAAAAACAGGCTAGGAAATGAAGAATGTGTATTAAAGTTAGAACAATCAATCAATTTCGGAACTGACATGTATGACATAGCAAATATTTTTGGAACAATGAGTAAAGATGGTAATTTCTTAGTAACTTGGGATGCAAATACAGAAAAAATTTAAATCAGAGTTTTTAAAGGCTAATGAAAAATATATAGGAAACAAAAATGATTGAGAAATTTTATTCTTTTTACTCTTACGATTCAATAATTCTAATTTTTTGATATTACTTGATGTAAACGTTTTAATTAAATGTATCTAAACTAATAAACTATCTTATTTAATTCTCAAAAAGATATCTAGTATTTAGTTTTTGATTTATATGATTTAATAACTCTAGTGATTTTTTATTTTTTTAATTCCTTAAACATGATTAATAATATTTGATAATATTTAATATCCATTAATTTATTCTCAAGATGGGTGAGTGTTTAGGTTCGAAATTTATTGAAATGATTTGGTAAAACTATTCAATCTTATTCAATTATTTGATTAATCATATAACAAAAATAGATCTATGAGTTTGTGAAAAGTAGTTATTTTTTATAATTTTTATCACTTTTCATTAAGAGAATAGTCAATAACTTTAAATTTTAAATAATAAAATATTCCAATCCAACGATTATTATGAATGATCATTTTCATATGCGGAAATAGGAAGTTATTAAAATAATATGATTAATTGTTTCAAAATTTTTTTAGATTATCTTGCAAAATATAAATTATGATTATTTTATCAAAATAATTTAATTTATATATTCAAACAGTTTCTATAAAATTTCTAATATTTTAATTTGAACAAACATATTATCTACTTATGGTACTTAATAAATTGAATAATCTTTATTAGATACTTTAATTATGCTTAAAACAATTATAAGATTCACAAAAATATAATTAATCAATATATAATTTGGAATTATATCATTTCTTAATCTGACTCTTGTCCTTAAAAATTTTTATTTAGGTTCTATTAGATAGATCTCAATTTATTCCTTTTATTAGACTTTGAATCATTAATTGGAGTAATTAAAATTTATGAAAAAAGAGGCTTTTACTGGGATTAATGAATACAATTTATACATTAATTAATATAATGGACCCATCCGAGTCCAATCATTTTTTAAAACCTAGACACCCATCGTAACCATTACAACACTTTACAATATATGCATTAATTACCTTATTCCCAATACATTTGTAGATACTGCATTACGATTAGTTCTCATAGTTATTTTACATCATGAATGATATAAAGTAACTGCAATATTAACTATATTTCTAATCCATTGGATCCCCAAATAGAAATACTTGAAACAGTTTAATTATAAATTTTATCTTCTAAAAGTAACTAAAAATTTTCATTATTCCATGAATCAATTTACTAATTATCTATAAAATTTTTCTACACCAAACGAATAATTAAATTATGTTAATCATTTTCTGAACAATATCAACAACCCTAAGGACTTTTTACTACAAACAAATTAAAGTCTCTCAATCGTAAACTCACCTTAATTTATGTTTATTTTTTTCTTAAAAGGGAGCTTCGTCTTGGTTTTAGTCATTATTAACACTAATGATTCTGAATTATGATTCATTATAAATGTAACAATTCAATAACCACAATGTAAGCCCTTTCCGACCCGCATAATAAGATCCCATCCTACAATTGATAACTTTTTGACTATAATATATCATCTATAATCCCTTAGATAAATTCACCATTAAAGGTATCAATTCTGCTTTCTATTTGAAAAAATACTTCCTAAATTTGAAATTTATATTGATTTTATAATGAGACCTTAAGGAACAAAGCCTAGGTATTATTGTATTAGTTCCAAATACCTCAAATCCTCCAACAAACTAAAACCCTTAAAATTTGAAAATAAATTCCCATGATAATTATTATTTACAATCCATCCTATAAAATTGAATATGAAAATAATCTGATCCATCCAACGTTTTAAGATCTTGACAATATTGGTATATAGTATCCCACTATTCTCATGTCTTATTATGTTTCATAAATTTTAAATATAATTAATTATCTCACATTAATTTTGTTGCTTCTTAATTTTTTGGTTGAATCAAATTATCAAGGAAAAAACAACATTACAATATTGATTTATAAAAAAGATCATAAAATTTTCTTATTGAAATTATAAATCATCTAATTTTTGTAAATTGCTCTAAAAACTATTAATGATATGCTGTAATATATTTTGATGGCTGATATAAAATTAAAGTTAGGAGATTTATTTTTTACTAATTCAAATCAATTAAAATTAAAATAACATCACAATAATTATCAGATTTATTATATCTATTTTTAGGCCTGGAGCTTCAACTACTCACAGAATCAAAAGTGAAAAAAATTATGATTAATGTGAGTGCATTTACAGAGTAGGGCCAATTATCCTTAAAGTCAATTTAGATAGAGTTTGAAATTTATTGTTATGTACTTTCTTATGTATATTTATAAATAAATACTTTTTATATATTTTATAAAAGGATTTTTGAATTGTATCTAACTTCTTGAATAATTTTTAAGATTTGATAAATTTTTTTCTTCTGTTGTTCTAATACTGTTACCTTAGTATGAATATTCCTTTCTAAGTTTGGAAACTTAAATTCCAAAATCTCAAGGCTATTTTCAAACTATTGTTCTCTTTCTTTGATAGCTAACCATCTTATATTCAATTTGTAATCTTCTAATACTTATTTTTAATTATAATATCTTCTGTAATTAATCACTGACATCTTCAATATACCCTATTTGAGAAGAATCTTAATTTATTGAATGGATTCGCTAAAAGTTGGCTACTTCAAAAATTAAAGAGATCAAAAACATAATGAGTTGCATTTCTTATTATTTTAAATAATTATTAATGTTTAACCAAATTGATTTACTGCTTTTAAAAGCGTTATACATTTATTGTGTGAATCTTTTATCATTCTAAAAATTAATTGACTTTGATTAGTAGGTGAGAGATTAGATGGATTAATAAACTCAAAATAGGGAGATAAGATTATAAGATATCAAAAGAGTGAATTAGAGGGTGAAGAAGATAAAATATGTAGAGATTGAAATAACTTATAATTCAGTATATTCCATCCAGTTATAAAACATAAAGTTGTAACTTTCTCCCCCTTTATAATCAAATTTGCAATAATAAATATAAACACAAATATATGTAACAAAAATTAGAAATTATAAATTTCTTCCTTGTTTTTCATTCTTATTAAAATCTCTCATACATAAAAAATTCTACCAATAAATTAAAAAATTAATATATGGAATAATAATAAGCTAGTCTAATTCTAACAAAATTTCTTCATTTGTAGTAATAATTGGGAATGAAAGATAATTTTAAAGATTAGATCAGATAAGAAATTTCAACAATCTTCTTAGTCAAAAACAGAATTTGATTCAAATAGCATAAAAAAAGAATAGAAAATATATTAGTAAGACTTATTTTGATTTCTAGAACTTATTGCTACTTATTTTAAAGTTGTGCCATCCAACATTAAATTTTCATTCAAAAACCTATCTAATCATAATTGTTTAATTAATTTGACTTTACATTATTAAAATAATCACAATAATAAGCATAGAATTGCTAATAATAAAAACACGTATATATTGTAATAAGCTAATAATTTAACGAATTTTACATGTTGGTGTAATGACATAAGAATCAATCTTATAAAGAAGTAAAGTGCAAAATAACAAATAAATTTATCAAAGTATAAAGTTGTTAGTAAAAACCATATGAAAATGTTAAATAAGTGGGGACGAAGCTATTTTAATATGTTTCAGAGAAAAAAATGGAGATACATAATAAGGAGATATATAGATTTGAACATATAGAAAGTATTTGGTTTAATTTCTAAGAGTTCAACATACAAGCTATTGTAATTACCTTCCTTTAAAGGAACTGAAGTTTTGGATTATAAAAGGTGATTTCAAAAGATGAAGTGATTACAAAAGTCTGCATAATCGCTTATATCAAGCAAATAAACTAAGAACCAAGGTTTATCTTAAGATAACAAATTGGAAACTAAAAATTTATTTTAGCTTACTTAAGTCCATTCCTCTAAACTAGAGTTTTTTCAGATATTTAAATTGTGATTAATTTAGACTTATCTTTGTTTTTAAAGAGCCCGCTGTTTAACTACCTCGAACTGATATTTGGCAAATAGCTACATATTATATTTGTAATAATCTAAATTTAATATCTTGATTTTCGTCCTTTTTAAGGGACTATAAATAGTATTATTTAATTATTTTAATAATACAAGGGATTCAGAAAAATCAGTTATAAAGTTTTTTCTTCATCTACGCTACATGTAATTTCATATTTTATAATAATCTTGTATTCTGTTAATTGCTCACTACTTACCAATAACCATGGAGGAAGTTTCTTCCATCCCTTTCTAATGTTGAAATGTTAACCTTTTTATAAGGAGCAGAACATCTTTGAAGACTGTTACAGGGTTACTGTAAAGTCTCTAGCCTAAGTTTCGCTTTTATTTGCCTCTGAAATAGTAAATTTCATCCTTTTATTTTATTTAGATTTATAAGCAACCTTCATTTATTTACTATACATAATTGATTTTAATTAAAGGGCATTTGTTTATCAATTTGTTGAAATTGGTGTGTTTAAATATTTAATATTGAATCTTTGATCTCTTTACCATATATAATAATTAAATTGATTTAAAGATATATTTTGTGATCTAAGACAAGTTTATTTTATGATCTTATTGCATAAAATTTTAATTTAGAAATGTGTTTGCCTATTAAAACATTGAAGATTATTGCTTTTGTTTAAGTCTTTATTGCTTTTGGACTTTCTATATTGGCTTTTATTGGTGCATATTATATTTCAAAACTTTTGGGTAAAGTGGATGAATAACTATCGGGATTAGGAGTAGTAAGAAGATGTTCTAATTTCTTAGGGCTTCATCTCGTTGAAATTTTTATCAAGACCATTTTGGACCTTGGCTTTGGGAATCTTGGTAGTCGCAATATGTGGAATACTAGGGACTATAATGAAGAATAGGAAATATTTTTTAGTAATGTTCAACATGGGGAACTTATGCTTCTTTGTGACTTTCACCTTAGTAGGAGTTATAGCAATTATTGTTGGAGCTTTTATGGCATAGGATCAAACTTGCAGTCCATCAGATCCATAATATACAACAGTTCAAACAATGTACAATCAAGCTTAATTAAATCTGTGCAAAAGCCCTTGTGAATGTTACTATTCGAAGGATATCACTCCTTAAGCATCAACAGAAGTCTTAGTATATTCTAAAACTGATGAGAGCAAAGTACAATTTAAATGTAAAATATCTATTAGGCGATAAAAGCATAAGAATGCAGTTATTTTAATAGCGCTTTCTCTATGGATGCATCAGCTATTTAGTGGATGGAAGAAAAATTTGATTGTTCAGGTTGGTGCATAGAGTATCCAATTTAAATGTTTAATGACGTCAATTCAGATGTGAAAGATCAAAAGTACTGATTGAAATTATTCTAGATTCTCTTGCTATAAAGCATTAGGTAATTATTTTAAGAGGCTTTTTTCAATATCTGGAATAGTATTTATAATTATGGCATTTATTATGGGATTGATGTTTATATTTACATGTTGTTTGGGTTATCACCCAGAAAATTAGCACAAATTTGATAATTATAACAAGATTAGAAATTAAAGATGATGAGAAATCATGAAATATATGTTATATAAAGATGTTATCTAATAAAAGATTATTTAAATTAAAAAATAAATTTTATAATATAAATAGTTATCTTATATCTTATAAAATTTTTCATCCAAAACTATATTACAATTTACATTGGTATGCTTAAACATTTAGAATAAAAAATCTATAATACGTTCAAGAAAATAATCATAATCCAATTTTTTTATGAATATATACAATAAGTTATTGAGAATAAAATAATTCAATTTATTCTACGTATTTCCTTACAATGTTCGGACCAGGTTACTAAATATTCTCCATCATCACTTAAAGTACCAAAGTTGTAACTATCTTTAAAGTCTATTTCCTGAATTTTACACATTCTTCTTTCTTACCAGATTTTAACACTTTTATCACATTTATATTATTGTGATTTTTATTAATAAGGATATTTATTTTACTATTATAAATGAGAGGGAAATAATAATGCCATGAAAATATTCCACCAGTAACGGAAGTTTGCTGCTTATAGTAAATTATCTTTAATCAGTAAGAGTGTAGATAATTAAGTTTGAATTATTACATTATTCGGGTTGAAATACTAATATTTTATTATTTATAAAGCTTAAACGATAACCATATTAATCAACTTATATTTTAGTTCACAACCCAACTTACATTTGTATTTTTTTAACTTATTCAATAATTAAAATCATACAATCTAAACCACAAGAAATAACTCTGTCTTCTTCCTAACAGTAGGATAGTCCGCTTACAGAATCATTATGTTTAAACATTGATTATGAACATAAGATCTTTAAATTAATAGTTTTTCATATTAATTGTCTTAAATTTTCAAAAATTTTATATATATATGGATAGTGATTTTTAATAAACAAATAAATATCAAATGTTGTGAAACAATGATTCTGAATAATATGTTTTAAAATTATATAATCTTTACTTATAATATTTATTCTATATCATTTCTAATTTTAACATAAATAAATCCTGATTGTTTTTATTTGTAAAGTATAATATTTAAATCTGAACAGAGTTAACGCTTAAGATTATTTTTGCTCAACTTAGGTATAATTAATTTATCATTCTATGATTTCTGATTAATCTATTCAATAGCATTAAATTTTATAACTTAATTATATTAATATAAATCTTGCTGTAATACTTTAGAATTATCATTACATGATCCATTAATTATTGATATATTTTTTGTTGTAATTGGCTGAGAGATGATGAGGATATTATTAAAAAAGAATTAAAATGGAATGAAAAATTATTAAACCTTTATCAAAAAAATCATTGCATATTAATTCTTAAATTTAAATTAAAATCTTGATGAAACGCTTATTTATTCAATAAATTTGATGTTTAGAAATATTGATTTCTTGAGGAATAATTTGCATCTTTATATTAAATTTTTAGGATGATTAAAAAGTTATTCAGATCAATATTGTATTATAATAATTTTTAATCCCAAAAATATAAAATCCCTTTGAAGGAACAAAACACTTGATTTGGGTTTGTGATTTTCTTACTAATTCCTAAAATACTATTTTATTATTATATATTTCATAAAATCTCTTTTGAAGAGATGAGTATTTTAAAAAGCCTAGTTTTATTGCATTACATAACAAGATCTAAGACTGAAACCCTTTAATATCAAAATTTTTTTACAAGCATCACTTTAGGTAGCGATTTGATATACTAATTTAGATTGGTTTTAGAACTACTACTACAACTCAGGATGTACTTCAACAACTTGTAGTTCAAGTTCAATTTTTGGAGGTTATAACTGCTTTAACTATAACGTTTTCATAGTAAAGACCTTTGAGCTCCAACCACATTATAAACTAAGAATAAAATTTTTGTTTTGGAGGTTATATATTCAGATATATTGATAGAATTGACTTATGGTATGGAGACTATTTTAAAGTCTATATAGATAATATTGAAAAGCATAATTAAAATTATGATAATTCTACAAGTGTAACTAATCTCTGTGGAAATTCAACCTATTATGATGAGACTTTTTAACTGGATATAACTACTGATCATTCAAGCCCAACTGTTTAGATATTAATAACAGGATATAGATATTGGGGAATTTCCAAATTTCAATTATTCATAGAAAAATGTCCAGATGGTTGTGATTCTTGTGACCAGAATGGGTGCTATAATTAAATATTATATATTAAATATTTTACTGCTTTATCCCTCAATTATGCTAACTTTAATGAAGGATGGTTTTAGTATAATGGGCTAATGTATAATAGTATAGTTAATATAGGAGGTATTTCAAAATTTATATTAGATTATTGCATTTATTAATTTATGTCTTTGAATTCTACTAAAACAATATAACTACCAGCTCATGATGCTGTTAGCGTATCAATGAAGTTAGTAAGCTTCAATTAATATCACAAATTTGATATACTAATTGATGATCAGTTAGTAGTTGTTTCGAATCTTTAGAGGTAGGTAATAATTTATCCTAATTCTATTCATTCTTATTAAATCATAAGTCCGATTAAATATCCATTAATATTCCACATAAACAATAATTCAATTACTTTAACTATTACAATGAATTCTCAGTAAAGTTATAATTCATTATCTAATGGGGCTGGAATCAGAGATTTTTAATTATTTATTAGACCAACTTTAATTGATGATTCTTGCTTTGATAACAACATCTATCCTTTTGATGGGTGCTTTGCTGAGATTTATGATTGCATTGAAGGTTGTGTAAACTGTGTAAGAGGTGTATGTTTGGAATGTTAACAAGGATGGGAATTTTATGAATAAAATAAGAAGTGTTTACCGATATGTGGTGATACTCTTATTACATATTTTGAAGAAGTGTGATGATGGTAACACATATCCATATGACGGATGCCATTAATGTAAATACTCTTGTTAACAAGATTGCTTAATATGTTAATTTGGGTATTGTCTGAAATGGAAAACATCTTACTAAGACATTGAGAAGATTTCTTATAATAAATATTTGAAATTAAGACTTCCAATTACACAAAAAGATCTAAGTCATATTTAGTGTTAATATTTGTATGATTCATTAGAGTGCAATGAATATATAAATGAGTGGGCATGGTTATTTTTAAGTTGCAATTCTTAGTAGAAGATGAATGAAAAGAAAAAAACAATTAGCAAAAAGAAATGTGGAGATTTAATAATCACATGTGATGAGGAGTGTGATGATGGGAATAGAGTAGAGAATGATGGTTGTCATAATTGTAAATATTCGTGTCCATTGAATTGTCGTGAATGCCGATTTGGAATATGTAAATAATGTTTACCAAAATATGAACTAATATATGGGTAGTGTAAATATATTTGTGATGGTTTTGAGAGTTAAGAAGAATAAGAAAATAGAAGATGTTATAATAGAATAAACAATATGATTGAGAATGGGCATTACTAACATAATCTCTTTAATAACTAAAATTCTAAATTTAAATTAATAACTCCTCTAACTTGTAGCCTTTAAGATTTTGGAATTTTTGGATATTTTTATAACTAATGTAGAATAGCAGCGATAAAAAATTGTAAAGAAAGTATTTATAATAAATGTGTATAATGTGATGATAATTATGTATTGGAATATAATAGATTGGCCTGTACTCCAATTTGTAATGATGGGCTTATGATAGAAAAAGAAATATGTGATGATTAGAACAACATTTAATTTGACGGATGCTACAAATGCTAATAAAGTTGCTTATTGGAATGCTTAAATTGTGTTGAAAATAAATGTTATTAGTGTCTTGATGGTTGGCAGCTTATAGATTATGGTTGTTACCAATATTGTGGGGATGGTTAAGTAGCTTAATCTTCTATGGAACAATGTGATGATGGAAATTATGATAATGGAGACGGATGCTATTAATGTAAATTTGAGTGTGTTCCATATTGCAAATCCTGTGCTGATAGACACACTTGTTTGGTTTGCGAAAAGTACTTTGAATTGTCTAACGATTCTTGTAGACCAATATGTGGAGACGATAATATTGTAGGTGGATTAGAAGAATGTGAGGATGGAAATGATATTCCTTATGATGGTTGTTTTAATTGCCTGTTTTAGTGTGAAAAAGCATGCCAAATTTGTCGTTAAGGATCATGCATAGAGTGTATAGATGGGTATATAATTGCAAAGGATTACTGTGAAGTTAATAATTAAACATTTATTATAGATGATGATGAGGATGAAGTTGTCTAAAATCAATGTGCTGATGCTAAATATTCCAATAATGAAGAATGTGATGATGGGAATAAGATTGATGGCGATGGTTGTTCAAGCTCATGTCAGATCGAACCTTATTGGTTTTGTAATAATTACCCATATAAACCTAGTATTTGTTCTCCTAACACTATTATAAAATTATAATACCTTAATCAAACTTAATAAATTTAATACATTTAATTATACTTTTCAAATAAAGTTAAGTTAAATGAAACTATTTTAAATTTTACTGATAAAATTAAAACATCTATCCCTTCAATTGAACAAGACGCATATTCTATTACTATAATTCCTGTAGTTGAAATTGATTAGACTGTTCTACTTGATGTTAGCTATGAAATTTAAATTCAATTCTTAGAATCTATTACAGCAACAAATATTGTCTTAGCTGCCGAAATCGATGCTAATTTAGAAGACCAAAACCAAATGATGGTTAATACCTCAATCTAAACTATCAATTTACAATTACCCAAAATCTTGAACACAGATTAGTTGGAAACTGCCAATAATTTTCAAGCTCTTGGTACTTATATGATGATTGGATTAGCTAGCAGTAGTGTCTTCTTATTCTTTTTTGGAAATCCTAGTTAATGTTTGGAAATTTTAGATACTTTGCAATTTTAATCATATCTGAAATTCATAAATGTTCAATTTCCATAAAATATTCAAATATATTTTGAATCTTCAGAATTTGTAACTGTTAGTCCTACTTTGGCAAAGTTACAAATTCATGATTTTTTATAATAATTAATTGGATATGAATAATTAGACAGTATAGGTAAGTTTTTTGAATATCAATTAAACGCAGATTTGTTAGTCAATATTTATGGGTAATTAATTTAAGTAGGGTTCCTGAGTGTTTTGTATATTATTGTAAAATGCTATTAAAATATTATATATTCATATTGCTTTGGCATAAAATATATATATTATTTTAGACGAGTTAATAGTAGAATCATTCAATTTATTGGAATTAAACTTTATTACTTTAATAAATATATATGTAAAATAGGCGATATCTTTAATGCAGAAGGTTTAATTCAATTATTCCATGCTAATAGTTGGGATCTATTATTTAAAATTTTAATATATTTAGGTTCTACTCATTAGTTAGGATTAAGAGATATCATTTCTCATACTATCTCAATAGTTTATCTGATATCCATAATTATTATTTTAACCAAAAATTTCAGAAGTTAGAATCAATAAACTAGTTTAAAAGATTTAAGAATCACTTAGCATGAAGACATTATTTTACTCAAAAAAGTCCTTTTTTTAGTAATTCTTATAATTTTGCAAAGTTACCCTCTCATACAATGCTTGCTATTAACATGTGTATTATTTTGGTATCTTGGATCTATAATTAGTACTCCATTCACTGCAAATAAACTCGATTTATTGATCATTATTTGGATGGAAGGACCAGTAATGATCTTTACATTATCTTGTATAATTTATTGCTCTGACTTCTCAAAGTATTTTTCGACTGATCAATAAATAAATGCGGGGTTTATATAAATAAGTTTCTTGATACTAGCTTTAGTCTCTCCCTTAGTAAGGTGCGGATATTAATTTTATCTTAAAGTCAAAACATACTGTTTGAATAAATTTTAGAAGAGGAAACCAATGGTAATGAATGTTAGAAATATATTTTAAATAATTGAAAATAATTAATGATTCTAAGAAGATATCACTTCTTAAGTCATTAATTTATTATCATTTATCTATAAATAGTATCTCTTAATTAAAAAACATTTAAATAAATACAAATTTTTTTTTTCGTTATCTTAAACCTCTTTCAAAATTAAATTCTTCATATAATTTAGATTTGATCTCATTTTTTGTAATCGAATCGAATATAACAGTGTCAAAAGTAGAAGATAACATTAAAGTTGAAGAAACTTGAAACTTTGATAAATATTCGCTGTATTTCTAATATCTGAGAGATAAAAAATTTAGAAATAAAATTAAGGTTTTTTCATGAACATATGTTCTTTAGTTAAGCAAACAAAAGTTAAAAAACGAATATGAGTTTTATATATTAATTTTAATTTAAAAGATTGATTAAATTAAATTAAAATT